GTTAATAATTAAATTAATCAAAAATCAATGATTTGATTTGAATACAAAATAAATATAGTGATGCACAGAATTATAATACAAAATGAAGAGTATTTCAGCCCGATAATAAATTTTCGCCTTGAGAGATGCCCTGTTCTCTTGCACAAACTCGCTAATTTATGAATTACACGCAAAAAGCACACAAATAATAAATACAAAACATATAAGAATACCAAAAAAACTATTCAATACTTTTGGTAATAAAATGTTCTCAATATTTAATTTACTTTTCTATGTATACAAAAATTGTTAGAATAATGGAATTTTTTGTGGAATTGTTCTGCAATGTACTTTCGAATAGAAGAATTAAAATTTCTTATTGGAAAACTTGGAAGATCCCAAAAACGTTACGTGTTATCGTTACAGTCATTTATGTGAACACAGCATTCATTTCGAAAAATGTATTCTGAAAACTTTACAATAAATAAATGATTGACTGAATCTACGCACAGTCAGTATTGGTGTGAATGGTTGTGTTTTTCAAAATCTCAACTATAAGAATTCTAAAAGGTACTCACACTTGAATCTGCTATATTGGGCTAGAATTCTAAAATTTGGAACGAGGGTCACCCACCAGAAATCAATTTGGTACCATTGGGAAGTAGGGTTAACGTGAGGAGGTGGATCACGAATGAAGCTGGAAATTTGAATTTTTTGTAGAAGCCAGGTCAATGAAAAAGCCTTTTATGCACCTGCATCTTTAAGGTGAGAATGCATAGAACGCTTTTTTACTGGATTAAAACCATGACTGGCTTCTTTGTAAAACAACAAAGGAGTTTTAGGTTGATTTTGGTTCAAATTCGGCCAATAACACCGTGTGACAGCATTCATTGTTTTCCAATAATTTCAATTATAAAATTAGAGCTAAAAAGAAGACACGTGTGCCGGCGCTTTGAAGCTTAACATCGAAAAGTAACCAAAATGTATGGGCAAGTTCCCCCTCTTCCACACTTTTGAACATTTTCGGATTGTGATTTCTCGCAATCCGTGTATTTTATATGCCTAAAATCTTCGGCAATATGCGAGGAATATTTTCGTCGAAAATTGTAACACTCAAGCGAGCGTTTTAAAAAACAGGACCGTAGCAAGTAAAAATATTCTAAATATTATTTTTCATAAAAATCTATACACAGGGTGAGATGAAAAAACTGCAACCAACTTCAGACTGCTGTCATTTCCAAGCCACACGTCAAACAGCTGTTAAAATTATTCCAGAGACAGCTCATTACATTGTTTACAAGCGTACAAAAGCATTTTGGTGAAATTTTTTTGATAATTAAAGCACTCCATCATTTAAATGTGAATAAATCTTTTGTGTCTCGTACCATATTTCGTTACCGTGCGTAGCGTAACCCGACGTCAAGTTAACGGAGAAAAGCAGCAACATCAGCAGAAATGGTTCGAAAAGTAAAGAAGCGACTTGATCGAATTCTAAAATTTGCAAAAGCAAAAAAAAAGAAGATATGTGTACCGGCGTGGGCTAAACATACCGCAATATTCCATTCGGCAAATATTTGGAAATGAGCTCGGGGTAAAGCCATTGAAATTCAGAAAAGGGCAAGAACTTACACAGCAACTGAAAGAAAATAGACTCAAAAGTTGCTTCGCATGGCCGAAAGTGGTGAACTGTCGAATTTGGTTTTCTACGTCTTGTCCAGCAGTTTGTAAACAAACATAACAGCCGATGGTCGCACTCCGCTCGTATTAATCGACCATGGCATCAGAATAAAGGCTGAATATTATCGCGAAAATATTCTGAAGGAGGAAAAAAAGCCTTGGGCACGCAAACATTTTGGCCGCAGACCTTGGACATTCCAAAAGGACGTGCCACCCAAGAATGGTTCCAAAATGATGTTCCTCGCCTCATTTCCAGCTCACAATAGCCACCAAAATCTCCGTATACCAATCCGTTGGACTTTTGTGTCTGGAGTATTTTGGAAAGCATTAAAAAATACCAAAGTGTCGATCACCTCAAGCAAGCGCTTCGCCGGGAATTGGCCATAATACCGCAGAACAACATTCGGGTAGCGTGTGGCGGTTTCATTGGCCGTTTGAAGGCCATAATTCCTGCCAAAGGTGACCAATTCGAACAAATCTAAACTAATTCTAAAATTTGATGCTATTTACGACATTTTTTGCTTTCATTCTATAAAATTTAAAAAAAAATGTAAAAGTTATGGCGTTTGACTTTGTTACATTTATACAGGGTGAGATATTGGAAGAAATGTATTAATTTCAATAATTTTTCGAGACTTTTAGTTAATTTGAAAAATTAATAAAATATCAAATAAATGAAAAACACTTATTGCAAGTCATTTCAATAAATTGTGGGAGAAATCGAGGATAGAGGATCAGAGTAATATTTTGATTGTTTGTACTTTACCTCCTTATTGTGGCATGGTATAAGTCATATTAAGTTCCTTTTTCATGTGATGCAAATTTTTCTCCACTAAATTTGTTCAGTAAAAAAATTCAAAAGTGGGTGAATTGCAATGGTCCTAAAACCAATAAAAACTACATCGCAGTTTTTTAGAATTTTTCCAATTTCTTTACAAATTCGCTATAGTTGTGCTAGAGAATATTTTCTGCAGGAAAATACAATTTTGACAGCATTCGCAATGCCTATCTTATTTCGAACTAGAACTGGCACCCTGATCACCCAATAAGGATGTAGAGTAATAGAGAGCTATCCCTAATGTTCCTTTCTTAGTTCTTGACCAGGATGACCCCAAGCGAAGTGACTGTTATCTATGGCATCCGCGCATCATATGTCTTAACACATATCGATAACTGTTGCCAAACTAATTTTCAAGATAGGTTCTTGTCCCCCCTTACACAGATACACTCTGATTTTAAATATTCTGCAGGTTTTACTACATCTTTCAATGAATTTTGTATTTTGGGCTCTGATGGGTTGTAGTAGACATTTTTGCAATAAATTATGTATGGCTCAATGTTATGGATCTCGTGAATTTGATTATATCGAGCGACTGCAGCTCTGACAATGTCTCAAAAGATGTCTACTACTTCAGTATCAGTCAGACAACACAAGATGCTAATAAACAAACAAAAACATGTACATACTGGTTTGGGAAACTGGGATGTTGTTGTTTCGGTCAATCCGGTATCGTAGAACCCGCTATCGTGGGATCGGAAAGTTCTCAACTTGTCGCTAGCCACCCACATAGTGCCCGAAGTCTGGAAAATGGGCTGGGAGGTCCCGCTACTGAACCCAGGCAAGGATGCCAGTAAAGGCAAATCGTACAGGTCGATTTCGCCTTTGTCGCCAGCAGCTAAGACTCTTGAGATTTTACTCCTCCTCCGCGGATTCCGTCCACTACATAGTACCACAACAGCATTACACTCCATTCCCACACATATATGTAGAGGACTGAACCAGAACAAGCCGTGTTACAGAACAGTGTTGGTAGCCCTTGACCTATCAAAGGCATTTGATACGGTCAATCATGCTATACTGTTTGAGGATGTGCAGAGAACCACCCTCTGGCCAAGTTTGAAACGTTAGATAATCAACTAGAACAAGAAGTCCAAAGCCCGTACAGCAAAACAGGGAGTTCCACAAGGTGGGGTGATATCTCCGGAACTGTTTAAACTCTACCTTTCCGGAATTCCTCGCCCATCAGACGGCATAGAGATCGTATGGGTATAATTGTACGATCATGGCGTCGGGCCCAGTGATCGATAACATATGTGAAAGGCTTAAACCCAATCTCGCGAGCTTGCCGCATACTTCCACGCGAGAAATATGAAAATATCCGCCATGAAATCAACCACCACACTGTTTACCACATGGTCTGCGGAGATGAGAATACAGCTGAATGTGCAGGTCGAGGGGAATTTAATACCGATCAAGATTATAGGGGTCACATTCGACAGCATGTTCAAGTCGTCCGCGCAGCTATCTGCGACAAGATGAAAAGTAGGAACAAGGTCCTCAAGGCGCTAGCCGGCAACACTTGGGGTGCGGACAAGGAAACCTTGTTGACCTCTTATAACGCGATAGGTCGCTGCCATGAGTACTGCGACAGGGTGCCTTCTCATGCCACTAGTGGACCATCTACATGAGGAGGCGAAAGTCCTTCCCTTACGTCATCATATGCTTTCGTTGCAGTACCTGCTTGGGTGTTACCGTGAGAGTCATCCCAACCATAAATCTCCCTCACCCAGTCGTAAAAGGAAGGACATACACGATCTAGAGAGGGAGGTCCAACGCTACAAGAGAGAATCTCTAGATCAAGAAGCCTATCAGGCAGGTCTGAGTGGCATTCATACCGATGCATTCGCGGATGCTATTAGCAGTTATAAAATGAATGCCGTCCTCGGAGTCCACCCCCATCCATTGCAGCTGAAGAACGTCAGCTGCGTAGACAAACCAGGGAAGTTTTTGTCTTCTTAATTCGTATTGGCCATGAATTGATGAAGAACTGCGCTACGCCTGCTCGGCGTTGATACAGGCCCGTACAATACGCTCCTCTTCAATTCACAGCCAAACCTACCCATCTGTGGCTACAGCCCATTAAAATAGCCGAATTTCTAAACCTGGAACTGAAACTAGATTAGCAGAACGCACACTTACATGTACTACTACTACAACAACAAGATCCTAATGGTGTGCTCGATTTGATTCCGCCTTGGTGACACGTTGGGTAACACACAGCCCAGAATGCGAATTACGAACGACTAATTTAAATCAAATAAGCAGTTAAACACGCTATACTATATTGTGAATTCAATCCACGTCATCTACCTATCCATGCAGTTCGCTTTGTGAAATTACTCTCTGAATGTTGGAGAACAGTGATGTCAAGATTGCAACAGAACAAGCAAAGTTCATTGTTCCCTTTTCCTAAACTACTTGTTCCGTCTACTACTCTAAAATAAAATATATTTTTCAATCAACCACCACACATTAATATGTCATAGTCAAATTCGAAAATGTTTCTCATTATTTAATTATAATCTTTTGGTAAAGCAAGAGATTTTTTCCTTGACTATTTCTCGACAAATTTTCTTTCTGTAATAGCTACAGAGGAAAGGCGATTATGCAATAAATTCCTTAGACAACATGGCATCTGCAGGTAAAATATTTGCAAACTGTTTGAAAATAGATTCAATAATAAATATCTTACTTCATTTGCAGGTCCGGGTCCGGTTTATTCCTTGCCACCAACCATAGGCTATGATAATCATGATCAACGTAAAATTCGTATGCCACAGTATTCCTTTGGTGGGAGGACAAAATTGATTAACAAAAATATTGTACCAGGACCTGGTTTGAATGTGTCGGGTCTAACCCGTTATGGACCGGCAAGAACATTTGCCTATAGCATAGGGCCGAGAACATTTATGAAAGGTAAATGGAGATGACAACTATTGTTTTTTAAAAAATGTGTTCTCTTTTACGTTGCAATTGCAGATTCGAAAAATATTGGACCTGGCCCAGCGAATTACGATTTGAACAAGTCACCCTATGTTAATACGACTAGTCCACCATCGTATTCGATTGGCCGCAGAACAATGTTGACAAATAAAAACATATGTCCCGGGCCCAATGCTTATGGCATTAGTGTTAATGCGATTAAAACTGCGGCTCCCGCATTCAGCATGTAAGCAATGAGATACTATTAGGTGAGGTTCAAATTCAAATATAGCATTCTTTTCTCAGTGGCATGCGCACAGGCTTAAAGGCTAAAAGCCTATCACCTGGACCAGCAAATTATGGGCCAAGCACTCTCAAAACATATTTACCCAAAGCTCCGGAATATTCATTGGCACCTCGAACATTCTTGAATGCCAAACTTGTTGGACCTGCAGCAAATGCCTATGACTGTATGAATTATAAACCGGGAAAAACACCACCGAATTATTCATTTGGTGTTCGTCACTCACCAAGAGCACCGCCAATGATTGTCGCCTGTGACAATACATGAAGGGCCAGGTGATATTGCTACGGCTCCCTGTAATATTTAGGGATTTAAAAACCTTTACAGCAAGGAAAATAGTCTAAAATAGTTAAGGATAAAATCAATCAAAATTTTAGAATTATTTATAAAATAACAAGTACAAATTTTATGTGAAATCCAAAATTGTTGAATATTTTTGTTTGTGCATTTGAAAAGTTTTGAGATCCTTTCACGATCATCTAGACAAACGCAACTCCCTGAATGGGTAAATTGAAAGTTATATATTTGTAATGTGATTTGTACTCCCTATGATATAAAGGTCATGATGGGCTAGATTTAACTTTAAAAGGGGATCACATTTTGTTCCTCAACTTCTGGAGTTCCTCAAGGGTTGAATGATTTGCGGATTATTTGGGCCATAACAAATTTTCTTTACACATGTTTGCAGAGGATGTGTTTCTCTTGTTTAATTCAGATCGAGATATTATTGATGTCTTTGAGAAAAGAAATAATTCATGTTGGGGACGGGCAATGAATTGGTCGCTTGAAAATTCTTTAGATATTAATCAACATAAAACGAAAGCCATTCTATTCGGAAACTCGTATACGCAATATAATTTTTTTTATAAGATAATCAGGTGTTTATATATTGGATAAGCATGATGGTGGGTATTAATTTTAAAAACCAGACTTAATTTTGACTCTCTTATTGAAATTCTTCAATCTAAGGTTTACTCTACAGGGTGAGATGAAAAACCTGCAACCAAATTCAGACTGCTGTCATTCCTAAGCCACTCGTCCGACAGATGCTAAAATTATTCCAGTGACAGCTCATTATATTGTTTACAAGCGAACAAAAGCATTTTGGTGAGAATTATCCAGAAAAAAAGTTATTCGTGATGGAATTCAAGCGTGATAATGTAATTTCTTTATATTTGGCTGGAAAACCACAAGTGGCTATCTTTAGAGCATTTAAATGTGAATAAATTGTTTGTGTCTCGTACCGTCGCTCGTTAACGTGATACTGGTAGCGTTGCCCGACGTCAAGGAAGTGGATGGAAAAAACAGCAACATCAGCAGAAATATGGCCGAAAAATGGCTCGTGAGCTGAACATATCGCAATATTCCATTCAGCAAATATTGAAAAATGAGCTCGGGGTAAAGGCATTGAAATTCCAAAAAGTGCAGAAACTTTCACCGCAACTCAAAGAAGCTAGACTCTATAGAGCTAAAGAGTTGCTTCGCTTGGCCAAAAGTGGTGGTGAACTGCCGAATTAAGTTTTCTCCGATGAGAATACATTCGTTGTACAGCAGTGCGGGCCGCCATAACAGCCGATAGTCACTCTTCGCTCGTATAAATCGACCGTGACATCAGAATAAATGCCGAATATTATCGCAAAAATATTCTGGAGGGTGTATTAAAGCCTTGGGCACGCAAACATTTTGGCGGCAGACCTTGGACATTCCAACAGATCTCAGCACTATTGCACTTAGCATGCGCCACCCAAGAATGGTTACAAAATGTGGTTCCTTGCTTCATTTCCAGCGGTTACCAATCCGTTGGACTATTGCGCCTGGAGTATTTTGGAAAGCAAGGTTGGCATTAAAAAGTACTAAAGTGTCCATCACCTCAAGCAAGCGCTTCGCCGGGAATGGGCCAAACTATCGCAGGGTAACATTCGGGCAGCGTGTTACGGTTTCATTGGCCGTTTGAAGGCCATAATTCGTGCCAAAGGTGACCAATTCGAACAAATCTAAACTTATTCTAAAATTTGATGCTATTTCCGACATTTTTTGCTTTCATTCAATAAAAATTAAAAAATATATATAATTATGGCGTTTGCAAGGTGTATTTAATAAGGTGTAATTGGCAATTTTAAAATATTTTATTTTTGTTTGTAAACGAAATTGTCAATATCAGTTTTGGAAGTTAAATTAAATAATTTGTTTCTTTTGGATTTATAGAAATGCAAATTGATTCCTTTAGTAATCAGCTTAGAAGAAATTATAATATTTGGATTTCTTTTCTATTGACTCGTGTACCTAACCTAAGGGTAGGACATTAAGAGCCTTTTCATTTAGCTTCTAAGTGGTGAAAACAAAAATGGGGCTGTTACGATTGCTGGTGCGTGTGTGCATAAATTGCTGCTAGGCTAGGCATATCACAATGGTGTGACCCAACTGTGTAGTCGAAAACATATCTGAGCTTCAAAACACGGATATATAATGTATACTTTGATTAATTTTGTATCTGCTTTTGGAGCTTTTGACGCTAGCCGTCTGGACAATAGGTTTGACAGTAACCCTGTGACATGTTTTGCAGGAAGTGGTGAGAATTCAGCCCGACCATTGCAATGGGAATCGCATTTGGGTTTATGGTGTTGTCGCATGTATGATTTGTTCACATTTTTTCAGTGAATGCACAACCAAAGGCAATCGAGGAACCTGATAAGTAACGCATATGCGTTCATGAAGCCGCTGCGAATATAGCTTTTAATAATTTTGGGTTTAACCCGCAAGAATACTTCGTCAATTTAAAGCCCCTCGTCACGGCTCCAGAATGGTTCATTTTGGGATATTTATTTTGATATCCCGCAGGACAGATTATAAACTTTTATTTTCCTCAAGATGAGATTTCAATTTCATATGTATAAGCACAACACTAATAATAGCGGCTAAGCTATAAACAAAAATCAAAAGAATGTGTTTCAAAGAAAAGTTTTGTTAATATTTGTTTTTTTTTTTTCATATCCCAACCATTCGTCAGAATGACTTTTTAGTTTCTATAAATGTTGTTATTGTAAAATATTAGTTGTTGTAGTTGATGCATGCACCTTATAAATACACCTTGGGCGTTTGACTTTGTTGCCGTTTTGTTATCTCACCCTGTATATTAATTAATTAAAATTTTTTAAAGAAATCTGAGACTGATATGGCCACGTTTCAAGACAATTTCCTAATATAGCTTTTTTTTTTAGGAAATATTTATATTTTTTAACTTAAAATGTTTCAAAAAATTTCCTTAGCTATAAATCTGAATATTAGGATACTCTTTTTTTACCAGATAAGTTATAGGAGTGATCAGCATTAAATTTTCTTTGTAATTCCTTTATTCAAACCATTTACTTTTTCGCATACCGAGAATTGTGTTAGTTTCCAGGGTTGTTTTATGGGCTTTGATCCCTCTCTCTCTCTCTCTTTCTGCTAAACAACATGCATCTGATAAATGAAATAGAGAAAAAGAAATACAAATAATTATAGACAAATCGTCAAGTTAAAATGAAACATTAACGACTTACGACTTTTCTAAAACCATATTTAACAATACTTATATAAACAAATTCTCATCTGCGTGTGTTTGTGTGTCACATACACATACAGCAATTATGTATATTCTGAAAATTTGAAAAGAGACAGTACTTTAGTAAATGTTTCAATAATAAAATATGAGATTTTTAGATAGAAGAACTAATACAAGAACTGTTCAATGTACCCTTGAACAGGGTATTTTGTATGAGTTATTAACAAGTTCTTGTACGGTTCTCTTTTCTAATGAACATTATTTTTTTTTAATTTTATGAAGAATAAATTCAATGCATTTTTGCCCAAATTATTACCAGAGTTGCACTCTTTCACAAGTTCAAGGCGTTACTTTCAAAACAATATAGCTAAGATTTTGCCACTGCATTATTGGAAAGATCGAACTCTTGGTGGTGCAACGAACGAGTATTAGAGAGCTGCATGTCTCTTTTGCTGATTGATTGGTTGGTTTCTGAAAAGGTAAAGAGGTTAATAACCAGCCAGAAAAAAGAAAAATTCTTTTTTTTTTCAATTTAAGTAATTAAAAAATAATACATGCTTCATTTGTTTTGGGTTTTGGTCACAGACAATTGCTATTATATCTTTACTAAATTTAAACATTGCTTATTATAAAACACGATACAATTGTATGTATGTGTGTTTGAAATTCTTTTACACTAAAAATAGCTTAAAAACGGACATGCCTATGTGTAGGTGTTTTGTTATAATACGTTTTGTTTAAAACATTTCAAAATCGAAACATTAGTATTTTGTGAATTTTGCATTTTTACAAACAAATTCTAAAATTATTACAAATATGTATATTTGTTTTAATTCTGTATAAAAATGACTGCTCTCCCATTTGTTTTATCTTTTTTCTTTGGGGGGAATTTAATTCATTTTTATACACGTATCAAAACGAATTTTAAATTTACTTGGCTACCACTTATTTTGTAAATAAATCTTGTAAAATAATTTGTTGTTAAAATATTTTTTTTTGCCTGTTCTTTTTTGTGAAATTAAAGTGTAATATAAAAATTTACATTTAGCATTGCTAGGACATTTAGCAGCAAAATAATAGTCGAGTTCTTCATCCATTTATCAGCATTTACCAGCTCGTTTGTCTGCTCTGATGCCAGGATGCCAAGCAAAATTTACATCTTTTCTTGTATGAATGGATGTACAAGAGCCTGATTCAACGAAATGCGTTTTGAGGGATCCAAAGCAAATATATTATCCAATAAATCCCTTAGTTGAGTAACCTTACGATGTTGATCGTCGGGCAAATTTTGATCGGCAATTAATTCTTGTTGCAGATTTCGTGTCGGCTTGATAACAGGCATCACAACAATTTTTTCCTAGTATTATGGGAAAATACAAAAAGAAAGAAATGACGTTAACCCAAATGAGAATTACTCTATTAAAAATTCAAAATTTATTCAGAAGGGAAAGCCATATATTTCGAATAAAACTAAATATCAATTTTACAATTTTTAGGCACCATTTAAGTCTTTCACTTTAATAAAGTAATAAAATATTAGAAGCAACTTACCCTCTCCGTAACTTTATCGATTTCATGGTATAGGAAATTGCAGCTCTGATCAAAATGTTGATCTTTAAATTGACCTTTACGTATAATACGATTAGGTATTTTGCCTATTGTTAAATAATTTAAAGGTTAAACATATATTTTATTCGAAACATTTTGAAGATGCACATACCTTTCAAGTCCATAAAGAATTTCAACATTTGATTATTACTCTTGCCACTGAACAATATCTTTCCTGTATACAATTCATATATGGTACAACCAGCTGACCACATATCAATACCATAGTCATATGGTATGCCTAGTATAATTTCTGGGGCACGATAGAATCGTGAAATTAAATAGGGAGTAATTTCATTGTCGTTTATTGTGGAGGCCGAACCAAAATCACACAATTTCAAAATTAAATTATTTTCATTTACCAGAATATTGTCGGGTTTTATGTCGGCATGTAAAATACCAGTTTTCTTTAGCAATTTCAAAGCCAAAAACAATTGTTGTGTATAACTTCGTACGGCCTTAATGTGCAGGCCAACATTTTTGCCATACTTTTTTAAGACTTCGCGTAAGTTCATAGCCAAAGGTTCAAACACCATGCAAAGATGCTAAAAATGTGACAAAAATATTTTTGAATTTTTTTCAATGGGGCACAGAATGTTTTATGTCGCATATATATATTTACCTGTTTATGGAAGAAATGGCGAAACAATCGTAGACAATGGAATCTATCATCAGGATCGGCATCATTTAATTTCTTCAGAATTTCTAATTCGCGCAAACCAGTCTTGTGCCTGCAAAAGAATACAATAACAAATAAGATTTTTAAGAGTTTTTAACTCCCCAAAAAAAGGGTACTTACATAATTTCATTGTTCCTTATAATTTTGACAGCAACATTGGCATTTCCTCTGGCTTGATCTCTGGCTCTTATGACATTACTGAAAACACCTTGCCCAGTATAACCACTGACCACATAGCGATTATCCAAAACTTCACCAATACGTACGCGATAGTAACCCTCAGCATCATCCCAATTGTCCGTCAAAGCCGGATTTTCCACCATGTTTTTATTTTGAACAATTGTGTTTGGGGACTGGGAGAGAAAATGTTAAAGAAATTAAATATTTTCACATTTTGTAGATATTTTGCAGTAACATATTGTTATCGACAATTTTATACCCTCCACCATAGTATGGAGGATATGTTAAGTTTGTCATTCCGTTTGTAGCACTTCGAAATATAAATTTTAGACCCCACAAAGTATATATATTCTTGATCTATGTCGATTTAGCGATGTCCGTCCGTCTGTGGAAATCACTCTTTCTTCTGAACGAATTGAAGTAGATTCATACAATTTTACTCATGGGCCATGTAAGTCCATGTTTTAGTATAGCCCCATATAACGGTACCTCCCGATATTCGGTATTTTGATAATTTTAGATACATTATTCACTGGAATTGTTTCAAATTTGGTGTTTGAAGTTCGTAATGGGTACTACAGCCTAAGACAGAAAATTGTCTGTGTAGGTCCACGTCTTCGTATAGCCCCCAATATAACGGTAGCTTCCTATATTTGGTATTTTGATGATCCGGAATTGTTTCAAATTTGGTGTTTGAAGTTCGTAATGAATACTTCAGCCTAAGAGAGAAAATTGTCTGTGCAGGTCCACCTCTTCGTACAGCCCCAATATAACGGAACCTCCCTTTATTCGGAATTTTGATGATTTTAGCTACATTATTCCCCCAATCTTTTTTATTCAAGTGTCGCATTTGAATTTTGTTGTTGTTAATTACAAAAGTTGTCTATGCAGGTCCACGTCGTCGTATAGACCCTAATATAACAGATACATTCGGTATTTTTAAGATTTTAACAGAATTTTTAACGGGTTTAATTTTTTTTTTTTTTTTTTTTTGAAAATAGCCATAATCGTTCAAATGTTGGAGGGCATTCAAAGATCGGCCCGGCCGAACTTATTGCTTTTTTACTTGTAAAATATGTTTTGATATTTTCTGAAAAACAGCGTTTTCTATGAATAATACTTTCTATAGAAAATCTAGCTGTTGACAATATTCCTAAAGAAAATATTATTGTTATCGACATTTTGAATATAAGGTAACCGATAAAACACAATATTGTATGTATCGCTTATCGCCAAATTTTCTATAATAAAGTATTTGTTATCGAAAACATTTTCTACAAAAAATCTTGCTATGTACAAAATGTTTTCGCTATTTGCTCTGTTCCTGAACCTGCAAGAATCTACTAGTTTGCATTTTTTTCGATATCATAAAGGGAGAATAGGTTATCGTAGTAAAAAAAACTTTTACGTTCTTGTAGTTCTGGAACAGAATGTAACAATTTCAAATTTCATATCCTTCACACAGAACAATATCTTAAATTAAACTATAAATTGAAATTGATTTTTACAAGCCAACAACTCACATCGAAATTTGAATCTACATCTTGATCAGCAAACATATCCCATTCTGGTCGTTTTTCCTTTGTCGTTGCGCTGTTAGGATTTTTAATATTATCCTGTTGAATATTTCCAACATCAGGAGTGGTTTCTGCCTTTTCAATAGGTTGACGCGATGATTCTGAGGTAACGGGTGAACGAGATCGCGAACGATAACGTTTACGTTCGAAAGGCGATTGCGGAGATTTATTTCGTTTTTCCGTATTTACAGGCAGATTATGTTCATTTAGATTATGATTACTGCCCGTCTTAGTGTCTTGTTGTGGCGGCTCTTCTTTGCCACCCAATTTCTTTAAAAAATTAAAGTTAATTTAATACTTTTCGGTTGCTTAGTATCTTTTGGAATTCCTCGAACTTACCTTCAGCAATTCTTCCCTTTGTTTACGCCTCATTTCAATAATTTTCTCTTCGTCATCATCTTCGTCGATATCAATGTCCAAATTAACATCTTCATCACTGCTTGAATCGATTTGTTGTGTTTTTTGTCCTTCGCTCAATGAACCCCTATACCGATCTTTATCAGTGCGTTCACTACGATCTCTGGTGGAACGATGACGATCCCGTTCACGTTTCCGGTCTGATTCAGCTTTGCTACGACTGTGTGATCGCTCACGCATCCATCTGTCACGATCTCTATCACGTTCTCGTTCACGTCCACGATGAATGCCACGATCATGTTGCCGCATTCGATCTTCACGACCTCTATTATCTCTATCACGACCAGCATCATTTTCACGTTGTTTGTCGCGATTGATCTCCTGTCTTAGATCTTCCATCTGACGATTTTGGTCGTAATGTTCGCGATGCCTTAATCTGCCGCGATCTTCTTCAACATCGACAGGCCGGCGTCTCTCCTCCCTTGAATATCTATCATTTTTATCCCTTCGACCTGATGAACGACTGCGGCTTCTAACTCTACTATGGCTATGGGACTGTTGTGGCTGCTTGCTTCTAGAATCCCTTCGTTCTCGGGAACTTTTTTGTTCTCTTGTCTGTGAGGAAGAAGATCCTACAACATCACGTTTTACTTTACCACTCCGATCGCGCTCTTTTGAGTGACTTTTCTTGTTGGCACGACGATCCACACTTCTGCCATCTGGACTTTCACTAGAATCATCCAATAATATAATATCGGTATCATCATTCTTTTTGTTATTATTAGAAATTTTGTCATTGTTTTTACTAGTATCAGGAAGATGTGCAGGAACTACATGAAAACTATCATTTTTCTGGCCCTCACTGGGTACGACTGCTTTTTTGGGTACAGAATTTGGACGGCTGTCATCACCCTCTGTGTCTGACATATAAGCGCCCAGCCGGGCTTGCAAAAGTGCCTTTTGCTTCATGAGTTCCTCCAAGTTTAGGTCATCTTCTATAATTGTTACAACGGGGCTGGCGTCTTCAACGGGCCTAAAGTGATTAAAATGGTAAGTCTATGTATTTTTGGAACATCTAAATTACTTACACTTCGCTTTCTGATCCAGATGATGCTACTTCCATTGTGGGTAAAACTTTATTTTGAATCGTCTTGGTTATTTCTTCGACCAGACTGCACGGATCTGTTGGTAAGTTAGGCTTTGTAATGAGAATTTTATTAGTTTTTGCATCGTGTTCCACGCGTAATGCACTATTTGTATCCTTCTTCACTTTCTCCATTATCTCCGTGAACTTTTCATTTAATGCTCCGGTTTTTTTCTTCTCCACAATAGCTTCCCTTTCCGATTCGGAATCCGTCGACGATCCCGAATGCCGACGCGATCTTTTCTTTGACGATTTCTTATGCTTTTTGTGAGTTTTTTCACTTTTATTAGACTTTTTATGTTTTTTGTGTTTCTTAGACTTTTTGTGATGGCTCCCAGACGAATGTTTAGAACGCTTCTCCTCCGGACCATCGTCGTTGGTAGAATCATAGCTGCTTGGGGGTAAACAGAAAAAAATTATGTATACATTGCACTCTGTGCACAAACTAAACGTTTATTGCAAATCTGAAATATTATTCATACCCATTTTCATCGCTGGTCATTTTGCTAAGTTTTTTCGCAAAGCAAATAAAAAATTTAACGCACTTACTGTAATCCGATAATTAATAAATTGAATAAATAAAAACTTTCCAACAAATTCACAAAACCACGAAGAAACTCAATGAACTCAGCGCAGAGAAAATGTTGGCAACTACATTGCATGTGACAAATATAGGTGATTGGCAACACCTAATATTTTTTCCTGTAGTCGTGGTTGAGTTTACCAACTAGCAATTTTAATCACAATTGAAATATAATTGATGAAAATATTTGCTCTGTTCAATATCATAATGAAAAAATCGGCTTATACCACGGCATAATTACAGAAGGCTGACCAAAGCTACCTCCTAAATACATTTTTTTCTTTTTTGCCCTTTTTCTGTTAGAACATACACACATTTTGTGTATGTGTGTGTATTGTTTTGAATAAAAAATACAATAATTTGAAATTATTTCAAATTTAGTTGCAAAAAAAAAATGCAAATTTTTGGACGAAATGGGTAACAAATGATAAAACTATATTGTCTTACTATTTTAGATTCATCTTGTGGAATAACCCCGAAATTTCATTCTTCCATTCTCTCGCGGGTTTTCCCAGTATAAGAAAGTTCTTAAAAAAAATAAACTAAAAAAAACTTATTGTTTCATATTTAAAAGCCTATTTGACACTATAAGACTCCAGCACAGAGTTTCATTTTTCTACTTTATTTGAAGTTGAGAAACCTTTCTTATTGAGCCATGGTTTATACTATTGCTCTTTTCCAGACCTGTAAACATCTGCTAGTTTTCACATTTTTTTCAATAATATTATAATTGGCTAGGTTTCTGTACTAATTGAAAATAAATAAAAAAAAATACAAAATTATAAAATAAAAATCGGCAGTCACAGAAAATTTGCACATCTGAAACAAAGCAATTGTTTTTTTATATAATACCTGTTACAGCATAGTAAAATAATTGCAATGTATTGCAGATTGATTAAATGTTGAAATACTAAACTCTGAATCTGGAGTCTAATAACTTCAAGTAATAAAAACAAATGCAGTATTGTGTTTTGTGAATATTACATTTTTCACAATATTTTAATTTACGTGAAAAAAGCGAAAAAGGAATGGAACTTAACGGATTTTTCACAATATCATGTTTCTAACATGACAATTTCTTTTATTCCAAGACGCTAAAATTCATTCTCACCCAAAGTTGTAATATTGATTTTTTACAAAAGAGCATGAGGAACTCATGACTTCATATTTACAAATACCAATGGTTTTATTTATTTATTTCTTTTTTACAATATTTTTTGTTGCGGTGGCGCTCACAATAAGTAAATGCCATGGCGCAATAAAATAAACAAGCCGGCATTAGTTTTAGCCGGCAATGAGCGAACGCCAAACTGAAAATGAGCCGGATATGCAGGTCTCCTGATTTGTGAAAAAAAGGTAGTGCCAAGTTTGTGTTGATTTTTGCTGAGTCGATTCTTTTAGATCGGCGTTGGAAAAATGCAACTCTGTGCGTATGATTATGTTTAGTAGAACAGTGAAGTGAAGAAAAGTAAATAAATTTGGAAAATTGTGGGAAAATCGAGAAGGGGAAATTAGTCTTGGCGTCATTTTTCCCGTATAAAAGCGTAGAGATAGCAAAAAGAAAACCAGATTTTGTTGGTGCGCTATAGAAAAAACAACATTTTTATTTCGTTTGCCAAAATCGACAATTTGGAAAAAGTCGGCATTTAACAACGGTACAAAATTAAGTTTTATTGACGGGTTTATACGGCTGCGTGCCTTGCATTTATTTTTATATTGGATGAATAAAAATCATAGATGTAAGTTTAAATTGTGGTGTTGTCTAATGTTGGTCGTAACAAGTGTTGTGTCCCTTCCATTTAAGATTCCATCAGATTGCGAGCCATTGCGAGGCCTTCCAACGGTTTACGCGGAAGGTCGCCTTGTTTAAACCAGCCATATGCCATAGAAAAATTTGTTTCGACATCTAAGTTGCAGAAAGCCAGCAGATTGATGCGACAGTGTCCGTTGTGCCAGAAAAGAGCCATATAATTTCCGCCGACATAAGTTCCCACAAGCCAATTAAGTATCTGGCCAACCAGGTAACGAAGATAAAAAAAAAAAAATTTTTTAATAGTTACCTCATGTTAAGTGGAACCGGCACCGTAGCGCTTTATCGACGGGTGTGAGGCGACCGTTAAACATCTGAAATAAATTAACAAGGAAATTAAAATATTAATAATTGATGTGACATTAAGTCCACAAAAAAACTAACCTAAAATCAAAATTAAAAAAAAAAAAAGAGAAACTATAGTATTAATATAATGTTTTAGAAATAAGTTGTGTTGTTTAGGAGTTAATATTCGTTTATGTTTTAATTTAAGTATTATTATTGTGAGGAGAATTAATGCCACGAAACTCGTTCGACGTGAGTGAAGGAACACCCTCAACGTTCAACTAGGTTTAGACGAAACGTTTTTTCTTTTAGACAGGTTAAAGAAATGTCTAGCCCTACCTAATCGAGCTCCATTAGGCAGAATACCTTAGATTAGTAAAAAAATAGCCCGAATTGGCCGAATACCTAGTGTGAAGATTGTTGTCGTCCCGAATATTGACTCACATTCCTCGTGTTGTCTGGTGTTAATAATCCATTAAGAGACCATGATAAAAGCAATGTTAATAAATGTATATGTTTGAATGTTAAGATTAATTATCATGTCTTTCTAACTTGAGTGTAAGAGAGGGAAGGAAGGGTATGTTATAGGGTGAAATAGTGTGTGTGGAAAATGGGGCCCTTGAAACAAATGAGAAAGGATACGAAGGGTCAAGGTTGGGTGGGCAGAGTGGAGGAGTCATAACCACCAAGCTCCTTTGCCATGAGTGTGTGTCGTGTTTGTGATCGTGTTGTTTTATTTGTGTTTTCCCCGTTTACATTGATTGTTAGTCCCCTAGGCCTGAAGGTGGAAGGGTTGAGAACCCCCTGAGAGTTGCACTCCTGAGCTAGATGGAACCCCACCTGAAGCACCACTGTAGGCGGTACATAACAATATGGCGCCCAATTTTGAAACTAGAATGTCTAATCGCCAAAACATAATTCCAAGAATTATAATAGCCGAAAGTAATAACCCCTGCTTGAGTTCTGGGAAATAGAGGCAAGACTTAAGGCGAAGACATGTAATGCAATTCTGTGATATAACATCTACTCATAGAACAATAATCCATAGGATGAAATAGATACAAACGAGTGTCACATTTTCTTACCAAGCTAGCTTTTATTGCAACCACCGTTTCAAGTAACTGTGATTAAAGTGCAATTTAAGTATAGATAGGTAGTAAATTAGGATAATCGTTTCAATCAATAGGGTCTGTGCAATAACTCATTGTTCGTGATGTGTAACAAAGAAAGTATTGTTTTTATGACCTGTCTTTTTTTTTGTATTCCGTTTTGTTAATGTAGTATAAATAGACCAAGGATAGTATAGGGAGATAGCGATATCTGCTGTGATGCAAACAAAAAAAAATCATAGACTGTATCGTGAAATATTTCTCGTTTCACAAGATCTTTTTCCTATAGCTTTCTTAGGAGAATGCGTGATACTAGCCTTTCAAAATATGTTAATTCTTTTGTCAATCAATCCTATTCAACGCACTGTGGCAACCCATATGGGACACTAAAACTATAATAAAAAAATATCAAAAAAAAATATATTACCCACACACAAACCCCTGATAGCTGAGAATGCCCTTCACGAACTCTCACATAGTTGAATTGTTTTTCGTATAACTTGTTTTTATTGTTGTATTTTTTTTTATATAATACCTGTGTAATTGTTATAAACGCATATTTCATTCAGTATATTTGTTTTAAAAAAAAATTTTAACTCATAGTAATTAGTTTTATTTCTGTTACTTCTAAGTATTTTTTTACCTTTGTTTAACCCCTGTTGAAAAGCAGTTACTAATAGTATAAATCGATAACTTAGATTAAAAGTAGCATTAAATTATAATTTATGTCCACTAGAGTATACTAATCAAACCATAGATTTGTTAGGATCTTATAAGTGATTTTTATCCAACCTAATGAGCGAATCTACGTCTAGCAAAAGGCGCAGCAAAAGAAACCGATCGATAACGTTTGACTTAAGCCGATCTTCTATACAGTCCCCAAAGAAGAAAAAAAATACGCCCAAGGGAACAAATTCCAAAATGCAAAATTCAAACGCCAACGTCGATCCGAGTTTCTGCGATATGTCCTCTACCATAAATAATCCGAATCCCAGCACAAGCGCTGCTGCAGGATTACCTCCGAATAATGCAACACCTAATTTACCACCCATCAATCCACCGGAAGTAGCCCAGCTTGTAAGGAGTCTAGTTCAAGAGAGTTTGAATCATGCCCAGGCAAATTTACACTCCCTAGTACAGGTTAGCGTTACAAAAGAATTAGAGAAGGTATACTCTGGCATAGACAAATTAAATAACGCAGTAGCATCCCTAACGATAGGCAGACAGACATCTCCACCAAACCCCCAAAACATAACCCAACAAAATACCAACCCACCAAATACCAACCCACAAAATACCGACCCACAAAATACAAACCCACAAAATACAAACCCACAAAATCAAAACCCACAAGCCATCCCGGCCAACGATTCGTGGCACCAACAGCTACCCTCGAATAGGAATCGCAGAAACACTGTGACACCATCAGTAATGAGCAATGTCAGTAGTCAGGGTATAAAAATTGAACGATTCGGGATTAATTTCTCGGGTAGGCCTAACAGTCTGGCTGTAGAAGACTTTATATATCGTTTAGAATATTTTCAAAAGCAGTACAATTTGGAATGGGAGGATATCTTGGGAGAGTTCCACATATTAGTCTCAGGACCTGCTCACGAGTGGTATTGGCTCCAACTAAAAAATGATAATATTACCACATGGGAGTCATTAAAATATTCCTTAGTTGAAAGATTTAAGACACGGCGAACATGTTTCGAAGAAATGCGTGATCTCTTAGAACGCAAGCAATTGCCGGGAGAGTCGATCGACGCGTTCTTTCATGATATTAATTTGATGAGGTCCAGGTTGGAAAAGCCCGTCTCTGAATTCGAAATGATCTCTCTCGTAAAGAAGAATTTAAGAAAGAATCTGTCAGGTATAGTTTATTCTATGAAAGTCTCGTCTTTAGAGCAATTAAGGGTAGAATGTCTGGAAGTGGAAAGGACCTTTTTTCGCAAGGATCCTGTACCAATCCAGCCCCCAACAAATAACAGACCTATACGTGTCAACGCTATACAAGAGGAAGAAGAAGACGTAGATAATTTTCCCATTCTAGATGACTCAGATGAGGTGGTAGAGCTCGCCGCTATTAGTATCCAACTAGTATGCTGGAATTGCCAAAAACCTGGTCATGGGTTTAGGGATTGTCCTTCTACACAAAGAAATTTATTTTGTTTTAAATGTGGTAAACCTAACACTACTTCGCCAAAATGTGTGAATTGCAGGTCGGGAAACGGGAGGAAGAACCTGATTGCAGCGGGGAATCAGCGTTCATCCGAGCAGTCCGCGCTCCAGAACTCTCAAACGAGTCAGTAATTGGTAGTGAGTCAGCCCGTTTTTCCAAAATTCGCCACTATATCCCCTTAGAGATCAGGGAACAGAATTATAATGCAACAAAAGCCAGAATTTTTCATGAAAAGTATGTTGGGGGTACTAACAAAAATCCAGCTGCTAACTCAAACCATGAGCTAGTAACTAAAAATAAACTAAGAATCGAAAAACTTAGACTAAGACACAGGCAAAATAAGGCAATAAAAAAGGCTGTATCTGAAGCCATTGTAAGAACCCAATATGGAAAAGATCCGAGACCTTATGTCTTAGTCCAAATACAAGGCAAGGAAATAAAAGGTCTGTTAGACTCAGGAGCTACCGTAAGTTTATTAGGTAAGCGTTGTAGAGAGATTGTAGAAGACATAGGAATAGAAGTCAAACCCTATACCTCAAACGTCAGTACTGCCTCCGGGAAAATCCATCGTATACTGGGAATAATCGAAGTGGATGTTGAGTATCAGCAAGAAATTTCAAGAATGTCCCTCTTTCTGTGTCCAGACTTAGAGCAAGACCTGTATCTAGGCATAGATTTCTGGAAGTTGTTTAAAATTGCACCAGAAATCTTCCCAGTGGAAGAAATTGATATAGCAATACAACAGAAAATTCGCGGAGATGCTAAGAATGAAAACACGAATATGCACCAGTTAAATGAAGACCAACAACAGGCACTTGCAAACGTGGTAAACAAGTTCATAACGTTTGAAAAGAACGGATTGGGCTGCACTAAATTAGAAAAACATAGCATTAAACTAATGGAAGGTGCAAATCCGGTTAAGGACAAGCACTACCCTTTGTCGCCTGCCATGCAGGAAATAGTGTACAATGAAATTGATAATATGCTCGCTCTGAACGTGATCGAGGAAAGCGATTCGCCATGGAGCAACAGAACTACAGTTGTTAGAAAACCCGGCAAGAATAGATTCTGCCTAGATGCGCGAAAACTTAATGCGTTGACGGTGAAAGACGCATATCCTCTACAAAACATAGACGGCATATTGAGTAGGATAGACCAAACACATTACATAAGTAGCGTCGACCTAAAGTATGCGTTTTGGCAGATCGAACTGGAGGAAGAGGCCAAACCATATACCGCGTTCACGGTACCAGGTCGACCGCTTTACCAGTTCCGTGTAATGCCATTTGGTCTATGCAATGCTGCACAGAGGCTATGTCGATTAATGGATCGAGTGATACCAGGCAGACTAAAATCTAATGTATTTATTTATCTGGATGACCTCTTAATCATAGCAGATGATTTCGACAATCATATTCGATTACTTGGTGAGGTAGCTGAATGTCTCCGGAAGGCCAATTTGACCATTGGTTTAAAGAAATCCTTATTTTGTTTTCGAGAATTAAAATATCTTGGCTTTATAATTGGTAACGGCTGCTTAAAAACGGATCCTGATAAAGTAAGCGCCATTCTAAAAATTCCAACACCAAAAACTCCAAGGGAAGTCAGAAGTTTCCTGGGTACCGCCGGTTGGTACAGACGATTTATAAGGGACTTCGCTAGCATATCTGCTGCACTTACAGATACTTTAAAAAAAGGACAAAAGTTCACAATCACTCCTCAGGCCATGAAAGCGTTTAACACCCTGAAGAGAGCATTAACATCCGCACCGGTACTCCGACATCCGGATTTCAAACGAGAATTTTATATACAGTGTGATGCCTCCGATTATGGAATCGGGGCAGTATTGTTCCAAAAGGACGATGATGGATGTGAAAACCCAATCGCCTTCTACTCGCAGAAATTTAACGCATGTCAGAGAAATTATTCTGTTACGGAGAAGGAGTGTTTGGCCGCGGTATTAGCCGTCAAGAGATTCCGACCCTACGTCGATCTCATGAAATTTACTATAATTACGGACCATGCCAGTCTTAAGTGGTTGATGTCGCTTAAGGATTTAAGTGGAAGGCTAGCCAGATGGTCGCTGCAACTGCAAGCGTTTGACTTTACGATCGAACACCGCAAAGGTTCGGAAAACGTAGTAGCAGATACTCTTTCTAGGATGCCAATAGAATCAGATGCAACAGTAGAAGAAATCACTGCGGAAGATATTCTCGACTTTGAAACCACCGCATTTGAAAGCGAAGAATATGTCGGATTGCGAAATACGATAGAGGAAAACCAAGAGCAACTTCCAGATTTAAAAGTGGACAAAGAGAAAATATTTATAAAGGTGAAACATTTTGAACCAGAAACCACTGAGTTCGAATGGAAATTATGGATACCTGAAGAAATCACATATGCCCTAATTGAAAAGGCCCATAATTACACTGGATCGATCCATGATGGTATACATAAAACAGTAAACCGACTTAAGACTTTTTATTATTGGCCAAAAATGACCTCCCAAGTAAGGCAATATATAACCAATTGCCAAATATGCAAAGAAACTAAGCCTGCAAACCAAATAATGCGCCCCAATATCGGAAATGAAGTAATTACTGAAAGACCCTTTCAGAAACTATATATAGATTTTCTTGGTAAATACCCAAGATCTAAAAAGGGAAATGCATATATCTTCATTGTGGTCGACCACTTCACTAAATTCACGTTTCTGCATGCAATGAAAGAAGCTACTTCCAAAAATGTAGTAAATTTCCTAGAAAATCAAGTGTTTCGGGTATTTGGAGTTCCAGAGATAGTACACAGCGATAACGGTAAGCAATTTACCTCAGCAAATTTTGAAGAAATGATAAAAACGTATAAAATTACCCACATCAAAACAGCTTACTACTCCCCGCAGTCGAACGCGTCAGAGCGAGTCAACCAGTCTGTACTGGCAGCGATAAGGACGTACGTCGATAATGATCACCGCGACTGGGATTTGTACCTGTCTGAAGTTGAACAAGCACTCCGAACATCGGTTCACACTGCCACAGGTGTCAATCCGTTTTTCGCATTATTCGGGTACAATATGTTCACGAGTGGAACCGATTATAATTTAGCAAAGAAACTTAAATCTCTTACTGATCATCAGATAAACCAATTAAATACCACAGATAAGCTAGAATTGATAAGGGAAAGGGTTAAAAATAAATTGCACGAAGCATACCAATCCAGTGCTAAACGCTACAATAACAGATCACGAAATATCACTTTCCGACCGGGACAAGAAGTGTACCGTAGGAGTCATGTCTTGTCAAATTTTAAGAGTAACATAAACTCTAAATTTTGCAAAAAATTCTTAAAGTGCCGAATAGTTAGGCCGGTGGGAAATAATATATATGAACTAGAAACTCTTCAGGGGAGACCTCTTGGCCATTTCCACACTAAAGATATAAAGGCTTGAATAATGTGCAATAATATCTGTGATAAAGTCAAATAAGTGCAATATAGATTTATAAATGTTTGTCATTCATGTACATTTTTTTAATCTATGTTGTATTTGTTTTTATTATAAGATAATTATTCACAAATATAAAACATCCTAATAAGTTACCAAGCGAACTATAGCCCGGCTGAGAAAAAATCTCAGGGCGTGGGAATTCCCCACGTTGGGACTGAAGAATGAAACGTACCAAAAGTTTTTAATAAATAACGAAACAAAATGAGGGAACGAAATACTAGCACGAAAAAAAAAACACCTGTAAATTTCTGGTAATATTATCTCAAATACAAAACATCTATTCCCCCCAATGTCAAAAAGGAGATACGATAACTTACAAAAAAAGCAATAAATAATATATAAGGAACGAATTAAGGTATAAATGCAATATACATTATAATCAAATAAAAAAGTCAATATGTGAGGTTAAAGCATGCACAGGTTGGCAATGTGAACTATACCAAGGTAGTCAAAATAATATTAAATTGCCATATCAAGTCACCAATGAATAAATTCTGAGGAAATCCCATGTTTAGATACTTTTCAGGAAGTGCATTAATTATAAGTATTAAATTTTAGGCAATAATATACGAAGATTATTGGTTCCCTCTTCAATTTGTCAAATGACTTTCACTTTCAAGCACCAATATGTTCATCCACAAATTATTATTATTGTAGCATGCTATAAACTGTAAAGTGACCATATCAAATATTGATCCATTGCCCAATATGATCTGACATTGATTTAATTTTTTTTGGGTGGATGTCAACCTTTCATAAAAAATTTAATTTTTATACAACCGCATGGATTTTATTATACAAGAACGATCCATAAATTATTCACACATATATTATTTATTCAGCATAAATTTGTATCTTTCCATATTACCGCATACGAAAGAACCACAATGTGTTTTTATCGCATGCGATAAAAAAATATCCACGCACAAATGCCCGCACAGCAAAGACACAGCTCCGAAGTCGCAATACCAAAAACAACCTTCTTGATATATTTCACACACTAAACCTCATATTGACCACTTGTGACAAAAAGAAAATAAACACTTACCTATTTGGGTTGGTAAAACTTTTTCCACGATGTGTTTCAAGAATGAGAAATAGTTGACAATCCTCAGGTATAAAAATATTGCGCTGTTTTTCGCAAGGTATGTTCCTACTCCAAGGGGGTGACGCCGTTAACTGTCCATATACTGCTGTTACCAAACAAAAAAATACCTAAATAAAAAGAAACAAAATAACATTAATAAATGGGCAATAAAAAATTCTTCAGCGATTACGATTGTGTGCATATAATGGTAAACATAATTTTCTCTAAAATGCACACACATCTATTACCGATGTCTTGTATCATTTTTTTGTGATGGCAGGTAAATAAAAGAATTTACTTCCCATAAAATATGCTTTGTCCAACAATTTAATTCCAACTATATAAACAAACATTCAGGTATATACCTATTGGGTAATGATAATTTAAACCCTTAAATATTTTAATATCGAGCTAATAATGTGGTTAAGCATGAAGCAAATAAACACTCACCTATCCCAAATATCAGGCAAAAAGGATATATAAATTTGTATTCCTCTATTAAATTTATATTCCAAAATTAAATGGTATACTGCATCCATCTGGGAAATCCAAAATGATACCCTTATAAAGCGATCATAAATATCTGCATCAGGAGATGTGATCTATGTTGAAAGGTTCGTGGCGTATCGTTGGGGTACCTAAAAAAATTTAAAAACAAACAATTAGAAATAGGAATAAAATCAACGATAGTTTAGATTTTACCTGTACGTCACCTCATTGAGTTATCGGTCCAAGCTGTGCAGATAATTTGGGCACAAAGTAACAAGAACCATAAATGACATGTTTGCGTCCAATATGACCTCGAACGGAAAATACCTGTGTGCCCCTATGGTATACCGTGATGAGCAGTATGCTTTTTGTGTTCACTTGTTTTCCAATGTCCCAATTGATTCAAATAATGCGTTGATAGTAGATGAAATCCATTCTGAAAAGAAAACAAAAATATTAACAAACGAAATATTCGTATGGAAATAACAACAGTCACTTACCATAACCTCAGTCAAATGCGTTCGCCAAAAACCGTTCATTCATTGAATACATACATGTTGCGTTTACGAAACTCTAATTGTAGTAGAGTAATGTAAGCAGGTATGTGTGTGAATGAAACGACCATCGTCCGTAGGTTCAATGGTATGCATGTGGTGAATGCACACATGCTGCGTTAACGAAACTCTAATCGGAGTAGAGTAATGCAAGCAAGTATGTGTGTGAATGAGAAGAAGACAAATGGGCACACACACACACAAGATGATGCAGATTATGTGGCGCCGACAGCGCTTCATTGAATGAAGCGTGGGTACATATACACGTATACCTGCATTAACGGTGATAGCTGAGACACCACATGGTAATTGAGACACCACCAAGTCAATGAGACACCAAAAACATTGAATATGCGTCCCGAGGGTAATCTGATTAGTTCCTGCATAAAAAGATTAGCGGTAAAAAAAAATGTGTCATGGAAAAATATTTGTTCTTATCAACTTACCTCAGGTCCACACATGAGTTTTCACAGAAAAACGAAGATTTTTCATAGTTCCATTTTTATGTAGGTAAAAGAAAATAGATTGGCAAGAACCGAAATCCCGCACATCGAAATTTTCTGCGATAAACTTGCTAATTTCGAAGTTTTGTTGCGGTGGCGCTCACAATAAGTAAATGCCATGGCGCAATAAAATAAACAAGCCGGCATTAGTTTTAGCCGGCAATGAGCGAACGCCAAACTGAAAATGAGCCGGATATGCAGGTCTCCTGATTTGTGAAAAAAAGGTAGTGCCAAGTTTGTGTTGATTTTTGCTGAGTCGATTCTTTTAGATCGGCGTTGGAAAAATGCAACTCTGTGCGTATGATTATGTTTAGTAGAACAGTGAAGTGAAGAAAAGTAAATAAATTTGGAAAATTGTGGGAAAATCGAGAAGGGGAAATTAGTCTTGGCGTCATTTTTCCCGTATAAAAGCGTAGAGATAGCAAAAAGAAAATCAGATTTTGTTGGTGCGCTATAGAAAAAACAACATTTTTATTTCGTTTGCCAAAATCGACAATTTGGAAAAAGTCGGCATTTAACAACGGTACAAAATTAAGTTTTATTGACGGGTTTATACGGCTGCGTGCCTTGCATTTATTTTTATATTGGATGAATAAAAATCATAGATGTAAGTTTAAATTGTGGTGTTGTCTAATGTTGGTCGTAACAAGTGTTGTGTCCCTTCCATTTAAGATTCCATCAGATTGCGAGCCATTGCGAGGCCTTCCAACGGTTTACGCGGAAGGTCGCCTTGTTTAAACCAGCCATATGCCATAGAAAAATTTGTTTCGACATCTAAGTTGCAGAAAGCCAGCAGATTGATGCGACAGTGTCCGTTGTGCCAGAAAAGAGCCATATAATTTCCGCCGACATAAGTTCCCACAAGCCAATTAAGTATCTGGCCAACCAGGTAACGAAGATAAAAAAAAAAAAAATTTTTTAATAGTTACCTCATGTTAAGTGGAACCGGCACCGTAGCGCTTTATCGACGGGTGTGAGGCGACCGTTAAACATCTGAAATAAATTAACAAGGAAATTAAAATATTAATAATTGATGTGACATTAAGTCCACAAAAAAACTAACCTAAAATCAAAATTAAAAAAAAAAAAAGAGAAACTATAGTATTAATATAATGTTTTAGAAATAAGTTGTGTTGTTTAGGAGTTAATATTCGTTTATGTTTTAATTTAAGTATTATTATTGTGAGGAGAATTAATGCCACGAAACTCGTTCGACGTGAGTGAAGGAACACCCTCAACGTTCAACTAGGTTTAGACGAAACGTTTTTTCTTTTAGACAGGTTAAAGAAATGTCTAGCCCTACCTAATCGAGCTCCATTAGGCAGAATACCTTAGATTAGTAAAAAAATAGCCCGAATTGGCCGAATACCTAGTGTGAAGATTGTTGTCGTCCCGAATATTGACTCACATTCCTCGTGTTGTCTGGTGTTAATAATCCATTAAGAGACCATGATAAAAGCAATGTTAATAAATGTATATGTTTGAATGTTAAGATTAATTATCATGTCTTTCTAACTTGAGTGTAAGAGAGGGAAGGAAGGGTATGTTATAGGGCGAAATAGTGTGTGTGGAAAATGGGGCCCTTGAAACAAATGAGAAAGGATACGAAGGGTCAAGGTTGGGTGGGCAGAGTGGAGGAGTCATAACCACCAAGCTCCTTTGCCATGAGTGTGTGTCGTGTTTGTGATCGTGTTGTTTTATTTGTGTTTTCCCCGTTTACATTGATTGTTAGTCCCCTAGGCCTGAAGGTGGAAGGGTTGAGAACCCCCTGAGAGTTGCACTCCTGAGCTAGATGGAACCCCACCTGAAGCACCACTGTAGGCGGTACATAACATTTTATTTAAGAGAAAATTGCGAAAAAAAGAATAGAAAGTCACGGATTTTTTTACAATATTGAGTATTTTATATTTGTTCATCTCTAAAAAGCACAATTTGAAGAATTTTAAATTTTTTTGAAAATTATAAGCAACAAAGTACAAACATTTTTTTACATTTAATATGATTTTTAACATTTGCAGAGGGTCCTTTTTTGCGCCATGCAACAGCGTGGTTTATAAGTTGATGTAAATACGCTGTTATACTGTCATGGCAAAAGAATACAGGTATTGGCATCAACACAGCTGCTGGGACAACGAACTGTCAAGCCAATTTTAAAATTTAAATTTTTAAATGAACAATTATTAAAATCTATAAAAATCGTTAAAAAATAGCATATCATAATTATTTTTGAAAAAATTAAAACAACATTGACATTAATGTTCCCAAGCATTGATGCATCTACCTGTATTCTTACACCATCACTACAGCTAAAATTCCATTAATCAATTTATACATCCCTAATTCGACAGCGATGCCAACCATTTGTCGTTTTGACGTTAGTTGTTAGTTAACGCAGCACGTCATTTTGCTCATTTTTTCCTTTTGAAAAAAATTCTAACCGTGCAGGACACTTTTTTCTAAAATCTTGTAAGAAATAAATAAAACTAAGTGGTAAGTTAGATTGTAAATTATCAGAACAATTGGCGTGCTAACAATACAACATTCTGTTCTACACAATTCTCTCACATGTAACAGTGTTTGCAAAACGACGTCTCTCCCCCCAGAAGGCAGAGAAAGACGAAGAAAAGAACTTTTGTACTTCTTCATGGAAAAAAGTCAATAGTTATGGTGGTGGTGTAGGACTAAAGCTGAATACAAAAACAACCGCACTGAAACTAAAAGCAATCGGAAGAAAATTTGCATAGTGCAGATTTTCTATTCAAATATAACAACGAATTTTCAATTCAACAGAGGGAGTGAGATTTTCATCTTTAATATACAATTTAAACCTCTAAAAGAATAATTAAGAAAAGAAGAGCAGAGTAAAAAACAATGTCAGCTGTTGAAATAATGCAGGAACAAAACAATAATGAGGACCAGAAAGCATGTGGTTCTAGCGATGGGTCACAAACCACACCAAATGCACCTGTCACCACATTACCCCCATCAGAGGGTGCTAAAGAAGCGTCTCAGGATGAAATAATTGCTTTAGCTGATCATTATAAAAACCAGGGAAATGATTATCTTAAGGGTGAGTGAGAATAGCATGACTGGCTAATTATAAATTACTAATGGCCGAACGGCTTACAAACTCAAATATTTATACGCAAGTTTTCTATTTTATACAAATCTTTTAAAGATGGTAAATATTGAGATATGTTTATAAACACTTTGGTAGTAAGGACGATGAGACACTGTTGACTTGATAATTTTCCCAAATGCACGTGCGCTGTTAGTGCCCATATTGTGGCCCAGCTGATTCTAACATAAAATTATTACAAAATTACGAATCTGTTATGGAAAAAATCATTGTGCCATATAATCCTACGTAAAAAATATATATTCATTATCCGGTCATTATCATAAAGTTTTAAGACATTTATTGGATGGTTCAAATTTTTTATAAACGATAAAGTATCTATGCCTAGAAAAGAATATCGTTATGTTGACTGTTAGTCATCGTCCAGATGAAATAAGAAAAGGAGGATCTAGCAATTTAGCTTAAAGTGAGCTTTAAGTTTTAATTATGAAAAAAACTATTGGTGTGTAGATTTTATAAAAAAGGAGTATTCAAAACTCATAATATGAGTAAACGAAACGAACTGTATTTGGAATCATTGGTATTGGTTGAACGAATGGAGCTGGAACTTGGCTATTTGATGTGAAAATCACAGTTGGAACACGAAGTTTACATAAAGAGATTTAGGAAATGTACCATTAGTATGCATTGTAAGTGTACGAAAGAAAGAGAAATGAATAGAAAGACAATTATCTAGTAAGAATAATAAGTTCATTCTAGGAAGAAATGAGAAATATAAGGAAAGGAGAAATATGGAAGCGTGGAGAACAAGAACAAAAGATTTTTAGAATAGTATAGGGATTGCTAATTAGTAGAAGATGATGGGATCTATGTATGTCTGAGAAGAAAGTTAGAGTTTCTATCCCTCACCTGCCAAATAGTCGATGTATCTTATTGGATAACATGGGACATGAGCAAAGTAGATGTTCAATCATAACTACCTCTTAACATAGTCTACGGAAGTCAGGAAAACTTTTGTCCCACGTTGAGGTCAGATATCTGATACTGTAGTGACCAGTCAGTATATTCACCACGATTCTTAGATCAGACCTACTAAATGATAGAAGGAAGATTGCCGGCCAGGTGACTTTATATGCCCTGCCATCTTCTCCACCTACTTCGATGAGAAATTTCTCGAAGAAGCTAATCTAATAGGTTATTAGTGGTTTAACAATCTCACCAAACGACTGGGATCCACCTCGAGCTAATTTACCGCCACTTGTTTTATTACAATATTGCTTTCTGCTGGAACCAAACAAAGCAGGGTAAGTTCTTGCACTTTTTGGCATTTGAATGGCTTTATCCCGAGCTCATTTTTCAATATTTGCCGAATGGAATATTGCGATATGTTCAGCTCACTAGCCATTTTTCGATCAAGTCGTTTCTTTACTTTTCGAACCATTTTTGCTGATGTTGCTGTTTTCTTCCGTCCACTTCCTTGACGTCGGGCTACGCTACCAGTATCACTGTAACGAGCGATGGTACGAGAAACAAAAGATTTATTCACATTTAAATGCTGGAGTGCTCTAACGATAGCTACTTGTAGTTTTCTAGCAAAATATAAGTAATTTTTTCTGGAAAATTATCAACAAAATGCTTTTGTACGCTTGTAAACAATATAACGAGCTGTCACTGGAATAATTTTAACAACTGTCGGACGACTGGCTTAGAAATCACAGCAGTCTGAAGTTGTTTGCAGTTGATTGCCAGATAAAAAACTCCCACATCTCTTCTGATCTGTCACTGCTATGCCTTTAAATGAGGCAAATGTCCAATCATCCTTTTTCGGGCGTTCGAGAGCGAATGATGTTGCAATGCATTTTCTACTTTTTCCGCTTAAGCTCGCCAACTGACTTGTTTACCTTCTGCTGTGACCTCATGATTTTTAAATTCTTGTTGGTTGAAGACTAGCTCCATGTGGCGGTTCTGTCCAATTAGCCGGTTTTGAAGGTCGTAGATGCATCTTCCAGCAAGTGTTTGAAGTTTAAAAAAATTAATGGATATAACACCTCCTTAGAAACATAAATGTTTAATGTGGGTCAGGTGAGGGAATGGTTTTAAAGATCCTAGCCGAAATTTTAGCGATTTAGGTCAACTGGAATTGCTACAATTTAAGTTCTCGATTGGTGAATAATAAAAAAGTTCGGTCGGGTCGAACTTAACGCCTTTTAATCTTTCTTTCTTTTTCTATTGACAACTATAGCATATAACAAACAATTTTTAACATTTCTAATCAAATATATTTTAAAACTTTCATTCAATTTCCCGCATGTAAGCATATCTAGCTGCAACATTACTAAATTTTTATTATCATTTTGTCATTGTAACCAATTTCAAAAAAAAAAAAAAATATTGAACGCTATTATTGCATATTTATTGTCCGTAAAGCTAAATGTTTCAGTTGCATTTATTTATTTCGATAGATTGCCTCAAGATTTGTAACATGCTTGATTGCCATTCCAAAAGATTTTCCTAAACTTAAGTGTTGAAACTTGAATTATGTATCATTTTGAGGTTACAAAAAAGCCAAAAAGTGATCAAATTCCAAGTTCACCAAAAAAAAAAAATAAATAATAATAATAAATAGGTGTTATTCTACTGAACGATTTGATTTAGATGAAGTGGTAGTTGACATAAGCTACTTTCCTATTTCTAGAATATATAAATTGGTGTGTGTTAAAACCCGATTCAATTAATGAATTTTTAAACAATACCTTTTTATTTAATCGAGACAAAAATGTGTCTTAACAAATCTTAATATTTTTTATGGTTTCTTACACGGCATTTTTAATTCAATTATAAAAGGAATCAAAGGCCACTGCAAATAAAACAAAAGATCTAGTAAGCCATAGCTTAAAATCAAACTACTGGATCAATATCATTTTTATTTAATAGCGGTTGGCATTAATTAGCTGGGTCTTCATATCATCAATTCAGTTTTTGTTTCTTCAAAATATTGAATTCCGTCGATATAAGATCATATGAGCCAAGAAATCAAGTTGCAAGGAAATATAAGCAACCCATAAAATTAAAATAGGATTACTGAAAAATCATATTTCAGACCTACATAGCTTCACGGGTATTTTCTATAAACAATTGAATGTTGTTGAACGAGTGTTGTGGCAAAAGCTCGAGTCTATGATCCAAAAGTACCCTCTCGGCCTTCCCTTAATATAGGAATAGGAATATCTTTTAAATAACGTTTTATTAGCATGTTCAAAAAACCAAAACAACTTCATTCCCTTTTGACACTAAGAAATTTTATTTTGATATGAATATTACCTAAATAACACCCTAACAGAAGGCTATTCCCTCCCAATGTTTTATTTTTATTTAATCTTTTTTTTTTTTTGCTCTTTATTTTTTTATAGAAAAGGATTTTTCGAAAGCTATTGAAATGTACACCAAAGCCATAGAATTAAACCCCAATAATGCTATTTACTATGCCAATCGTTCATTGGCCCACTTAAGGCAGGAAAGTTTTGGATTTGCTTTACAAGATGGCATTTCAGCTGTTAAGGCTGATCCAACATATCTTAAAGGCTATTATCGCAGAGCGGCTGCTCATATGTCTTTGGGTAAATTTAAACAAGCGCTTTCTGATTATGAATATGTGAGTATAGCGACAAACAATACCCTACAATCCATCAATCAGCCTCTGCCATTTAATGTCACATTCACCCATTTTATTTGAAAACACTATCATAGGTATCGAAATGCCGTCCCAATGATAAAGATGCCAAATTGAAGTTTACAGAATGTAATAAAATTGTAAAAATGCGGGCATTTGAAAGGGCCATAGCAGTTGACAAGCCGGAGAAAACCCTAACTGAAATGTTTAGAGAATTTGAAAATATTGGTAAGTAGTTTTTATTGCTTTGTATAAATCATAATCATAAATCAACTCACCCTTTCTGTAGCAATTGAGGAAGATTACACGGGACCTATGCTCATAGATGGAAAAGTTACTTTACAATTTATGTTAGATTTAATGGAAAATTATAAGCAACAAAAGAAATTGCATCGTAAATTTGCTTATAAGGTAAGTGTTAAAAATTTCCATTTTATATTTGAATATACCAAGGCTTCTGAGACAAATTACATGGTGAGATAAAAAAACTGCAACAAAGTCAAACGCAATAATTTTTACCTTTTTTTTCAAATTTTATTGAATGAAAGCAAAAGATGTTGGAAATGGCATCAAATTTTAGAATAAGTTTTGACATTTCGCATTTATTCTGATGCTGCGGTCGATTAATACGAGCGGAGAGCGACCATCGGCTGTTATGGCGGCCCACACCATCACCATGACCGGCGCTTGAGTTCTGGTAGCCAACCGAAAATGCACATTTTCAGCTGACCTCTTTGGCAAGTAAACACGATCATTTTATTTGTTTAAAAACTGCTGGACAACGAATGATTTCTCATCGGAGAAAACCAAATTCGGCAGTTCACCACTTTTGGCCATGCGAAGCAACTTATTTGAGTCTATTTTGTTTCTGTTGCGGTATAAGTTCTTGCACTTTTTGGAATTTCAATCGCTTAACCCCGAGCTCATTTTTCAATATTTGCGAATGGAACATTTTTCGGCCACTGCGAAGCGGGTTTCGATAAAGTCACTTCTTTACTTTTCGAACCATTTCTGCTGATGTTGCTGTTTCCGTCCACTTCCTTGACGTCGGGCTACGCTACCAGTATTACGGTAACGAGCGATGGTACGAGACACAAAAGATTTATTCACATTTAAATGCTGGATCGTCTAATGATAGCCACTTGTGGTTTTCGAGCCAAATATAAAGAAATCACACTATCACGCTTGAATTCCATCACGAATGCTTTTATACGCTTGTAAACAATATAATGAGCTGTCACTGGAATAATTTTAACTGCAGTCGGACGAGTGGCTTAGAAATGGCAGCACTCTAAAATTGGTTGCAGTTTTTTTGATCTCAGTCAATATGATGTTATAAAAAGTCTATTAAATTCTAACTTTTATTTTACAGATTCTTTGCGATATTGATGCTTATATGCGTACCCAAGATTCTATGGTAGATATTACGGTACCCGGTGACTCCAAATTCACAATCTGTGGTGACATTCACGGTCAATTCTATGACCTTATGAATATCTTTGAAATTAATGGTCTGCCATCGGAAACTAATCCGTATTTGTTCAATGGTGATTTTGTGGACAGAGGCTCATTTTCAGTGGAATGCATATTTACATTATTTGGTTTTAAATTATTATATCCCAATCACTTTTATCTTTCACGAGGTATTTATTTACAATATAAATAGTTTGGTAATTTATAAGATATAGTTGTGTAAAAACAACAAATTTCAGGTAACCATGAAAGTATAAACATGAATCAAATGTATGGCTTCACTGGCGAAGTCACAGCTAAGTATACCAGCACAATGGCTGATATGTTCACCCAAGCTTTTAATTGGCTGCCACTGTGTCATTGTATTAACAATAAGATACTTGTCATGCATGGCGGTCTCTTCTCTAGCGACGATGTGACTTTGAAGGATTTGCGACGCATTGATCGTAATTGTCAGCCACCTGAGGATGGTTTAATGTGTGAACTGCTATGGTCCGATCCCCAACCATGGGAAGGCAGGGGTCCTTCAAAACGCGGCGTTGGTATACAATTTGGTCCCGATGTAACTGAGGCTTTCTGCAAACGCAATAATTTAGACTATATTGTACGATCGCATGAGGTGAAAAATATGGGCTATGAAGTAACACATGATGGCAAGTGTATAACGGTATTTTCAGCACCCAATTATTGGTGAGTATTTTTTAAGATATTTAAAATGTTAAGTAATTGTTATTTTTTTATTGTCATACATTTCAGCGATGCCATGGGTAATCAGGGTGCATTTATTACAATTAAGGGCAATGATTTAACACCCAAATTCACATCGTTCAAATCTGTGGTAAGTTGAATTAAGCATTAATTTTGACATCATTTAAAAAACATATTTGAATATTAGGATATTTTGTAAATATCTTCAAATTATACAGTACAAAATGTAAACCCCTATAAAGAAATAACACATTGATGCAATACAACCTAAATGAATCTAATTTATTTTTACTATATTTTTCTTAATTACAGCCTCATCCCGATGTCAAACCCATGGCATATGCAAATAGACTAATGAGTTTATTGGCGTAGTCATTTTAGTCTTGTTGTTATCTTCTCTTCTCTACGGCTCTAATGTTTTCCAAAAACAAACCGATTTGTAAAACATACGCGCTAATGTAATTTTATACAATAAAGATAAACAAATCATGCAACAGCAGCATAGCAAGTCACGCAAGGATGTAACATCCTCGAAAAAACTTGTTTCTCTATCTCCCGCCCTCTTACTTGTCCCTCTCAACTACACTAGCAGTCAGAACAGCAGCGACGGCAGCAATAACAGCTATTTTAACAACATAGCAAAAGCAACCAGAAGATTGGTAGTTTACAACGCAAGCTTTACATCAACTATGAACAAACTTAACAGCATACAACAATCCCGGCAACAGAACAAGTTATTTAGTCATCCGAACTTTGCAATCAGAAGAAAACAAAAAAATTATAAATAATATTCTTTATAATCAAAAGAACAAAAAAAAGAAAAGGAAATTGTTTAAACATTTACATAACTTTAATTACTCGATAAGATTTTGTTTCTATTTTCTTGTTTGATTTGTTTGTTGACTTTTTACAAAAGCGTATTATTTTAAGCATGTTTTTTTCTTCATGGTATATTTTAAAAATAGAAGTCGAAGCAAATTTTTATTTGATGCCATTACTTTTTGTTGTAATCTATTTTATACTCCTTTTTAAAGTTTTTTTTTTTAATTAAAAAAAATATTTTCTCAATAAAAAATAAATTGTACACATTTTCTGGGAAATAAAACAATATTCTCCTATTTGGCTGTAAATAAATAATTCACCATTCACAAAAGCTATTTTATATTTATACATATAAAATGTGGTATCAAAAAGAAAGCATAACCCTATTTCTGACCCTTCACAATCATGTCTCATTAACAAAACCGAAAACAAGTACTATCCCATTTAAGGTATTATGCATATATATATACACACACATAATATATATACATATGATGAACAATAAACAAAAAAGAACATCTTAAAATATTTTTATCGTAAGAAAGAAAAGACATTTATTAAATAAAATGAAGAGATTTAGTCAATAAAGAATTACAAATATCTTCTGTAAGAAAAGGAATATTTTAATTTATAAAGCATATATACCTGCGTACATTCAAAATAAAACTACAAACAGCAAATATAGAGCAATTACTAAAGTGTAACAAAACGAAATGTGTAACACAGAAAATACCATCAACATCATCATCATACTATGTGAGAGTAAATCCAAAAATATGTATTTAATAAATAAAGAAAAATTTTTATGAAATGAAAATGTTTTTTTTTTTTTAATCAAAATCACCGTGAGATGAAAAAACTGCAACCTACTTCAGACTGCTGTTATTTCTAAGCCTCTCGCCCGACAGCAGTTAAAATTATTCCAGTGACAGCTAATTATGTTGTTTACAAGCGTACAAAAGCATTTTGGGGAGCATTTTCCATAAAAAAAAAGGATATTCGTGATGGAATTCAAAAGGAATTCGTGATGGCTATCGTTAGAGCACTCCAGCATTTAAATATGAATAAATCTCTTGTGTCTCGTACCATTGCTCGTTACCGTGATACTGATAGCTACCAACATCAGCAGAAATGGTTCGAAAAGTTAAGAATCGACTTGATTGAAAGCCGCGTCGCAGTGGCCGAAAAATTGTTCTTGCGCTGAACATATCGCAATATTTCATTTGGCAAATATTGAAAAATTGGCTCGGGGTAAAGCCACTGAAATTCCAAAAAGTGCAAGAACTTATATAATAATATTCGGCATTTATTCTGATGCCACGGTCGATTAATACGAGCGGAGAGCGACCATCGGATGTTATGGCAGCCCATACAATCACCATGGCCGGCGTTTGAGTTAAATACTACAAATAATTCTGGACTACGTGATCCATAGCAGCAGCTTGGTCCATGTCATTGTCCAGAAAGATTTCCTAGTGATGTTATGTAACAAGCAAGTGTTCGTGTTGGATCTGTTGCACATGAAGTCGTAGTTTTTGCAGGCAAAACCCTGATGATGAATAATGAGGTAGGTAGTAGTTTTGAAATAACTTTGATTTAATCCAAAGCAGAGTTATATGGTCCAGCCCTAGGATCTCGTAATAATTAATCGGTTAGGTTTTTCAATGCATTTGGGTATGTTTTGGACTAGTTCTTGTCTCTTATGGACCACATTTTACACGCGTGTATGGTGTAGTCATATTCTTTACATGGTTACATACTTGTCGACATATATACTTTGAAAAACTGTGCTATAAAAATCACATAAAACGTTTTTTCGTAGCATGTTTCAAAAAATAAAAATTGAAAATAAAAACTTTTAGAAAAGTTGCAAAATCAATCATATTTAAATATATTTAATTATTTTTTTGGAATTTCGCACAAAATCATAAGTTAAAAAAAATATACATAAATATTAAGTCCAACGCGTTTGATCTCTTCAAGAAATGAGGTAAGATAAAATTGACATTAAAAAACTAACCATTTAAACTCTTTGTATAATCCATTTTTAACCTATTTCACAAACATATGCAGTGCAGGAGAACGATGTTCATCTTTGGATCGAGGCATGCGTCATAAACCATCGAAACCACCACGGTATATACCTGGTAAATCGCCAAATCGGTCGCCGACAAGAAATCAATCATGTAGTCCGCAGCATGTGCCAAGTTCTCCAGAACCATTTCGTTATATGCCAAGTCCTGGTACTTTGGTCCATACGCCGTCTTATGCATTGGGTCGTTATAATGCCCACACCGAAGACATATTAACCAGACCCGAGGAACATTTTTGTAAGTAGTTTAGAAAAATCGTTGCCCATGAATTGACCTATTATCAGATTTGTTGTTCCTATTAGTTTTCTATAACAAATCATATGGGCCTTCCATGTGAAAACCTATTAGTCTTCATTGAAGAGAAATATTGTTTTTTTTTTTTATAAAAAACAAGTTAAAGAATATCAGTCGGCTTAGTCGACAGATGTATACCCTCAACCAATGTTCTATCAGTCAAATTGTTGGCCCTCTATGGAGTAGGATCGGAAGGAATGGACCAATATTTTTCGCATCGGGACTAAATAAATATGATATAAGAATATTGCGATGTGCCAGGTTTGGACTATATTTGTAACTTTCTTCACTTTATATGAGATATGCGATAATTTCTAGAAAATGTTGAAATGTGCGTGACGTACAAGATATAGTCGACCGAAGTATTACATTTTTCATGCAACATCTAATATATATAAAAATTGATATGGGCAAAATTACAAGAAAATCGAACATTTATATCCAATTTATGGGAAATCATAAATTTCCATTTTCATCTCAGGTTTGTTGTTGAGAGACATTTATTTAGATATAGCAAGTTGTAAAGAATCGCTGAGTTGTTTCACAATTTATGACAGATACATGGTATTGAAAAGTATTGAAAATTGTGACCTTTTGTGGGTGAGGTACCAGAAGGGGTTCGCAGGTATATATAATCTTCACAACAGACCTTGTGTTATCAAAAATGTTTGTACGTGTGAAATTTGAAGAGAGTTGAATGCTTATTTCGCCTTCTTCGAGCGTTTTGTTTGAACCCGTTTCAACCCTATGTGGGGCAAGTATCAAAAGAAATGGTCCGATCTCTACCATCTTTATAACAGATATTGTGTTGATGGATATATTGAGATGTACCAAGTTTGGAATGGAATCGGATGTTGATTTCGCTTTTTATGAGCTTCATAAATATTCAAAATTTTGATCCTTTGTGGGGGAGTTACCGGAAGAAGTGGTCCGATATATCCCATCTTCACAGCAGATCTTTTGGAAATAATGAGATGTGTGAAATATAAAGAGATCCTGATGGGATTTGGGATTTTATAAACGTTTTGGTTATTCAAGTCTTTGATTCTTTATGGGGGAGGTACCAGAAGGAATGTTCCGATCTCTACCGTTTTTATAACAGATCCTGTGTTGATAAAAAATATTCTAAATGGAATCGGACGTTATTTTCGCGTTTTATGAGCTTAATGGATATTCCAAATTTCGACCTTTTGTGGGGGAGGAGTGGACCGATATATTCCATCTTTACACCAAATATTGGGTTTATAAAAAGATTGGGATGTGTGAAACATTAAGACAATCGGATTCTTACATCACATTTTATAAGAGTTATTATTATTATTAAAAATGTTTACCCTTTATGGGGGAGGCACTTCTTGGAGTGGACCGATACTATCCATTTTTGCACCTGACCTAGAACTGATGCAAATATTAGGATTTGCAAAGTTGGAGCACAATCGGATTATTGCGAAAATATATTTTTTTAATATTTCGACCTTTTGTGGGAGAGGTACCAGAAGGAGCGAACCGATGTAATCCATCTTAACACCAGACCTTGGATTGATAAAAATATTGGGATGTGTGAGATTTGAAGACAATCCGACTCTTACATCTCATTTTATAGGAGTTGTAATTCTTCACCAGAAGGAATGGAACGATATTGCCCATCTCCGAACTCGATCTAAGTTTGACAAAAATAAGTTTGGACCAAATCGGTTACTCCCTTCGAGAGTTATCGTGCGCACCAACCAGACAGACAGACGGACGGACATCGCCAGGTCGACTCCAAATGTCTTGAAATGAATTTGGTCCAAAGAGACCCAAGGTCTAAAACTGTTATTGCGGATAAGGCACGTTTTATCGTATCAAATGATATATACCCTCTCTAGCCATATGGCTGAGGGAATAAAAATAATGGGCTTTTGAATGAAGGTTTAGGTTTTCTTCTCTTTTGAATGAAGAAGAACTCTTGGTCTCTTCAAGACCAATAGGTTTTCTAAGAAATTATCTTTTGGTTTTCTATAACACCTGTTGGACTTCTACAGAAGAAGGGATGTTTATTTGTATTCTAAGAAAATATAATTAGCTTATTATTTGGTCTTTCAATTGAAGACCCTATAAAAATCAAGAAGAGAAAAAAACAGATCAGACCAGACGAATATACCTCCCCATAAAATATCAGCGGATATTCTCATTCAAGGCTAATATGAAATATGAAGGAACTATAGAAATTGAGAGCCTCCATAATGATCTTTAAGACGTCCAAGAAAATGTCTTACCTATTTAAATTAGCTTATCGCTCCAATATGATTCTCAATGTTCAGGCTTTGCGAATGGGTTCATTAGAATAGAATGAATGAATCTGCGTAGATTCTAAAAAAATACTATCAAGTGAGATAAGGTCTGAAGCACTTAGATGAGATTTTTGTATCCTACAAATCTTAAAAAAATTTCGCGTTTCCAGTCTTATTTCTTCACCCAATACCAAATTTGTCATTCCGTTTGTTACACCCCTCGAAATATACATTTTAGACCCCACAAAGTAGATGAAAAAACTGCTACAAAGTCAAACGCCATAATTTTTACTTTTGTTTTTAATTTTTTAAATGAAAGCAAAAATGTCGGAAATACTATCAAATTTTAGAATAGGTTTAGATTTGTACGAATTGATCACCTTTGGCACGAATTATGGCCTTCAAACGGCCAATGAAACCGTCACACGCTGCCCGAATTTTGCTCTGACGTATTTTGGCCCATTGCCGGCGAAGCGCTTGCTTGAGGCGATTGATTGGGTATATTAGCTTTGTCATTCCGTTTGTAACTCCTCGATATATTCATAATAGTCCTACAAAGTATATATATTGTGGACCAGCGTAAAATTCTAAGACGATCTAGCGATGTCCGCCTGTCGCTTGTAATCACGCTATCTTTCGAACGTATTGAGGTAGAAGGCTAAAATGTTGCATACATGCATAGTTTACCAGTAGGCAGGTTAAGTTCGTAAATGGTCCATGTCGTTCCACGTTTTCGTATAGCCCAAATTTAACGGTACCTGCTGAAAAATTATTTCAAAATTCGTATATGAAGTTCGTAATGGGTACTACAGCCTATGACAAAAGTTTTTGTATGCAGGTCCACGTCTTCGTATAACCCCCATATGACGGTACCTCCCGATAGTCGGTATTTTGATGATTTCAGCAAGTTGAAGTTCGTAATGGGTACTGCAGCATATGACAAAAGGGTTGATGTCTTTGTACAGTTCTCATATAACGGGTTTCAATTAAGTGGAAGTTTTCAGATTTTTTTCTTTAATTTCAAGTTTCTTTCAAATGGTGGAGGGTATTAAAAGTTCGGCCCGGCCGAACTTAGCTGCTTCTTTACTTGTTCTCCCTTAAGTCATTCTTGCTATCGTTCTATTCTTTTACAATAGACGACTATAATGATCAAATAGATAATCAACTTGCCAAAACTCCTCTTCGAGAACCTTCGCATGGCATCAGAGGTCGTCGTCGCATTGAAAATTTACCCGAAGAATTACTCGAAGAATTTGAAGAACCTTCTTTCTACGAACCACCGGAAAATGCTTCATTTGATGAATTAATGTGTGTCTTTCCTAGTCCGGTGGTTACCGGTGCAAGAACGCCTATGACAATGGAACCCAGTAGCCCCAAGACAAAATCACCTGTCACTAAAAAAGTTCAGGCAACTATAGAGGAGGTGCCAAAAAGTGTTTCAAAGAAAAAAGTCGTGTCCTCCAAAGGACAACCTAAACAACGTCCCGTTCAACATCCTCCCGATTATATTGATCCGGAAGATGCGGCAGCAATTTTGCTAGCACGCCAATTGGCTGGCCTCAAAACAAGTAATCCCAAACTACTACCAAAACGAAGTACACCACCAGGAGTCAAAACTCTTCCGGAGAAAATGGCATCTCCGTCTCCTCTACCCACATATGAAGGAATTATAAGGAGGATGGAAGCTATACGTGCTGCGGCAAATGCAAAAAAGGCTGAAACTCCTACAAGAACGCCAGCATTATTGTCAACTTCTGTACAGGATCAGTTAGACGAATTTGAAACGTTGGAGCAATTATATGAGGCCCAACCTCTACAATGTCCCAGAGATGCCGCAGAGCCAGGTTCTGAGATTGGTCATTCATTGGTGGAACGTATCGAACATTTACAGCGTCAACTTTTGGATTCCCCTAAACCACCAGCAAGTCCCGCTTTTGAGTTACCACCTATAATTCGATATTATGATTTACTGAGGCAACAAGATGCATTAGCCAAAGCCCAAAGATTGCAACACCCAGAAGAAGAGCATGGGGTGGAAACGGACTCATTGGAAGTTGATGTTGATTTAAACGAAATACAAAATATAGCCGATTGGGAATTGGCTGAATTGTCTCAAAATCTCGGTCCAATTCCCGAATCGCCGTTAAGAGAGAAAACTCCCAAACGGCAAGATATTTGCATCCCAATGTCCCTTGCAACACCGAAGGTACCAGAATACTTGTTATCCCCTAATTTATTGGCAGATTTCGATTTGGAAGAAGATCATGATATGTCCTTGGTTAACATTTCAATGCCAGCTGAAGTCTGTCTACAAGATAGCTTTGTCGATGAACCGAGATTGGATGATGTAACATCGCCAGATCTAGATGACTTATCTATATCTGTACCAGAAGCACTACAACCTGATTATCCCTTGGATTTGTCTAGTCAAGAGCAAGATAAATCATCGGCAGGATTCTTAACTTCTGTGGTTGGGGCGGTGGTGGATAAATTTCGAAATATGTTTGTTGGTTCTGCCTCAGAGGGAGTTGAAGATGAACAAAAGGCCACGGAGGTTGATCGTACTATAAATTTAGACTCTTCACTTCCAAATATCTTTAAATCTACTCCACCGCCAGCAAAACCTATAACTTCCCAAAAATTAGAAACAGTTGCATCATGCCCGCCAAAGGCCAAAGAGACAAGTCCAGAATCGCCAATTGTTATACCCACAGATCCCATACATCCCAAAGATTATAAAGCTATGGTAAAGAGAGCCCAGCTCATACATAAACTCAGGGCCAGAGAGGCAGCTAAAGCCAAGGCGCAGGTTGAAGTTAAATCCGAGAAAAAGCCTGAAATAAAATCCACGATACCAAAAAGAGCTCCCGCACCCAAGAAACGCCCAGTGAAAAAGAAAAGCCAAACAGAGTCTCCACAAAAAATATATCCACCGGGTGAATATCCTCCGGGCTATGTTGAAGCCGTGGCCCGGGCCAGACTATTGGCAGGCTATAAAAATAGATCTGCCCTTTTGAATCCTCAAAGGGCAGCTAGGTTGGCAGCTTTAAGAGCTCAAAAAGAAGCCGAACAAGCAGCCGAAGCAGCTTTGCCTCCCGTCGAAAGGATGAAGAAACGTATTGCTCGTATACGGGAAAAAAGAGGAAAATTATCCACGCTTAGGCCTTCCATAGATACCTTGGCAACTCTGGAGGCAATAAGGGAATCTTTACCCAAACCCGAAATACCAAAACCTCCTGGCCAGGGAAAATGGAAACCTATGCCGCGAAAACTTAAAACCGGCGATGAGGTTTTTTCTAAACAATACCAAAGAGCTGTGGAGCAAATTCAACCCATGACGCCCATTAAAGAAGAGAGCTTTGCCCAAGGAGATTTAATAAGCTTCTCACCACTGAGGCCGCATGAAATGCGTTTGAGATTGGAACATCTTAAGAAGCAAGCGGAGTCTAAAGCCATTTCTAAATCGCCTATAAAGTCAATTGAAGAATATGAGGAAGTCCAACCATTTCAGTATACTCCCATAACCTTGGATAGTCCGGAGAGACCTAGAACGAAAGAAACCCTCAGGGAAACAGTTACAACTAGAATTGATGACCAAAGTGGGTTGGAAGAGAGAATTCACGAGGAAATTCTGGAAACATCCATTATCGATAAGGGTGAGGTGCATACAACGACTAAGAAAATTACAACAAAAACTGATGCATTCGGAAATATAAAATCCCGTCAAGAGGAAGATGTTGAGAATATCGACGCCATAGGGGTTCCAGTTTTTCTTGATATTTCGGATACAATGCAGGCGCCACCAGATAGGGATTCAGTATTACCAGGACCCTCAGAGTTAATAGAGAAAATTCGACAACAGGCTCAACAAAGACTTCAAATGGCACAGCCAACCCCCTTCCCAAGACCAATGGAAAGTCCTCTGAAAATTCCAATGCCCACAGATTTACCTGATGAAGATATATTTGAAATCGATATGCCGCAAATGGATTTTATTTCACCCATAAAACAAATGCCCATTTCGGCACCACCAGCTACGGATCCAACAATACGAACACCCTCGGAGTTAATAGAGAAAATTCGACAACAGGTTCAAAAAAAACTTGAAATGACACTACCAATCCATGTTCCAAGGCCCATGGAAAGTCCCATGAAAATTCCAATGCCCACAGATTTGCCAGATGAAGACATATTTGACATTGATATGCCGCAAATGGATTTAGTTTCACCCATAAAGCAAATGCCTACAAGTCCACACCTACAACAACCAGCGGATGTTTCCTTACCATATCTATTTCCTGACAGTCCACAGAGGATTAAATCCCCACACGTTTCCCCCGAAAAACCTCAAAAACCCATATGTCCTGTCAAAGTATTAACGCCCGTTGTGGAACCCAAGAAAGAAACCATTATTATACCACCATACCCTAAAGATCCCAAAGACTATGTTGGAATGGTGAAACTGTCCAGAGCTTTATACCAACTACAAAAACAAAAGGAAGCCGAGGGGGCTGCGTTGGCAGCAAAACAACCTCCTGCGGCTGCTCCTACCAAGAAACCGTTAAGTAAAAAACCCAAAGTATCCAAAGAAAAACTGCCTCCCAAAAAGAAACCGCCCAAAGAAATCCCGCCTGATGAATATCCCGCAGAACCCCCTCCACTACCAGCTGATTACGTTGCTGCGGTGGCAAGGGCCCGGCAACTGGCAGGTTTAAAAAATACTACAGCATTACTTAATCCCGCATTGGCAGCAAAAATTGCTGAACAAAAGGCTGCAGATGAAGCAGAATTGGCAGAATTTGAAAAGCTAAGTGCCTTTGGACAGATTCAAAAGAGAATGGAGAAACTAAGAAATATTCCCGAGAAACGAAAACTACAACCGTCTGCTGAAGTTTTAGGTATGATTGAGGCCATACGTGCTAATTTGCCGGAAATAGAAGCAATAGAATCTGAAACGCAAGAAGAAATGAGAGAAAGGCCTGTCTGTCCAATGTTATCACCAGAAGCAACAGAAGCATTGGCACGAAAACCCATGGAAAGTACAGATAAACAGTACACGTCCCTAAAACAATTTGAAGACTTGGAAAGGCAATTACTGGCTTCCGAAGAGGGCAAAACTGTAGTGGGTGTCACAGATACATCATTGAAAGAATTTGAAGCTTTACAAAGGCAAATGGCAGCCTATCCTAAAGACACTTCTTTGGATGAATTTGAAGCTTTAGAAAGGCAAATGGCAGCCTATCCTAAAGACACTTCTTTGGATGAATTTGAAGCTTTGGAAAGGCAAATGGCAGCATGCCCCATAGATACCTCATTGGATGAATTTGAAGCTTTGGAGAGACAATTAGCAACCTGCCCCAAAGATACTTCCCTTGAGGAATTTGAGGCCCTAGAAAAGCAAATGGCAGCATGTCCCAAGGATGCATCCCTAGACGAATTTGAGGCCCTTGAAAGACAGTTAGATGCCGATGACTACAAAAAACAAGTAGCCAATGCATATGCCAAGACCAGAGAAACTCCTAAGGGAATCGCAGGCTACCGTAGAGTCAAAAAGAGAAATTTAATGGATGAAATGACTGAACCAAGACACGATCCAGAATTTTATCAACAACTAATTGGAGAATTTGTTCAACAACATCCAAAGGAACCACAGCCAAGGAGGATAAAACCATTTGAAGATCTAATTATTTCAACACCCTTAAGTGCTAAGGAACGTTTTCGCAGAATCAAAGAAGCTCAAGCTAAACAGATTTTATCCAGCGAAATAAAAACACCCAAAGGTTCTCCAACACCAATTGCACTAACTCATTATAGTCCCATTACTTTATCAAGTCCAAGTGGTCCACCATCTGGGGATAGGTCTAGTGTTACTTTGGCAATGAAAACAATAGAACGTAATGTACCTTTGGTCAATCTTCAAAGTCCCGACCAACCTCTGCATTTTGGAAAGCAATTCGCCCAACTTGAAGACATGCCTTTGGATGATATCGAATATGAGGATTTGCCCACATTTAGGGATGTCTCTTTTGATAAACCATTAACGCCACCACCAAAACCAGCGGAACTTATTGCCAGAATCAGGCAACAAGTACAACAGCGTCTGCGAGAAGAACAAATGGAAGAGACCATAGTTCCACCACCGCCTCATACTAAGTTTCCTGATAACCTACCGGAGGAGGAGTTACTTGAACTCAGTGCTCCATCTTTTGCTCAGACTCCAAAAACCGGAACTCCCAAGAGGCCAACAACACCCAGACATTCCTTACCATATGTTTTTGGTGAACCACCTGCAGCCACTCCGGTGGAGGCTAGAAAAACACCCATTACAATCCCAGAACCTGAGTCTCTGCCGAGTCAAGTTACGGAAACTAAGCCAGCGACTCCGAAAACGACTATTGGCCAAATATTTCCACATAATTACCCCAAAGAATATGTGGCCATGGTTAAGAAAGCCCAGGAAATGTACAAATTACAACAGAAACAAAAAGAGGCTGAAAAAGCAGCGCCTAAAATTAGGCCACTTTTATCGAAAGCCCCTTTGAAAACCAGAAAAACTGAGTTAAGGAAAAAACTTGGCCAAAAGAAAAAAACAACCGGACAAAAAGCCGACAAGAAAGAAGACAAATCTATGGAATACCCTGAGGAGTTGCCACCACTACCTGCAGATTATTTGGCTGCTGTGGCTCACGCTCGAAAGTTGGCTGGCCTCAAAAATACCACAGCTGCACTAAATCCCGAAATTGCAGCAAAAATTGCAGCAGAAAAGGCCAAAGTTGAGGCCGAGGCTGCTGCCTTTGAAGCTATGACTGAACACGAAAAACTAAAATTCCGTATGGAAAAATTGAAACAGAAACCCGGATTCAAGGTGACTACAAAACCAACAATGGATCAACTGGCTTTTCTGCAACACATGAAAGAAGTGTGTCCTCGTGCGGCAGAAGAAAGTCAAAGGGAAGCTATTGTCGGCGAAGAGCCCATACAAGGTGTAATGTTAACTCCAAAATTGGTGCAAGATGGTCGGGATGAAACTTTTGATGAAATGGCTGAATTTGAAAAGCTCGAACAAATAGAATGTCCCGTACGACCAATGCCCGCGGCAAAGTTAAAAGACACACCGGCATTGGAAATCCAAGACTTAATAACAAAAATGGAGCAACAACAACTGGGCACACCTTTGCCACCTCAAGAACGTTTCAAACAGCTTTTGGCCCAAAAACAAGCTACACCTATTGCCCCACAAACACCGCAACTTAATGAATTACCAATAAAGCCTTATAGCCCCATTTTGCTCAGGCATTCACCCACCACTCCGAAGAGAGTAACGCTTAGTGAAAAAGCAACAACACAAATCACCAAGAAGGGTCCTGACACCATTAAGGAGATGATGCGAGAAACTTCTGAAATAGTGAATGGAGAATTGCAAGAAACTAGCGAACATATTACCACAGCCACAGATTCTCTGGGCAACATAATCTCACAAACTAAGGAAACCAAAAAGTTTATAGGCTTTGATACACCAATAGAGGCGGAACCCCTAGAAGCTGTCGATGAACCAAGTTTCCTTGACATTACACCCGTATCTCCCATCGAAGCGCCACCCAAGCCCAGAGACCTAATCGAAAGAATACGCAAAAAAGTTCAAAGTAGACCGCCAAGACCTGAAGTACCAATGGGCCAACTTATAGAATTGAGAACACCACCGAAAGCGCTGCCACTACCGCAAAATGTTCCCGACGAAGACTTACTGCAGATAACTCTGCCAGATTTGCCAAAAACTCCTCCTACAAAGATGACCGATGATTTAAGAAAGGCAAGAAAATCTCCGGAACGTGTACTGAATGTTTCGCTTCCTGAAATGTTTGTTGAGACACCAAAACAATGTAGGGGTCTCACATCCCCCCAAACGGAAGATTATACCCTGGAAGCGCCACCATTACCTGATGATTATGTTGAACAGGTTGCCAAAGCCAGGCAGTTGGCGGGACTGAAAAATACCACTGCTGCCCTTAATGTAAAAACTGCAACAAAATCTGCAGATGAGCTCCACTTTGCCAAGCTGATGACAAAAGTTGCTGAAATGAGGAAGCAAGGGCAATTACGACAAACGGAAGATTCCATAGTACAATCAGAGGAGGCATCTTTGGTGTGCCCCAAGGCAAAAGAAATTTACGAGGAAACACCCAAAACTCGTTTGAAGAAACTGAAGGAATGGGCAGCAAAGACTTCTAAAGAAGCAACTGAGGATCGCATAGAACCCAAAACACCTAAAATTGATGAAATTCCCTATGAACCTATAACCTTGGAAAGTCCATGGGTAAAAGCTGGAGAAGCATGGAAATTAGATGCAAGTCGATTTAAAGAATTACGGGATTTAAGTGCTCTCATTGATCTGGAAGAGCCAAGTTTTCTTAACAAAAGCCACGAGCAATACTCCCCACAACCAACCCCATCGCGTTTGATTGCAGAAATACGTCAACAGGTCTATGACCGTTTAAGAGAGGAAAATATCCAACAAACCATTGTAGACGTATCCCAACCTGACCTTAGAGATGCATCAATGCCTAGAGAATTATTTAGTTATGATTCGCCACAGCATCATATCCATCGTATGGCAAAATCAGAGGTAGATATTGGCGATATTTCAATGCCAGCTGATTTGAGCATAGTTGGAGGAAAAACACCAGATTTCTCAGAAGCTGCAATTGGCGACATATCAATGCCTAGCGGACTTTATAGTTCTTCTTGTGCCCAACAGGATGCCCATGTCGTAGACAAATCTGAGCTGGATATTGGCGATATTTCCATGCCAGCGGATATGAGAAGAGATTTAAGAATGTATTCACAATTGCAAAACTTTCGAATTCATAATATATCCGAACCTGCCCTGGGAGACATATCTATGCCTCCTGAATTATATAGTATTTCTTCTCCACAGCGAGATGCCTATTTACCAGATAGATCAGAGTTGGATATAGGCGATATTTCCATGCCAGTGGAAATGAGCAGGGATGAAAGAATGCTATCGCAAATTCCCCATCCGCAAGATATCTCAGAAGCTGCTATTGAAAACATATCAATGCCCTCCGAACTATATAGTTTTTCTCCTTCTCAGCAACATGCATATTTAGCGGATAAATCAGAGGTTGATATAGGCGATATTTCAATGCCAGCTGATATGACCAGAGACGATAGAATGGTATCGCATTTACAACAGTCCCGTCTACAAGATATCACAGAAGCTGCAATTGGAGACATATCAATGCCACCCGAATTATATAGCTTTTCATCACCTCCACGATGTGAATATGTACCCGACAAGTCGAGGTTGGATGTAGGCGATAGGAGAATGGTAACGCATCTACAAAGATCCCGTTTGCTTAATGTATCAGAACCTGCTCTAGGCGACACATCAATGCCACCTGAATTATATAGCTTCTCCTCTCCACAGCGGAATGCTTATTTATCGAATAAATCTGAGGTGGTTGATATAGGCGATATTTCAATGCCAGCGGATATGAGCAGAGATGGAAGGTCCCACTTGCACGACATATCCGAACCCGCTCTAAAAGATATATCGATGCCACCTGAGTTATACAGCTTCTCCTCTCCACAGCGGAATGCCTATTTACCGAATAAATCTGAGGTTGATATAGGCGATATTTCAATGCCAGCGGATATGAGCAGAGATGGAAGGTCCCACTTGCACGACATATCCGAACCCGCTCTAAAAGATATATCGATGCCACCTGAGTTATACAGTTTTTCATCTCCACAGCGGAATGCCTATTTACCGAATAAATCTGAGGTTGATATAGGCGATATTTCAATGCCAGCGGATATGAGCAGAGATGGAAGGTCCCACTTGCACGACATATCCGAACCCGCTCTAAAAGATATATCGATGCCACCTGAGTTATACAGCTTCTCCTCTCCACAGCGGAATGCCTATTTACCGAATAAATCTGAGGTTGATATAGGCGATATTTCAATGCCAGCGGATATGAGCAGAGATGGAAGGTCCCACTTGCACGACATATCCGAACCCGCTCTAAAAGATATATCAATGCCTCCTGAATTATACAGCTTCTCATCTCCACAGCGGAATGCCTATTTACCGAATAAATCTGAGGTTGATATAGGCGATATTTCAATGCCAGCGGATATGAGCAGAGATGGAAGAATATTATCGCATTTACAACAGTCCCATTCGCAAGATATCTCAGAAGCTAATATTGGAGACATCTCAATGCCTCCTGAGTTATATAGTTTTTCTTCTCCTTCTCGATGTGCATATTTTCCAGATAAATCTGATTTGGATATAGGCGATATTTCAATGCCAGCTGATATGACCAGGGACGGAAGAATATTATCGCATTTACAAAGATCCCGCTTGCATGACATATCCGAACCTGCTCTAAAAGATGTATCAATGCCTCCTGAATTATATAGCTTTTCGTCCCCACAGCGGAATGCCCTTTTACCGAATAAATCCGTGATGGATATAGGCGATATTTCAATGCCAGCTGATATGTCCAGAGACGAGAAAATGGTATCGCATTTACAACAGACTCGTCTGCAAGATATTTCAGAAGCTGCAATTGGAGACATATCAATGCCTCCCGAATTATATAGACCCTCTTCTCCAGAGCGATGTGCGTATTTGCCGGACAAATCCGTGGTTGATATAGACGACATTTCAATGCCAACTAATATGAGTCGAGATATAACGATGTTATCTCATTTACAGAGCTCCGGCTGGCTAGATTCTCCACAGCTGATTTCACCTCCAACAAGGCAAAAATTTGCCCAGGAAATACCCGTTTCAATAAAAAGAACACCTTTGCGTTCAGTTGATAAAAGGATGCAAATTTCCTTTACTCCTCGCGCTGTCACAGCAATACCTGAAGATTCCTTAGCCGAATTTGAAGCTCTTGAAAAATGTGAAAGAGAAACACCTACCACAGGGAGTACACCTCACTATCTACCCAAGACTCGCATCAAAGCACAAGCAATTCCAAGATCTTCAAAAGGAAACGAACAAGTACCAACCGTAGAAAGAATGCAAATCTCACTAACACCTCGAACAAATCTAAGTGCAATGCCAGATAATTCTCTGGCAGAATTTGAAGCACTTGAAAAATGCGAAAGAGAAACCCCAATGATGAGGGAAGGAAAACAACAAAAGAAAACACCTTTAAGCTCAAGCAGAAAATTATCCATCACACCGACTATACCCAAATTAATTCCAAGGTCTCCTGTTTCACACAGACAAACACCACTGGGAATAAAGAAAGTACGTCGTGGCCACAGACTACAAATGTCCTCTACTCCTCACTCAATTAAAGAAGATTCTCTGGGCGAGCTTGAAACCCTAGAAAAATACGCTGAGAGTACACCAGTGTCAAGAATGCATCGTAGTCCATATCGAAAAATTCCCAAATCCAGCGAAGACAAAAGAATGCAAATGTCCATAACACCACGTACAGTGGACAGAATGCCCGAGGAGTCCATGGAATCACAGGAATTGGCCGAATTTGAAGCTCTCGAAAGGCAAGGAAGGCAAACACCGTTGGCACCACGCATGACCTGCCCTATACCAGATGAATCTCCTACATTGGCCGAGTTTGAAGCATTGGAAAAATATTCCCAGGGCACACCTTTGGCACGCATGGCCCTTAGCCAAAATCTGAAGAAAATAAAAGCCAGGGAAGCCGAATCACATGCTGATAAAGAACGGATGCAGATGTCCATAACACCACGTACAGTACCAAGAATACCAGAGGAGTCCATGGAATCACAGGAATTGGCCGAATTTGAAGCCCTCGAAAAGCAAGGTGGACAAACTCCTTTGACACGGTCAGATTATAAACGAATGCAAACTTCTATGACACCACGCATGACCTGCCCTATACCAGATGAATCTCCTACATTGGCCGAGTTTGAAGCATTGGAAAAATATTCCCAGGGCACGCCTTTGGCACGCATGACACTTAGCCAAAATCTTAAGAAAATAAAAGCCAGGGAAGCCGAATCACATGCTGATAAAGAACGGATGCAGATGTCCATAACACCGCGTACAGTACAAAGAATTCGAGATGAGTCCATGGAATCACAGGAATTGGCCGAATTTGAAGCCTTCGAAAAGCAAGGTGGACAAACACCTTTGACACGGTCAGATTATAAACGATTCAACACATCCATTACACCACGTGTAACCTGCCCTATACCAGATGAATCTCCTACATTGGCCGAGTTTGAAGCATTAGAAAAATATTCCCAGGGCACGCCTTTGGCACGCATGACACTTAGCCAAAATCTGAAGAAAATAAAAGCTAGAGAAGCGGAATCACATGCTGATAAAGAACGGATGCAAATGTCCATAACACCACGTACAGTACACAGAATACCCGAGGAATCCATGGAATCACAGGAATTGGCCGAATTTGAAGCCCTTGAAAAGCAAGATAGACTAACACCTCTAATATTATCAGTTAAAACAGATAGACGAACATATATGACACCACGCATGGCATGTTCAATGGCCGCAGATCCTTTCAATAATACAGAGCTTAGAGAATTTGAAGAGTTTGAAAAAAATGCCATGACAACGCCTGCCTCCTCTAATCATGACAACATAAAATCAAAAGCAAATCTAATCAGACACTTGGCAAAACAAAAAATGCAAGTTTCCATAACACCACGCACACATTGTGCATTATCTGCAGCTTCGAAAGAAGAGGATGCGGAATTTGAAGCTCTAGAACGGTATGCTTATGCAGGAACTCCCGCAACACAAAGTGATGGTAAAGGAAATCAACGAATGCATATGTCCATTACACCCCGCATGGCAGACATAAACATACGAGAGAGTTCAATGGAAGCTGCGGATATGGCTGAATTTGAAGCTCTCGAAAAGGGTGCTATGGAAACACCCACCATCGGAACCACAAAATCACCAAGAGAACATCAAAATGTTGTAAACTATAGTGCTGTACAATCACTTGAAAGAGAGCCAATGAAGAGAGAGCAATGTAGACGCTAAGCTTAATAACATTTTGTAAATATTAAAAATTGTATATTTGTGTAAAATTGTGTAAATGTGGAACGTATATGAATTGCAAATAAATTGAAATAGTGTTTCAATACAACATGCTGTCCATTATTATTTTGGCGCCCAATAGTTTTGAAATTATGAACTGAAGAATAACCAATAAGTAGTAATCTCTGCAGTTCTCAGTTTCTACTACTTACTACACAAGCTTTTTACTAGTAATAGTACAATTAAGAAAGTTTAGTCATGCAATCATATGTTTACATTTTTTTTTTCAAAATTATTAACTTGATCACATTTCATTGTCATAATTTTACCCTACAACACTTTGTGTTGGGAGTATTATAAGTTTGATTGGACCAAAAATTATGTAACACCTCGAAATATTGATTTCCCACATAGTACATGTGGATCTTAATATCTCGCTGAGCTGAGTCGATCTACCTATGTATGTCTGTTCGTCCGTGTTTCCGTCTGTCCATGTTAATTTGTAATCACGCCACAGGTCGCAATTATGGACCGATCCTCACGAAATTTTGCATGGAGGTGGGGTTTTGATCAGAATATAAGCCTATTGCTTTTGGAGATGTTCGCACAATATTTGGGGCGCGGAAGTTTGCATGGAGCTAGAGCTTAGGGCTGGGCAGAAACCTTCCAATTTGGATGGTCATCGGGTAACATTTAGTGGGTGTAATAAACAATAAAGGCCAAATTTTTTATTAAACCGCAAATATTTTTAATACCGGAGAAACCACAAATAGACGAAAAGGTAAATTCTGACCGTTACGTAGATGCTGATAGTAAATACATAGACAAATGAAGATATAGACAACGAAAAGTTAGTTTTGTTTTTTTTTCCAGATGGCTCTCATCATGTTTTGCATAGTCAACATGCTGATTTACGCGTTCAAGCCACTCGACTTCGAAAACACATTTTATCGTTTTTCAAGAATTTCACTGGAATATTCCCATATTTTTCGATGTCATCACGTACTTTTCACATTTCTTTTATTATAAAATAATTTTCAGCTGACAAATATCCTACAGTTTTTATTATTTTTAACATTTTTGAATTGAGTGACTTCAAAATTCCCACTCAAACCCCTGAAACGATATGGACGACATCTGCTGATCCGGTTTTTTTCGAAGATAAACGGTGAGAGCATTTCGTTGTCTATATTTTCATTTGTCTATGGTAAATATATCGGATATATGCACCAAATACTGAAAAAATGTCGGATTTTGCCGTCATCGGATAATATTTAGCGGGTAAAATAGACCATATCTTTTTTATTGAAAAAATTCAAAATTTTTCATTAAACCGCGAATATTTTAAATCCCGGCGAAATCCAAAGCCATGACAAGGTTACTTCTGATCTCCACATTGATGTTAAGATCCAACAAATCGGATATATAGCAAAATATGTGCGATATATGTCTATCAAAGAAGATATGCTTGAAAGATCTCTTATATGTCGAGAACGGCTGAACTGATTTCGACAGTTCTCATTAATTCAGAATGGCCTCTTGGCAGGGAAGAAAAAACGTCTAAAAAAATCGCATAAAAATGTCTCTCTAAAGATGAAAATATTGATTTTGTAAAATTTTCTCATATTTTTTCAATTTTGTCATATTTTTTTGGCATATTTTCATTTTGAATTAAACATTTGGTAATATTTCTACAGCTAACAAAACTAAGTAGTTAGGATATCAGGATATCATATACAGATCGCATTTATGGCCTTACGAAATTTTGCATGGGGATAAGATGAGGGTCAGAATAGACGCCTACTCTTTTTGGAGATGATCGCCATATATTTAGGGGTTCAAATGGACCAAAAACTGCAAAATTGTCAGTAGGTCGTAATTATCGCCCGGTCCTCACGCACATTTGAATGGGGGTTACCGGACATTGCAAAAGCCAAGCAGTTTTGGATGGCCATCCAAAAATATTCAATGTCTGAAGGAGTTTGCAAACTTTTGTAGACAAAATACGAAAATGTCCATTCCAGTGACTTTTTGGAGTATTCACAAATACAGGAAAGACGCACTTCTGACTATTTCGTTAACGCTGATTTCGTTGAAGAATATAGTCAAATGTCTGTATCTCATATAGATGCGTTTCAGTCAAAAACCAATAATAAATGTTAATCTTTTGCCACTTCTGAGAGATTATAGGTCTTTGGGAAATATTGGTTCCAGATCTAGGATGACCATTTACGTACAACATCTACCAATAAATTGGAAATGAGCAAATTAGTTTATGTTGCTATTATTCGAAAATTAGAGAACGAAACCTGATGGTTTTCTTTTATTATTTGTCACAATATCTTGTGGAATTCTTTCGAGTATCTCGCCTATATAAACTGTACCGTTTATTATAGTGTTGTAGGGTATTCAACGGTCGGCCCCGCTCGACTGTAGCCTTAGCTTACTTGTTTTACTTGTTTTTAAAGTAATATGTAATATTTGTCATTGAAATTGCTCGTCTTTTAGCATAGTATAATTCAAAGACGAAGGAGGATGGATGGAAGGATGGTTTCTTCCCAAATTACCAACATTTGCCGAAATTAGTATGAAAATATGGTTAAAATGTAAGATATACTTGAAATCGGGTTGAATCCTTATGCGGGGGTTACGACCCATATTTTGAACTGCAAAAGCGATTTAAGGTATCGTGAAAGTTCAGGAAGAATTTCTGAAAGAGTAGAAATCCTTTTCCCTCTCCTTTTTTGCGCTTACATATTCGGCATTTCACTGATTGCAGTCCCAATGAATTTTGCATATTGAGTTCTCATTGGACGGATTATTGTCATGTGAAAGAAGTAGGTAGGTGCACGTTTTGAAATGAGCCCCATAACGTTTTGTCGTTTATTTTTGTATGTTTAAATGTGTTCGCATTTTCCAGCTGAAGCACCATGTAGATTCTGGAGTTGAAAGCTAAATGCCAATTTCAGACATGAATGATCGCCATTTAACATCGTATTGCGTACTATTTCTTTTTGATATTATTTATTCAGAATTCAATAAATTAATAAATAAAACAATGTACACTTCTGTATAGTTTTTAAATTGAAAAAATTTCACCCCAAAAAGATTTTTTCTTTTTTATTTTTATTGGCATATTTTAATTTTTTTTTTTTTGCCAAGATTCCATTCCAAAATTGTATGAATTATAAAAATCCTTCAAAACGTTCTTGAGTTATAAGCATAGTAACTAATAAACAAATTGAAAAAAATCTTCAACTTGTTCGCTGGTTTTTTACAGCGAATGTTTAAAGGTCCTTACGAAGTTTGTTCTTTACTATTATTTTGAAATTTCATTCCACTGAAAAAAATGCTCTCTATTTTCCCCCGAAATGCAGTAGTCTTTTTGATTTTTTAGCAGCTTGGAAAAATTAATTATCTTTTAACTTTGGTTTGACCACGTTAAATTATTTTGACATAATCTATTCAGGTCCGCCACTCCATAATTGTCGTCGCTTTATACTACCCAAAAAGACTACACATCATATTAGAATTCAAAAAAAAAAAAAACACTACAAATGTACATTCCAAAATAGTAAGTCAAAATGGAAAAAATCATGCAAAATAAAACATTACTAATGTACACTTCAGAAGTCAAAATGAACATTTTCAAAATTCACAATTTTACGCGATTTTTTTTTTTATTTTATCCTTTTCTGCCAAGAAACAATTTCGAATTTGTGTGAATCGTTAAAATCAGATCAGCGGTTTTTGAGTTATAAGCGTAGCAACTAACACAATCGTATTTTATATATATAGATAGATTAGAAGTATGCGTTGTCAGTTCTTCGGACCCCAAATAAATCCCTAGGGTTGGAGGCAAAGTCAGCAGTATCTCGTGTAATAATTTTCAAACCGATATCTTCATTATATGGCAAATATAAGGATTTTAGATAAATCAAGACAGTGGGCGTAAAAGTATGCGTGGTCAATATTTTTTTCTTTAAAAATCTAACTCAGGGTATGACGAACGTTTGTACAAAAAATTATGCAAATCGGTCCAGCCGTTTTCAACTGATTCCGTTACCAACAAACAACAATTGATTTTTATATATATAGAAGAAGAAGATATTGACTTGGGGATCGTAGCCCTTTTTACTTTTCAATGTAGATTTTCAAAACGTCGATACAGGTTTCTTATTTTTTTAGTTCTACTTTCTTACATAATATACTGGATCTTACTCTTTTTTACTATACAGTGTTTTTTAGATAAAATGTTAAAATTTGTTTTACACCTTTAAAAATATATATTCCTCGCTAAAAAATTGTCAATTTTGATTTAATTTTATTTATTTATTTATTTCAATTCATTTGTAATACAAAGCCTCCAAGGCCAATAATGTGTATCAACTTGCATTAAATAATATAACCTGAGCTTAATTTATTTACAATATAAAGATTCTTAATTTATTTAAAACTATTTCTACTTTTACTCCAATTAAAAAAGAAAAGAAAAGTTGGCTCCCCAGCCATTAAAACAAATTAAACTATTTTACTACATAAAATATTCAGTAAGCGGCATATTAATTCTTAAGTTGTGTATTATATAATATATTTACCATTTAGACACAACTAAAATGTGTTTTGAAATAATTGCAAAATCTTGAGGCGAAAAGCATTGTTACTTTGGGAAAATATGCGAAATTCGAGCGTTTCTCAACTATCTAAATGTAGATCGCATTCATTGCTCGAAACACCGTTTTTTTTTTTGCAAGATGTTTTTCGATAACTTTTGGACATAAGAGAGAAAATTCTCTCGGTAGACTTAACTGAGTAATTTTTAATAGAAAAGTTATCACCTATGCCTAATCCTATGACAAGATGCCAACCAAGATTCTTTCTTTTACCTAAAAAGCCAGCCCATGAATTATACCATAAAAATCCTTGCGTAAAGCTTTTCCACTAATAAATAATCCTTATCTAAATGATATGGAAACAACAACACTGAGAGTACTGCTCCCAATATTAAAATTAAACATGACTACTACATCCTCCATAATAAAAATCCTGCTCATATAGTTTTTATACCCACCACCTTGGAAAGGAGGGTATATTAACTTTGTCATTCCGTTTGTAACATCCTTAAATATTCGTCTTAGACCCCATAAAGTATATATATTCATAATCAGCATAAAATTCTAAGTCGATTTAACGATGTCCGTCTGTCTGTCCGTCTGTCTGTTGAAATCACGATACAGCCCACATTATTTGACGTAGAGCGCCAAAATTTAGCAGAGCTATTTGCATTGTGTCTAGGATGGTTGGTATTGAAAATGAGATATATCGGTCCACGTTCTGGTATAGTCCCCATATAACGGTACCTCCCGATATTCGGTATTTTGATGATTTATGCCACATTTTTTCTCGGATTTGTCTGGAAATTGGTATTTTTAGGTCATAACGGGTCCCTGAGCGTGTGGCAAAACATTGCATGTATAGGTCCACGTTGTGGTATAGCTCCCATATAAAGGTACCTCCCGATATTGGGTATTTTAGTTTTTTTGAAACATTTTTTCACGGATTTGTCTAAAAATTGGTATTTTTGGGTCATAATGGTTTCCAGCTCCGGTGGCGAAACATTGCATGTATGGGTCCATGATTTGGTATAGCCTCCATATAATGGTACCTCCCGATATTCGGTAATTTGATGATTTTTGCAACCTTTTTTCACGGATTTGTCTAAAAATTGGTATTTTTGGGTCATAATGGGTTCCAGCTCCGGTGGCGAAACATTGCATGCATAGGTCCATGAGTTGATATAGCCCCCATATAACGGTACATCCCGATATTCGGTATTTTTATGGTTTTTTGTCAAATTTTTTCACTGATTTGTCTAAAAATTGGTATTTGTGGGTCATAATGGGTCCTAGTTCGTGTAGCTAAACATTGTAATTATAGGTCCACGTTTTGGTATAGCCCCCATATAACGGTACCTCCCGATATTCGGTAATTTAATGGTTTTTGCCACATTTCTTCTAATGTTTCTTTTACCCTAAGGTGGAGGGTATTAAAAGTTTGGCCCGGCCGAACTTAATGTTTTTTACTTGTTAATTTTATTTTATACCAAATGTTAAAAGAATATTTTTTACATTATCTTCATATAATTTTAAATGTGATTTTTTAATTATTATCAAATACACCATGGGACCATTGTATAAATGAAGTGTTTTGAAAAAGGATACAGCATGCCTTTGAAGTTCTTTAGGCTGATCGTTGGATAAATACAATGACACAATTTCTAGGATATCATTAAGATGTTTTCCATCCAAATCTAGACATACAATAAGATTTGGGAATGCTTCCAGGAGTTTAAGCTGCAATTTGTATTCTTGTGTTTGTCTATTTAGGAAAAAAATAACAATAATATATTTTTCAAAGTATTTAATTAAACTGAAGTTAGTACTTACGCTGTTATTTTCTCCTTGCTTGAATATTGAGCAGCCTTTTGAAGAAACGACTTAAGAAAAGGTATGACATCGCTAGAAAAAAAAAATAGAGGTACACATAGAAATGACGAAATGTGTAGAAATAAAAAAAAAAACCTACTCCAAACTTCTTTTTGTAATAAAATCCTTGGCACATTTAGCCAGTATTTCTAGTAATGCAAAACAACGATTTAATACCAGGGCATTTCTTTGGCGAAATTTCTCAACCAATGGTGACCAAATCAAATGCACCAAAGGAAGTAAAACATTTTCATAGCTTGTCAATAAAGGCAGACCACATGCCAAACATTCCAATGACAGAATTTGTAGACGTTGGTCAGATGAATTAATAAATTTTACAACTTGTTCCAATATCGTTTTAATTATATCTATATGGCGTGGTAAACATTTTTCAATGCTTTCTTGGTCATATGTTTCATTTGGATGTTTTTGTTCTTGCTGTATTAAATTTTCATTGGCTTGTTTCTCATCTTTATGGGAAATTATGTCGTCAGAAAATGATGGGTCGTCTAGTAACTGCAACCATGTAGATAGTAAATTATTCTCTTCAGACTTGATTTCATCGGTTTGCATTGCATTTGCACCCTCCAGCTCTTGATTGCAAGTCTCCAACCATTTTTCTATGTGCCTTAAAAAAGCATTGAACACCTTAAGATAAGAGATTATATTCCGTGTTTGGTGAGCCTTGGAACATTCATTGTATATTGTTTGAAATATCGTTTCCATGTGAGGCAACGTACTTCGGGATGAAAACTGCAGAAGGACGCTAAGTATATCAACAGCCGATTTGCTATCAGGTGTCTGAAAAGTATTTCAAAAACTATAAATAAGATAATACAGATGTCGTTGAAGACTTACTCTTTTCAACAATGTGTTTAAATGGTAGGCTATATAGTCCGCATGGCTCTCTACCAATTGCGTGGCTGTTTTAAAACGAAGGGCTTTTTGCATGGAAACAAGTGCGAATGTTGCAGCTTTGTAAACTAGTGTATTGCTATGGGCTAGGAATAAGGGATTGTTTCAAAAGGCTGGGATCACATTCCACATTCCATTTCTTCGGCTTTTATACATACCAATTTTCAATAGCACCTTATGCAACGCTTGAAATACATAACTATCAAACCTTTCACCTATATACAATGCGCAATGTCCCAAACAATCCATAGTGATGCATGTATGCAAAACATTGAATTCGGCGTCAGCAATTGTAACATTATTGTCACATAAATCTAAGAGCAAATTATTATGATTCATAAAGCGTATAATAATTTATAATGAAGGATATTGTCAAAGATATTACCCTCAGTCTCATCATCAGAATCACAATCTTGAGTTCGAATTTCCACTGCAGATTCATAAAGTCCAGGGGTTCGATCAACAAACCAATCTACATACTAATGGCACAAAACCGATAATTTGGTCAATAATAGACCCGAAAAATATAGATTAGTTCAAATAAATATCTTACCTTATTACTTTTTATTTTCGTTACATTATCTGGTTCCAGAGACAGATGCCAATGTTTATCATTTAACACCTCTTCCAATAACTTTTTAACAAAATCTAAATCGCTATACTGAAAGTTTTTGTCTTTTTCCTTGGCCGTCGATAACCACAACAATATAAGAAAGATTTCATTTATAGCTGGATTTTGTTGATTTAACAAATCCATAAGGTGGTCTGTCACAATGCGATTTAAAATGACGATACGACCCACAATGCAACAAATGTCCTGTAAACATTTTGCACATCTTTCAGAGTTCATATTTTTGAAATTACGCCAAGGCAATTTACACGCTTCCATATAATCACCATCTATGTCTATATTACGTAAAGAATACTCTTCGACGAGAAAATTAAATGAAATATTTAATTCCACAGCCGACAACAAACACATACAAAACATTTCCAAATTTTTCGGAATGGATAGAAGAAATTGCAATTTGTTTGCACTCACTGACTTAAGAAAGGCTTTTAAGAACATAAATTCGGTGTACTGCTCCGAATCATCGCCCCTTTGTATAATTCGTGGTAATTTTGCCAAATGTTCATCGAAAAGTAGTTCCGAGTTTTCATCAAAAATGCCGCCATTTATATATAACATCTGCATTTGATCAATACAATTCACGCAAAGTTTTCTTATATGAACATCATCATCTTCTGTAAAGGCTACCACATTTTCGAGCATAAAAATAAAATTTTCTTTGAGATTGTTATAAGCACAGTTCTGAATCAGTAGACAACACATCTGTGCATATTCCATACGTATTTTAGTCGATGTGTGCGATCTTAAGATATTGGTTTCTGTAAATATGGTACGTAATTTTTTCGATGATGCCTGTATCCATTCTGCTGTTCTTCCTTCGGTTTGCATTTTGTTCATACGCTCTTCCAATTGCTCACGGTTCTTTTTTATGGCCAAAATGTCATCATCGTTGTTTATGGAATCACTGGAATATGCATGATAGCTCGATATAAGCTTTTTAAAAGCATCTGCATCATATTTTGCATTTATTACATCTTCCATTGTTTCTTCATAGATGACACAAAGTATTCTGCCCAAAGCTTTAATGGCATTCTAAAGCAGACAAAAATTTGAGAAACTCAAATATTTTTGGCCTAGAGGAACTTACAATTTTTATTGTCTCTCCAATTTTGTCGTCAGATAGTGCAGATTTATATAGAATAGTGACAATTTTGGGTAGAAATATAAACAGTACGTTGGCCACTTGGTTACGTAAAACAACATCCATGCGATCTGCTTCATCGTGTACATAAAACACAATCATCAGGCATTCCAATGACGCAATGCTAAAATACAAGGCATATAGAAACATAGGTATCCAAATACATTAAACGTTGCACAATCTTACACAAGTTTCTTGTACTTTTCATGTTCAACAAGATCTACTAATGTTAACAGAATTTGCCCCAGAATCATGGAGGAGTCTTTGCAATAGAACTGTTCCAACACATCTGTTGTGGAACGACGTAAACATTCAGACATACATTTTACAGCCGCCAATTTAATATCTTCCGAAACGTTTGGTCTCATTATAGCTTTATCCATTTCACGAATTTGTTTCACAATGACTACAAGCATTGTTCGCAATGCGGTTAATTCCTTTAAATAAATTTTGGAAGTTACCAATGTCATGCAGTCTAAGCAACCAGTTCTTAAGTCTTCATTAGCACTGCAAAGAAATTGTGGAATATTTAATGTATTGTAAACATTCGGAAACACTACTAGTTCGATTAACACAAAATATGGTAGCTTTAGTTAAGGATCACTTTCAATCTTAAATTCATCTTACTTGCTCAACTCATCCAGCTTTAGGACCAAAGGAACTAGAATATGTACATTGAATATATTAATTTGCATCCAATTGAATTGTACCAATTCATTTTGCAATTTCTGTAAAGTTTCTTTGCTGGGTAACGCAAAAACATGTCCAGTGCCGGCTTTATTGAATTTACAAAAGGTTCCAGAGAAGACATGGCCATGAAATGCTTGAAATTCAAGGAATAAGACGTACTACTCTCCTTTAGGACCGGCACTTCGTAATCAGTTGTTTTTTTGTTTACATTGACAAATTTGGGTCGATCTATAGATCCCATGCAAATTTTAAAGCAAAGACCATGGCAGAAGAATACTCATGAGCTTTGCCTGTATTTTTAAATCAGCTGTTACCGTCTCACATTCCCCTCCTTGTAAACAAATTAACAAATAATAGGTGTGTCTGGTTACTTTTCCTGCAGGAATTGTCCAGCAACATCTTTCTGAGAGAGTAAGGTAGTTTTATTCTCTTTTGCAAGGAAAATGCGAAAAGTAAACAGACGGTATTCCTGCAGAAGCTTGCAACTAATCAGCTGTTTTGTCAAAACAAACCAATTTGTCCCCCATTAAAAGAATTAAAAGAAAGGAAGTACCACCAATTTTAAAAGTTTTATAAATAAAAAGAACATTAGCAATAAAATACAAACATGAGCAATAAAAGAAGGATAGATTTTATGTGTTCCCCGGAATCCTTTAAATGTGTTGCTAATGGTGATTGTCTAAAAATGTTGGAAATAGTCTTTTATTTCCTTATTACATATTAATATTTACGTTTTCCACGTTTTTTAAAGTTGTTCTCCAAAAACAATTACAGCCTGTTCCACGATCTCGAAAGAAAATTTGTGCGAACGAAGGCTACTCACTCACTTTCGTATAAGAATGCGTTCCACTAACTTTCGTTCTTTCTTTCGCATAGCCTTACGTGATTCAGTGTTGCTAAATATTTTTTTTGGAAAAATTAATCGCGAAATAAAGCAAAAAAAGCGTCAAATGTCTAATTTAAACGCGAAAAAGCAGCAGTGGCTCTGTCTCAACTGACATTTCAGTTGTAAACAAACAAATTGTAAATAAACAAACAAAATAAAATTTCTAGTGATTATGTTCAAACTATTTGTGCTCTTAGAAAATAAAAAAAAAGAATATTTCCGTAGCCCTATTTTTTATGGAGGAGGTTCGAAATGTGCCACGGAGGCATTTAAGAGATGCTTCGAATTTATTTGAAGTACCTAACAACCAGTAAGTATGATTGTATTTTTACATTTTTCAAATAATAAAAAATGATTTTTTCTAGGTTTGTGGCCAACTTTCGTGTGTCGAAGGAAGTTTTCGGGCTCTTTTGGATATGATGGAAGAGAAGTGGGTGCCCGGTTGCAGAACTACCCAAATCCGCCCCGATTTAAAACTTCTTCTGCTGCTTCCAAAAAATGGCATTCCTCTGGCGAACACAGGATTCTCCTCCATTTACTCAACTAGTGCCCGCAGCTGTGTAGTTGATGATTTTTTCGTGCTGGAATTGAGAAAATAAAAAAATATATATTTGTTGTTCACATATTAAATTGCATTTATTATTTTTACTTACATTTTTGTTTCCATTTTCAATCAAGCAATGTTTATGTTAAAACAATTTTCCTTAATTGTTATTATACGATAGCAAACACACAAGTGACTGATTTTGACATTTGTGTTCGCATGCGTACGAAAGAAAAAAGATAGTGGAACGCAAAATTACACTGAAATGCTTACGTTTTCGTTCGCTTTGATTTTCGTGCAAATTTTCGTTCTGATAGATTTTAGTGGAACGGAAATCAGCTGTTTGTCGTGTAAAAGTTGTGCGAACGTGTTCTTTCGATATCGTGGAACTGGCTGTTAGTCTTTCAAATTCCAAAAAAAAACATTTTCAAATAAAAAGTACAAAAATAAATAAACAAACAATAGAAAACATCTGATTGAATGTCGATAAACGAGAAGAAGAAGAGTTGCAAGTGATTGCAAGAAGAAATTTGTCCAGCAAGAATTTGCAAACTCTCACTGAAGAACTGTCAAAATTTCTCTCTCCAACCGCTCTCTTTTGCAGAACTTTCGGGTTAACAGACGACTTCCAGTAACAATTTGTAACAATTGTTACAAATTTTATGGTAACCAGACACACCTAATCACAGTGGTATAATAGAAGAAGCACAGTTAAAGCAGAACGCATCCTGTAGCAATTCTAAAGCACTGGCTAAAAATAAATTAATTCTAACAATCAAGAGGTCCGTGGTGCGGTGTGTTTCAATTGGTGACTATTTTTTAAAAGAGCAAACCTGTGAGTTTTTTACAGAAATCATGAAACGTATCTGTGTTTTAAAACCAATGGAGCCAGAGCATCAAACCATACATTTAAACTCTGGCAAAAATATAATTGGGCGCCAAAAAGAAACAGGCATACGGGATGGCAAGTGTTCCAGACGACAAATAGAATTAGATGTAGATATGGAAAATGGAAAGATTAAAGCTAAAGTTCTTGGACTTAATCCATGTGGTATAAATGGTTTGATGAGCCTTCAACACTCAGAATGTGAATTGCAACATGGTGATGTATTGGAAGTTGTCTATGGTAGGCATCCCTTTGAAATACATTTTAAGCCTCCTCCAGAGAAGCCTGTAATTTGCGAAGAGGTCGAAGATTTTGAAATGAATAATAAAAATATTGAAGAAGCGCCTGCAGATTTCTGGAGTGACGTTGAAAAAGGCAAAATGTTGGTGTTTACAAGCAAAGGCGTTAAAGCATCCGAAAAAATTGCATCATACGATATGGACGGCACAATAATAAAAACTAAATCGGGTAATGTTTTTCCTAAAACCTGCGATGATTGGATGCTTAACTACCCGGAGGTGCCAAAGAAACTCAAAGCCCTAAAGGAAGATGACTTTAAAATTTGCTTTTTTACAAATCAAGGAGGTATTGCCAAAGGCAAAACCGACTTGAATGAATTTAAGCAAAAGATAAAGCTGATTATTGCAAAATTGCAGGTGCCCGTGCAGGTTTTTATAGCTATTACAGACGGTTATTACCGTAAACCATTGCCTGGGATGTGGGAGCATTTAGAAAAACATGCCAACAATGGTATACGCATCAGCAAAGAAAAAAGTTTTTTCGTTGGGGATGCTGCTGGACGGCCGGAAATCGGAAAGGGAAAAACAAAACGTAGGAAAGATCATTCTCTGGCAGACCGCCTTTTTGCATATAACGTAGGTTTGCGATTTTATACTCCAGAAGAACATTTCTTGTCAGAAAAACAAGAAGACTGGATTAGACCTGAATTTGATCCAACCAAAGATTTTTCATGTCTTCCATTATTGGAACCCAAGGATACTATTTTGCCAGCTGAACAGTGTGAAATGATAATTATGGTCGGGTTGCCTGGATCAGGTATGTAGAGAAAATGTACACTCCTTTTTGCAAGATTGTTTTTGTGATATTACTTTTTAAAAATGTCTCTCTCACTTTTTCCTTTTGTACTCTGCAGGAAAATCACATTTTTGTAAGAAGAACTTGGCCACAATTGGCTATACGATAGCTAATGCCGATACAGTTGGTAGTATTCAGGCCTGCTTGAAAATTTGTGAAAATTCATTGATATCATCTAAGTCTTGCGTAGTAGATAATACAAACGTTGATGCTGGAAGTCGAAAAAAATTCATAGATCTTGCTAAGAAATTTAAAGTACAATGTCGATGTTTTGTGATGAATATAAGTGTGGCCCAGGTTAAACATAACATAGCATTTCGCCAACTTACAGACTCAAGCCATACGAAAATAAATGAAATGCTTTTAAACATGATGAAAAAGAAATTTGCCCAACCTCAGCTGGAAGAAGGATTTACGGAAATAATTAAGGTCAATATAAAGCCAGTATTTGATCGAGAAGATTGGAAACGCCTTTATACAATGTATTTGGTAGATAAATAAAAACTAATATTATTTGATAATTGTACGAAATTGAGATTTTAAAATGGAAATGTTTGAAACAAATACACTAGTAGTAGCATAGATTTGGTTAATAATACAAGTCTTCAGTCTAGAGTGAAAATTCGTTTTGCTATATCATCAATTAACCAGTCAACGGCATTCAATAGCTTTTCGCCCGTTACAGCACTTACTCCAACAACCAACCAATGATGTGTGGTAATGTTATCCAATTGCAAGGCCTAGAGTTATAATGTAAGAAGTTATTACCATAGTAATTGGACAGAGCTGATTCTACTTACCTCTTTAATTTCATTTGCTGTTAATGCGCCTGGTAAATCTTGCTTGTTGGCCAATACCAATAAGGTAGCCCCCGCCAGTCTTTCTTCTTGTAGTAAAATTTCTAATTCCTGCTTGCATGTCTCCAAACGCATTCTATCTGCGCTGTCAACGACCCACACCAAGCCATCAGTACATTCGAAGTAATTACGCCAATATGAACGCAATGATTTCTGGCCACCAACATCCCACATATTTAAAGTGTATCCATTATGCTCCAAGGTTTTTATATTAAATCCCAATGTTGGTGAAATTGTATCAATGGGTTCTCCATTGAAACGTTTCAATATGGTAGTCTTGCCGGCATTATCCAAACCTCTAAAAGGAAACAAACATAACAAATGATTCATCTGTTTGGGGGAGGAGGAGTAGACAAATTCTGCTTAACATTTATTTCATGGGTTTAAAATCAACTTACAGCAGTAATATACGCATTTCTTTTTCCTTTTGTCTCATTTTCTTTAAAACTGTTAAAAATCCCATTCTTATAGTTTATATTTATTGTAAAACCCAATAAATTAATGATTTTAAGAACAGTTGTTGATTTCGACCAAGATTGCCCGTCTTATATAAAAACGCTCCAAATGCTGCGAATCGAATACAGGGGGCCATGCCATGGTATAAAAAATCAAGGTAACATATGATTTTATGTTTTAATTTTCTTTGTTTAATATAGTTGTGTTCCAGTACTTTTTTAGTGGTAAAACTAGCAGAAGAGCGAACAGTACAAAATGACATTCTCATTTAGGTGTGCTCAAAAAATAAGGGAACGGAAAATTAGCAGAAATGCGATAAAATGTCAACATTCAAAATTCCAAAAGGAAACAGTCTAAATCGGACTGGTGAAACCTTACTGAAATGGACTTCAAAATTTAAATGACTATTGAAAATAAGTTGAAATTAATAATTATTTTTGAATGCTGTTTATTTCGAAAGATTTGTTTCAGAATGCGTTGAAGAGTATTTAGAGGTGGAGTTTTCTCAAATCCCAACCCCGGAGAAGCTGACATGGTTGGAGCCGCCGGTTTAATTAATGTTAAGTCTGCTAGAAGACTTAATGCCACAAGTTGGGAAGACAGCCAACCTAAGAAATAAAAAGAAAATGTTCAGTAATAAGCGAACATCATTGATTTTAAGCTTAATTTTTCAATTAAATTTCACTAACTTGGCACTGTTTTCCAATACGTTTTCTTCGTCTGATTCCTCATTCAGGTTGAAACATTTTTCAACCTTGTTAGCCCTGCCAATTAAATGTCAGATTTACAATTTGCACATTTCTGCTCGGCCAAATTCATGTAGCTAAAACAAGCAGAAATGTGCACCACTCAGCGCCATTTTTTTTATCGAGAGAGCTGCAAGTTTTGCTAGTTTTTGGAGTACGGGAACGCGTTGTAGCAGAATTAGCACTAATTAGTACTAATTTGTAGGTTCTGGAACACAACTTATGTCAACTTTATTTGTTTATGTGTGTGTATTCTTTTCAAAAATAAAGAAATATTCAGAAAATATTTTGAATATTTCGAATGTTTGCAAAATGCCTATTGCTACGAAATGAATCTTTAGAGAAATATAGAACATGATTTTGAAAAGAAATTTTGACGTTTCATACAATTTTAGCGTTGATTGTTTATTTATTAAAAATTAATGCATTTGATACAAAAAAACTTGTTGCTTTTGTTTTGATAGTAATTCTGACGTAACCATGGCAGAAGAATACAGGAAGCATTGATATGTCAAAAATATTTAAATGTTTTTTTTTCAAATATAAGTGGATTTTTATATGTTTTCTTATACTACGTCATTCGGAGGCTATTATAATTCGCGATTTCTACCTGTACAATAAAAAACAAAACAGTGCAACAATGATTTTGAAAACCCCCGAATTCGAAAAAAAAGTTGAAATATTAAGTAAAGAAAATAAAAAATTAAAATCAGATGATATCATAGCCTTACCTTAAATTTATTGTACCATGGGTGGGACTTTAACGATGTATTAATTTTTTAAACGATATTATTTTATAGATTTTAAGATATTTCCCCGGAGGTATTTAGGCAATACGGACGTACAAAACATTTTACCACCGAGGGGAGTTTGAATATTTGTGTACGCTACGTCGAATTCATGGCAAAAAAAATACAGGTAGATAAATAAACGCTTGGGAACATTGATACGTCAAAATGTTGGTTCAAAAATAAGTAGATTTTTATAAGTTTTCTTATACGAAACCTATCGAAAATTGTTATAATATGCATTTTTCAACAATTTTTACATATTTGAATAATTTTTCTTTCAACATTTTCAATATCAAAATTGTTTTAACAGTTCACTGTTCCAGGTAACGCCATGGTACAATAAAAAGGTAAGGTAGAGCTACCAGCTGATTCAAATTTTCTTCTAAGTGTGCTCGACTTCTGTCAATTTTGTGTATGTATTTAATGTTTTGAAAAAACAAAAGTAAAATATTTTCATTATCAAAGATTGGAAGAAACGTGTTTTGCTGGGCGCGATTTAAAGATACCAAGCAGTTTTGCCATAAAATTTAAAGGTTGAATAGTTTAGATGATATTTTTAATAGAAAATCTAGACATTTCGTACATTTTTCGCGCTTTTTTATTCATTTTAAAAATGAGGAAAAATATTAAATAAATTAAAACAAATTGTTGAGTATACAATTTTGAATAATTCTGACAGGAAGCGGACATAGCCTCAGGACTGTATTTCTGTACTTTTACGAAGCTAAAACTAAGGGTTTTTGAAAGAAGACGGGCAGTTTACAATCTGTTATATTTGAAACTCAGTTGCCTTTATGAAATTCCTCAATTCAATAATCAAGCTGTACTCTAATTTATAAGACTTTGTGTCTTTTTGTGCAGTAGTAGACAAATAAATAAAGAAATAAGGATAATAAAATGCAGCTATGAGGCTTCGTCCGCTCTCTGTCAGAATGGTTTAAATTATATTAAACAAGTTTTTTACTTATTTGGTATTTTTGCTCATTTTTAAAATGAGAATTTTAAAAACATGATACAAACTCATGGTAGAAGAAAAATGTAAGGTAGAGCTATCAGCTGTTTACATTTTTTTCTAAATGTGCCCGACTTCTGCCAATTTTGAGTATGATTTTATTGTTTTGAAATTGAAAAAAAAAATATTTTCAAGGCCAATGATTGGAAGATACGTACATTGCGGTTCGCGCATTAAAGCTATTTTGAAATGAAATTTAAAGATTGAACAATTTGAATCATTTTTTGAGATAAAATCCGGGCATTTCATTCATTTTATGAAAAAAGTGAAAACAACTTGTTTCATAAAATTTTGAATGAGTCTGACAGAAAGCGGGCATAGACTCAGGGCTGTATTTCTGTAGTTTTACGAAGCTGTTCCACCATAGTCCAAACTGTTTAATCTTTCCATTACATGAATAAACTGTATAATATCTTTTATGCGAGCGTTTATTTTCTTTTAAAAATATATTTTTGTTTTCAAAACAATAAATGCGTACACAAAATTGGCAGAATGTTTAATATAATCTATGCGAGCCCCGCAATTTGCGTTTATTTTCTTTGGAAAATATTTTTTATTTTTCGTTACGCACGAGGAAAACCAATAAATGTTGATTTTGCTTCATGCATTATAGGTGTGACGCATACATAAACATTTTCACTAACACCTCAAAATGCATGTCATGCATGTTGACCGTGTACGGGGCACTGGCTCTACCTTACGAAACCTGAGTGGTACAATAACATCAAGGTATGGCTATGATACCATATGGTTTTAATTTTTTTGTTGCTTAATATGTAAACGTTATTTGTTTATGTGTGTGTGCTATTTTCAACAATAAAAAATTGTACAGGAAAATATTCAAATTCGGATGTTTTCAAAATGCTTGACGACAAAAAATACAGTTTTTGTAGCAAAATTAATCTTTACAGATATATAGAACATGATTTTGAAAAGAAATTTTTACATTTTCATTCAGTTTTCGCGGTATATTTATTCAAAATCAATGCAACAAGTTGCATTCGTTTTGATTCTAATTCTAATTCTAGCCAAACATGTAGACCAATTTCGATGTAAACGTAGTCTAAGCAAATGCAGCAATTTTTATTTTGGTGAGAAGCGTATACAAAACTACAACCCTGTTCTCCAAAAACTGTCAAAATTTCTGACATCTTTTCCATCACTTCCATTGTGAAGTTTTTGCTAGTTCTCGATAGCCGACGTTTTTTCCCAGCAAGAAGCAATCCTCTCGTGAAAATATCAAGACATAAAAATGAACTTTTCCAGAGTGAGTAGAAAATTTAAAACACTTTGCAATAAAGAAGTGTTATATTAGTAATATTGTCCATGTTTCAAACAAAATTTATAACATAGGTATGCATTTTTGTGTGTTTTGGAAAAATGGACAACATTACGTAAGATAGGTTATATTTTAGGCAACATTTTTTACTAAAATAACTTTTCTTCCTTTTATAGGTAATTGTTCGCAGCCTCACCACCTCCGGCGCTCAACGTGCTGTCGCCAAGGGAGAAGTTGAGAAGGGCTACTTTGAATTGAAAAAAGTACAAGAACATTTCCAAAAGAAGGACGGCAAACCTGTGTTCTTGAAAGGTTCCACCTTCGATCAAGTTTTGTACCGCGTTACCGTTGCCCTCGCTTTGGTTGGCGTTGGTGGTATGGGAAAATTGTTTTATGATTTGTCGGTCCCCAAATCAGAATAAATACAGAATATGTGTTTAGAAAATGTTAGTCATTGTAAGAACCTTTGTCGCCCTAATACCGTAGCCTCAATTCCTATATTTCTGTGTTAGAAAGCATTTGTAAGTATTTGATACTTGACTATTGCATTTTTGTTTTCAGTAGAGCATTTCTTCCATTTCAGAAATTCTATGGACAACTTGTATGCCGTGTGTACCGTGTTGGTTCTGTTAACGATTTTTAAACATTCTTTAAAAAGCATTTTTAAGAAACATAGAAATATATGAATGTTAAGCTAAAAAGTGTAAATTTTCATTTTTATTTGGGATATTGCTGATATGATGAATTACCCATTCTCAGCGAAACTTCGTTTAAGATCGAGAATCAATTGAGAACGTATAGTTCTGGTTTTGAAATGTACACTATTAAATTACGAATATTGGAAGGGAATCCTGTTTCTGATAGGGTCCTATTAGTAAAAATATACTCGTATCCGCATACGCCATATTTGAACAATATCAACGTGTGGAAGTGGGCAAAGATGTACATACAACTAATTATCCTTATCCTATATATCTCCTCAAACAGTAATTATTCTTAATAGAAATAAAGCTGTAAGATATAGATGTTAGGAACAATTAACTACGTTAAAACGAAAATGTAACAAATGCAATGTATTTATTTTGGTCTTCAAAAACCAAAACAAAATTTCCATTCCAATTGACACTGTTTTAAAGACAAAAGTACTGTTAAATTGGTTTTATTTTCCTTTTAATATATTTTTATAAAATTAAAGATTACGCGATTTAAATGAAGATACGTTGTTAAATGATAATATTACAAGCTCTATTATGTTGTTCGTATTACACTAAGCATAATAGTTCAAATTTGCCTTCTTCTTGGCCTGTACTTCCATAATAGCATCCATAAAGTCTTCATGTGTGACTTGGGTAGCGGAGCGTCTCAATGCAATCATACCCGCTTCAACACATACCGCCTTACATTGGGCGCCATTGAAATCATCTGTGGAACGAGATAATTCCTCGAAGTTAACATCGCTACTCACATTCATTTTGCGAGAATGAATTTGCATAATACGAGCACGAGCTTCTTCATTAGGATGTGGAAATTCAATTTTACGATCTAAACGTCCTGAACGCAAAAGGGCAGGATCCAAAATATCAACACGATTTGTTGCAGCAATAACTTTAATATCCGCTGTTGAACTGAATCCATCCAATTGATTTAGCAATTCCAACATGGTACGTTGTACTTCTCGGTCACCAGCCTTTTCTGAATCAAAACGTTTTGTACCAATAGCATCCAATTCATCAATGAAAATAATTGCTGGAGCTTTTTCTTTGGCCAGAGCAAAGGCATCACGTACCAATTTTGCACCGTCACCAATAAACATTTGCACCAATTGTGGACCAGCCAACTTTAAGAATGTAGATTTTGTTTGGGCAGCACAAGCACGAGCCAGTAGTGTTTTACCAGTACCGGGAGGGCCATACAAGAGAACGCCTTTTGGAGGTTGAATACCCAAATTCTTAAATTTATCCTTATGTGTCATGGGCAGCACAACTGCTTCTATCAATTCTTGGATTTGCTTGTCCAATCCGCCAATATCGGAATATTGTTCGGTGGGTCGTTCATCGACTTCCATAGCTTTAACGCGAGCATCGTATTCAGCGGGTAGTGTTTCCAAAATTAAATATGAATCCTTATTAACACCAACTAAGTCGCCAGGTTTTAGTTTCTCTGCATCGACCAGACCAATAACCGGTAAAAAGTATGCTTGACGTGTGGACGTTTTTATGACTGCACATTTGCCTTTACGTTGATTGTCCAAAACTTGTACAGCACCGTCGTCTTCATCTTCTTGGGCTTCCATATCCAAAAGTTCAATAACGTTTGACACCAAATAAGGCAGAGTTTTATTTACCTAGGTGATCAAAAGAAAAAACCAATTAGTGCTGCACTACCTTAATTCATACAATATACACATACCTTAATTTTTTCGGTATTATCCTTAATTTTATCATTTTGGGCTTGAATTTCATGGGTAATACGCATAACCTCACTCTTCATTATTTTGATTTCATTATCCATTAGACGAGTCCTGCTGACAATTTCATCTGTGGACATACGCATCACTTCCTCGCCCAGTTCTTCGCCATCTTCCCAAATCGATTTATCTTCCAACGTTGCTGCCATAGTAATGCTATTGAATATTACTTATTATTAAATGAGGTCCGAAAACAAATTGCAACTATTGTATTTAGAGTCAAGCCTTTATTCAATATTTTCTTTGGGAAACAAAATTAAATTTTGCTTACTTTACCGATGACTTGTAAATTTGCGTTTTTTGACAAGAAGGTTAGGGATACTTACGTCGAATGTGTACTAACACAATATATGCAGTTTAGTGAAAACACACAAAGAATAAATATGAAACCCTGTCCACACAACAATATTTTTAATATGAAAGTCAAAGGTGATGAAGGAACGAAATTTAATATTTATTTGTTTTATTTATTTTATCTTTAATATGTTTTGATGAAAATAACAATAAGTTTCCATATCTTACATACTATTTTTTTATAGATATAGATGTGTGTTTATTTGCGGGCTTTTGGATACAGTTATATCCGTAAATTAATTGACTAGGTAATTTAGATTAGTTTAGATACAAATACAGTTATATCTATTTGTGTCTGATAAATTCATAATTTCATTTGTGTCTGGTAAATTTTCAACTAAGGCAATAACGAACGTTCAAGTTACTACATTTTCCTATTCGGATAGAATCAAAAACATTTTTTGAGGTAATTCTCCAAGTCATGTTAAAATTATTAGATGGCATTTCATTTTCCATTTAAAAAATGAGAAAAACTGATAAATAAATAAGAGAAAAAAATTTTTTCTTTTGGTGCCCTTATTCTGTCAAAAATATACATATTTTGTGAATGTGTGTATCGTTTAATTAAAAAAAATGCAATAATATAAAATTATTTCAAATTCGGTTGATAAATAAATGCATATTTTTGACGTTAATGGGCAACACATTGTGCAATTCTGGGATAACACTGCATTGCCCTACCATTTTAGATTCAATCTTGTGTATTAACCCCAAATTAAATTCTTGTTTCGCGGGGTTTCCCCAATATAAGAATTTTGTTAAAGAAAAATGAAAAACAAGCGAAAGCAACTGTTGCTTATTTTAAAGTTTAGAAAATAAGAATATTAAAATCTTCAAAACTTTATTTGTTTAAGTGTGTAATCTTTTCAATAATAAAAAATTGCTCAAAAAATATTCAAATTCGGGTATTTTTAAAATACTTATTGCAACATGTGCATTGACAAAATCTACAGTTTTTGCAGCGAAATAAACCTATATAGAACATGATTTTGAAAAGTAATGTTGACCATTCATTGAGTTTTCGCTGTTTTAAAATTTTTATTCAAAATCAACGCAAAAAGTTGTTTGGTTTTCTAATCGTTTTGATAGTATTCTGACATTACAAAGCTAGCCTACCATGGTAGAAGAATACAGGTAGATGAATCAACGTTTGGGAACATTGATGTCATAAAATTTTAATTTTTTCAAATATAGGTAGATTTACGTCATTTGGAGGTTATTATAATTCGCGTTTTTTCAAAAAATTTTACAAATTTAAAAATTTTTTCATTCAACATTTTCAAATTCAAAATTGGTTTGACAGTTCATTGCCCCAGCAGCTATGTCGATGCGACTACCTATATTCTTCTACCATGTAGCCTTCCTTGTTTTCATTGTACCATGGTTGAATCTTATTTTGCACCATGTATACATGTGCAGGGTGAGATAAAAAACTGGCATCAAATTTTAGAATAAGTTTAGATTTGTTCGAATTGGTCACTTTTGGCACGAATTATGGCCTTCAAACGAAACCGTCACACGCTGCCCGAATGTTGCTCTGCTATATTCTGGCCCATTGCCGGTGAATCGCTTGCTTGAGGTGATAGACACTTTGGTGTTTTTTAGTGCCAACCTTGCTTCCCCAAATAATCTAGACACAATAGTCCAACGGATTGGTATCCGGAGATGTTGGTGGCCACTGCAGCTGGAAATGAAGCGAGGAACCTCATTTTGTAACCATTCTTGGGTGACGCGTGCTGAGTGCGATGGTGCTGAGTCTTGTAGGAGTCCAAGGTCTGCGGCCAAAATGTTTGCGTGCCCAAGGCTTTAATACACCCTCCAGAATATTTTCGCGATAATATTCGGCATTTATTCTGATGCCACGGTCGATTAATACGAGCGGAGGGCGGCCATCGGCTGTTATGGCAACCCACACCATCACCATGACCGGCGCTTGAGTTCTGTTGGCCAACCGAAGGTGCACGTTTTCAGCAGACATCTTTGGCAAATAAACACTATCAATTTGTTTGTTTACAAATTGCTGGACAACGAATGTTTTCTCATCGGAGAAAATCAAATTCGGATAGAATCAAAAACATTTTTTGAGGTAATTCTCCAAGTCATGTTAAAATTATTAGATGGCATTTCATTTTCCATTTAAAAAATGAGAAAAACTGATAAATAAATAAGAGAAAAAAATTTTTTCTTTTGGTGCCCTTATTCTGTCAAAAATATACATATTTTGTGAATGTGTGTATCGTTTAATTAAAAAAAATGCAATAATATAAAATTATTTCAAATTCGGTTGATAAATAAATGCATATTTTTGACGTTAATGGGCAACACATTGTGCAATTCTGGGATAACACTGCATTGCCCTACCATTTTAGATTCAATCTTGTGTATTAACCCCAAATTAAATTCTTGTTTCGCGGGGTTTCCCCAATATAAGAATTTTGTTAAAGAAAAATGAAAAACAAGCGAAAGCAACTGTTGCTTATTTTAAAGTTTAGAAAATAAGAATATTAAAATCTTCAAAACTTTATTTGTTTAAGTGTGTAATCTTTTCAATAATAAAAAATTGCTCAAAAAATATTCAAATTCGGGTATTTTTAAAATACTTATTGCAACATGTGCATTGACAAAATCTACAGTTTTTGCAGCGAAATAAACCTATATAGAACATGATTTTGAAAAGTAATGTTGACCATTCATTGAGTTTTCGCTGTTTTAAAATTTTTATTCAAAATCAACGCAAAAAGTTGTTTGGTTTTCTAATCGTTTTGATAGTATTCTGACATTACAAAGCTAGCCTACCATGGTAGAAGAATACAGGTAGATGAATCAACGTTTGGGAACATTGATGTCATAAAATTTTAATTTTTTCAAATATAGGTAGATTTACGTCATTTGGAGGTTATTATAATTCGCGTTTTTTCAAAAAATTTTACAAATTTAAAAATTTTTTCATTCAACATTTTCAAATTCAAAATTGGTTTGACAGTTCATTGCCCCAGCAGCTATGTCGATGCGACTACCTATATTCTTCTACCATGTAGCCTTCCTTGTTTTCATTGTACCATGGTTGAATCTTATTTTGCACCATGTATACATGTGCAGGGTGAGATAAAAAACTGGCATCAAATTTTAGAATAAGTTTAGATTTGTTCGAATTGGTCACTTTTGGCACGAATTATGGCCTTCAAACGAAACCGTCACACGCTGCCCGAATGTTGCTCTGCTATATTCTGGCCCATTGCCGGTGAATCGCTTGCTTGAGGTGATAGACACTTTGGTGTTTTTTAGTGCCAACCTTGCTTCCCCAAATAATCTAGACACAATAGTCCAACGGATTGGTATCCGGAGATGTTGGTGGCCACTGCAGCTGGAAATGAAGCGAGGAACCTCATTTTGTAACCATTCTTGGGTGACGCGTGCTGAGTGCGATGGTGCTGAGTCTTGTAGGAGTCCAAGGTCTGCGGCCAAAATGTTTGCGTGCCCAAGGCTTTAATACACCCTCCAGAATATTTTCGCGATAATATTCGGCATTTATTCTGATGCCACGGTCGATTAATACGAGCGGAGGGCGGCCATCGGCTGTTATGGCAACCCACACCATCACCATGACCGGCGCTTGAGTTCTGTTGGCCAACCGAAGGTGCACGTTTTCAGCAGACATCTTTGGCAAATAAACACTATCAATTTGTTTGTTTACAAATTGCTGGACAACGAATGTTTTCTCATCGGAGAAAATCAAATTCGGCAGTTCACCACTTTCGTCCAAGCGAAGCAACTCTTTAGCTCTTTTGAGTCTATTTTCTTTCTGTTGCGGTGCACTTTGCACTTTTTGGAATTTCTATGGATTTACCCCAAGCTAATTTTTAAATATTTGCCGAATTCGAACCATTTCTGCTAATGTTGCTGTTTTCATCCGTACACTTCCTTGACGTCGAGCTACGCTACCAGTATCACTGTAAATAACGATGGTACGAGACTAATAAGATTTATTCACATTTAAATGCTGGAGTGCTCTAACGATAGTCATTTGCGGTTTTCCAGCCAAGTATAAAGAAATGACACTATCCCGCTTGAATTCCATCACGAGTGCTTTTGTACGCTTGTAAACAATATAATGAGCTGTCACTGGAATAATTTTAACAGCTGTCGGGCGAGCGGAGACAGCAGGCTGATCTCACCCTGTATTTATAACAATATTGCTGATATACTTAAATCGTGCAAAGCAAGGCAGCAATTTGACAATACACTTAATAATGGTTTTTGCACTATTGTGATTTGACTCTCATTGAATTTCAAATCACAATATGTCATTTGACAGCAAACTTAGTTGTCAGATGGGCTTACTGGTCGACCTTATATAGACCATGGTACAAAATTTCAAAATTTAATAATTTCTCTGTTGTGTTGTACATTGGAAATAAAACCCAACATACCAAAAATACAATACAGCTTGAGAACAATATTATAAAAATATAATTTTTCAACAATGCTTGAGAAACACTTATGTTCCACAAACATTTCTCAAATCTGTCCCTTGTTGACAAATTAGTTTTGATTTTTTGTGAAAATTGTCAGCAAGAAATTATTTTCTTTGGCAAAAAACAAAATCATGCGAATTTAGGACCCATTTCTGGACCGAACCCTTAAGGTATGGATGAATAATAAATCCGGGAATCTTTCACATAAATTATTCCAATCCCATTTCAGATTGGAAGCATCAAAAAGTTGAAGGAATTCAATATATGTGTAGTCTTAGTGGAAGAGATGCAGAAGTTCAAATAAGGGAGAAGAAAGCGTCAGGGTATCAAGGCCACATGAAGGAGTGACTACTGGGATGTCCATCAAAAAAAAAAAAAAGGTGAAAAAAGATTAAATATTAAAAAAAAAATATATTATATACTATTACAAAAATAAGCTTATTTTAATATTATTTTTGTAAGCTTATTCTACAATTTCAAGTATAAGCTTATAAATAAGGGTTCCGTTTCGATTATTCTATACTTGTTACACAAACATTTTTCAATGTTTTCTCAAGATTTTCTCAAGCTTAAGGCTTATGTTCATAAGCTTATTGTAATATTATTCTCAAGCCATTTTGGTAAGTTGGGAAGCTAATATAAAAAATTGTGATTGTGTGCAATTGGAAAATATAAAATTTGGCACAATTTTTAAAATGTTGATGTGGTGCTCTTTTGTTGTTGAAGATATGGCTCTTGCGTATTTCAGTAATACAGCCATGGAATCATTTTACTGTAGTGGTGAAGGTAATTATTTTTGTACGGCATTTTTCATTCCAAATTTTACGTTTCAAAAGCATTTTAATTTAAGTTTATTGTATCACCAGCTACGCTCTTGGACTCCCCGTATTATTGTGCCATGACTGCATCTGCAAAAATTTTGCACTCTCTTTTACACCGTCTTTCTAAACAAGCAGAGCAGCACTGTTGGCGCCAAAAGTATTTTTTTTTTTGGAACAGGGTTCGATCCACTTACTTTTTAATTATTTTAATTTTAAAGAAAAGTTACAGGAATATAATATTCTTCCAAAAAATACAACTAGAATTGTGTAGAACACAATACTTGTGTATATAAAAACGAATGTAAAAAAATAGTAATGGAACCTAGCGGTGGCAAGAAAGTCCTTCAAAATACGGGAAAATATGTGGCTGAAACAAGAACAGAGGGGTAAACATATATTTATTATATATTTCCATATCTCGAATTTATCTCCGGTTTATATTCTTTTGTACAGCGATGATTTCTATAATGAAGCTGGATATCGTCAATCTCGAGAAAATGATAAAATCGACTCAAAGTATGGATTTGATCGTGTCAAAGATGGATTGGAAAGAACTGGATATCTTATTAACATGCATACGGTATTAATTCGATTTTTAAAATTATTAATATTCTTGAATAATAGCTTATTATTTCACAGACTGAAATATTGGATGAAGATCGGCGTTTAGTAGCCGCCCTGGATTTATTCTTTATACAAATGGATGGTTCGCGTTTTAAGTGCACTGTCGCTTATAAACCATATTTATTGGTAAAGCCCGAAGAAAGTCAAGCATTAGAGTTGGCTCGATTTTTGAGTCGGAAATATGCAGGTCAGTTAGCAGGTGTTGAACACATTTACAAGGAAGATTTGGATTTACCCAATCATTTGGCCGGAATAAAACAACAGTATCTAAAACTATCATTTCTGAATCAAACCGCCATGACTAAGGTGCGTCGTGAAATTATGGCTGCTGTACGTAAAAACACAGAACGTGAAAAGTCCAATACATTTTATTTGCAAATGTTGGCCAACTCTCTGGCTGCAAATGCCTCAAATGATGGGGAGGGATCTAAAAAGCAACTTGATTATATGGATTGTGTTAAGGAATTAAGAGAACATGATGTCCCATATCATGTACGAGTATCCATTGATTTGAAAATATTTTGCGGTCAATGGTACAATATACGTTGTCGCAGTGGTGGTATGGAGTTGCCAATAATAACATGTCGCCCGGATATATTAGAACGACCTGAACCAGTAGTACTTGCTTTCGATATAGAAACTACAAAGCTTCCATTGAAATTTCCTGATGCTCAAACAGATCAAATAATGATGATATCATATATGATTGATGGCCAAGGGTATTTAATTACAAATCGCGAAATCATTTCTTCAGACGTAGATGATTTTGAGTATACACCTAAACCGGAATTTGAAGGAAATTTTATTGTCTTCAATGAAGAGAATGAAATGCAATTAATACAGAAGTTTTTTGATCACATTATGGAGGTGCGTCCTCACATAGTTGTCACATACAACGGCGACTTTTTTGATTGGCCCTTTGTCGAAACGAGAGCGGCTGTCTACGACTTGGACATGAAACAAGAAATTGGATTCTCAAAGTCTAGAGATGGCAATTACTTATGTAGACCATCAATTCACATGGATTGCCTTTGTTGGGTAAGTGTAACTGATTTGGGGTTGGGGTTTAAAAATAATAAACAAAAATAGGATTTGTAACTTTATCCATAGAAAGGGACAAAAATGAATGAAATAATTTGTACTCGGGCGCTTGTCCGCCTCCCTCTTTGATGGCTGAATTGAAATTGGGCATAATCGAAAGTTGAGTTAAAGTTAAAACACCATATCTATTGAACAAATTTGAAATTATTTTGTAATTTTTAGATCGTTGTTCTCACTGTAGAAAAAATTTTGTCAATTTAAATTTATAATTGGGGGGACACAAAAACTTCCTCAATATCTTTTATTTAAAAACTTATTTAGTTGAGTCACAAGTGTCTACAGTCACAATGTACATTCTTTTAATTCTTAAAACATTAGTAGTATTTATACAATTAAATATCTTACATTTGAATATGTACTTGTTTTTTAAGGTAAAACGTGATTCTTATCTACCCGTTGGTTCACAAGGTTTAAAGGCCGTCGCGAAAGCCAAATTACGCTATGATCCTGTCGAATTGGATCCAGAAGATATGTGTAAAATGGCAGTTGAACAGCCACAAGTCCTCTCAAACTATTCGGTGTCTGATGCCGTTGCCACTTATTATCTGTATATGAAATATGTACATCCCTTCATATTTGCTTTGAACACAATTATTCCAATGGAACCTGATGAAATTTTACGCAAAGGGTCTGGCACTCTTTGTGAAACTTTACTTATGGTACAGGCTTATCACGCTAACATCGTCTATCCCAATAAACAACAAAGTGAATTGAATAAATTGTCAAATGAGGGACATGTCTTGGATTCGGAAACATATGTTGGTGGCCATGTGGAAGCTTTAGAATCGGGAGTATTTCGTGCAGATATTCCATGTCGTTTTCGTTTAGATCCAAATATGGTACAGACATTGATTGGCAATGTCGATCGCGTTCTTAAACATGCTATCGAAGTTGAAGAAGGCATCCCGCTGGATAAAGTAACAAACTTAGATGAAGTGCACAAAGAAATTTGTCAAGCATTACAAGGTCTCCATGATATACCAAATCGCTTGGAACAACCCGTCATTTATCATTTAGATGTAGGTGCTATGTATCCCAATATTATATTAACGAATCGTTTACAACCCTCGGCGATGGTCAGTGATACAGATTGTGCTGCTTGTGATTTTAATAAGCCTGGAGTACGATGTAAACGTGTAATGGATTGGTTATGGCGTGGCGAAATGCTTCCTGCTTCACGCAACGAGTTTCAACGCATTCAACAACAGTTGGAGACTGAGAAGTTTCCTCCGCTTTTTCCTGGAGGGCCCACCAGGGCATTCCACGAACTTTCAAAAGAAGATCAGGCCGCCTATGAAAAGAAACGTTTGGCCGATTATTGTCGAAAAGCATACAAAAAAACTAAAATAACAAAATTGGAAACCAGAACTGCAACTATATGCCAAAAGGAAAACAGTTTTTATGTCGATACGGTTAGAGCTTTTCGTGATCGGCGTTACGAATATAAAGGCCTAACTAAAGTCGCCAAAGCTGCGGTTAGTGCTGCCCTTGCATCGGGAGATGCTTCGGAAATTAAGGCAGCTAAAGGCAGAGAAGTTTTGTATGATTCTTTGCAATTGGCCCACAAGTGTATTTTGAATTCCTTTTACGGTTATGTGATGCGACGTGGTGCCAGATGGCACTCCATGCCTATGGCCGGCATTGTATGTCTAACGGGTTCTAATATCATTACCAAAGCAAGAGAAATCATTGAACGAGTTGGACGGCCATTGGAATTAGATACCGATGGTATTTGGTGTATATTGCCAGGTTCTTTTCCACAAGAATTCACGGTCCTCACCACCCATGAAAAGAAAAAGAAAATCAACATATCTTATCCCAATGCTGTGCTGAACACAATGGTGAAAGATCACTTTACCAATGACCAATACCATGAACTGGTAAAGAAAAGAGATGAGGGATCATCAGAGCCGCCTGAGTATACAATAAGAGAAGAGAACTCCATATTCTTTGAGGTTGATGGTCCATACTTGGCCATGGTATTGCCGGCCTCCAAAGAGGAGGGTAAAAAGCTGAAAAAGAGATACGCCGTATTTAATTTCGATGGATCACTTGCCGAATTGAAAGGGTTCGAAGTAAAACGTCGTGGTGAATTGCAGTTGATTAAAAACTTTCAAAGTTCTGTGTTCGAGGCATTTTTGGCCGGTAGTACACTGGAGGAGTGTTATGCTTCTGTTGCTAAGGTGGCTGATTATTGGTTAGATGTTTTATACAATCGTGGATCAAACTTACCCGACTCGGAGTTGTTTGAATTAATTGCCGAAAACAAATCCATGTCCAAGAAATTGGAGGAGTATGGGGATCAGAAGAGTACGTCTATATCAACTGCAAAACGCTTAGCTGAGTTTTTGGGCGAACAAATGGTGAAAGATGCCGGTTTGGCTTGTAAATATATAATTTCGCGAAAGCCGGAAGGTGCCCCGGTAACCGAAAGAGCCATTCCTTTGGCCATTTTCCAATCAGAGCCCAGTGTTAGGCGACATCACTTACGACGTTGGCTGAAAGACAATACGATGGGTGATTCGGATATAAGAGATGTTTTAGATTGGAATTACTATATAGAACGTTTGGGCGGAGCTATCCAGAAAATTATTACCATTCCCGCCGCATTACAAGGCTTACCTAACCCTGTGCCAAGAGTACAGCATCCAGATTGGTTGCACAAGAAAATTTCTGAAAAAAATGATGTCTTCAAACAGCGGCGTATCAATGAAATGTTTACCAGCAGACCAAAGCCCAAACCAGCATTGCCGTCTTCCAGCAACGATAGTGATGCTAAAAATGTCGACATAGCTGATATGGAGGATTTGGCTGGATGTGAAGACAATTCTGATGGTAGGCCCCGCGTTACAAAACGACGTAGAAATAATTCGGAGGATGATGGAGACGAAAGTGCACAACCGGAAGCATCGTCTTGGCGCCAAGCATTGGGACAACCGCCGCCCATTGGAACCACCCGTAAAGAAATTGTGGAATGGGTGAAATTTCAGAAACGTAAATGGGAGTGGCAATTGGAGCGACGACAGCGTTACAAACAACAGAACAAACGTATGCGAAACGAAGATTCCAATAATGATCTCCAGAATGCATCCAAAGGGGCCACATCTACCGCCACGCTTGGGGGTTTCCTGCGCAGGGCACAAAGAACCCTACTTGATCAAGTATGGCAAATATTGCAAATTGTTCCAGTCGATGATTTGGGTCATTTCACAGTATGGGCTATGATTGGTGAGGAGTTACACAGAATTAAATTAACAGTTCCTCGCATATTCTATGTCAATCAGAGAAGTCTAGCTCCTCCGGAGGAGGGACAAATGTGGAAAAAAGTTAATCGTGTTTTGCCACGTTCACGTCCGGTTTACAATTTGTATCGGTACAGTGTTCCCGAACAAGTCTTTAAGGACAACTGTCTGGGTATGTTGGCTGATTTAGCTACACCGGATATTGAAGGTATTTATGAAACGCAAATGTCTTTGGAATTTAGAGCTCTCATGGATATGGGCTGTTTATGTGCCGTGCAACGAGAAGAAGCACGGCGTTTGGCCAGTTTGGCCACAAAAGATCTGGAAACTTTTAATATTGAGCAATTGGAACAGAAATCTCAGGCACACATAAAATATCTTCAAGGCTCCAATGCAAGATTGAGGAAAATTTTCCTGTATCAACACAACATACCCACGGCGAAGAAGGAAGTATGGGCTTTGTTTTTAATGGCGAGTAAAAAGGCCATTGTAATAGCCCTGGACACAGTACGTACCAATCAAATGCCAAACATGAAAAATCTATATACTGCTGAACGCTTGGCTCTTATAAAGAATCTTCAGAGTGCCGAAGATATTGAAAAAGTGCCTGCAGAGGACTTTCAATTCGAAATTTTCATTGAAGTTGATGTGAAGCAAGTCTACCGCCATATTCAGAGGGCATTGACGGCATACAAGGAAGAGAAGCGGGGACCATCTTTGATTTGCATGCAGACCGCCTTGGAGTCGCGCAAATTGAGTAATAATATGCCTATTTTATTGGACTTTCCTCAGGCCCAAATACATATATCAGATGATGCCTCTTTACTATCAGGCTTAGATTGGCAAAGGCAGGGCTCTCGGGCTTTGGTTCGACATTTTTTAAATCTTAATAATGTGGTAGAACTGATGTTGGATCAATGCCGATATTTCCACGTACCAATTGGAAACATGCCACCCGATACCGTTCTCTTTGGAGCCGACCTATTTTTTGCTCGTTTGCTACAAAAACATAATTTCGTTCTATGGTGGTCGTCTACTACCAGACCTGATTTGGGGGGTCGTGAAGCGGACGACAGCAGGTTGCTGGCCGAATTCGAGGACAGTGTTACAGTGGTGCAAAATCAAGCTGGTTTCTATCCAGATGTTTGCGTCGAACTTGCATTAGACAGCCTGGCTGTATCGGCGCTTTTACAATCCACAAAAATACAAGAGTTGGAAGGTGCATCTTCAGCTATTACATTCGATGTGATACCACAAGCTTCGCTGGAAGAAATGATTGGTACAGTACCAGCAGCCACATTACCGAGCTATGACGAAACAGCTCTATGTTCGGCTGCCTTTAGGGTGATGCGGTCCATGGTCAATGGTTGGCTGCGAGAAGTCTCAATAAATAGAAATATATTTTCAGATTTTCAAATTGTCCACTTTTATAGGTGGGTAAGGTCAAGTAATGCTCTTCTATATGATCCCGCTCTGCGAAGATCACTGAATAATCTAATGAGGAAAATGTTTCTACGCATTGTGGCTGAATTTAAGCGTCTAGGTGCCACCATAATCTATGCTGATTTTAATCGTATTATATTGTCGTCGGGCAAGAAATCTGTTGCCGATGCTCTAGGATATGTCGACTATGTGGTACAGTCCCTGAGAAATAAGGAAATGTTTCATTCAATTCAGTTGTCTTTTGAACAATGTTGGGATTTTATGTTGTGGCTGGATCATGCGAATTATTCTGGCATTCGTGGTCGCCTTCCCAAGGGCTTGGATGAAACGACATTGGGCGACGTTACGGCTGCAGCATTGGCCGCACAGTCAGAGAAACGTCAAAGGAACACTGATAATTCGGATAATGAGAATGATGATGACGACGATGTAGAAGAAGTGCCAAGGCCCGAAGAAGATGAGGATAATCCAGTCAGTGAAGAGGAACAGCTGTCGTTGGAACTGAATTGGACCATAAGTGAACATTTACCAGAAGAGAATGAATGTCGGGAAAAGTTTGAGGCGATTGTAACGCTCTTCATGCAATCATTGGCTGAGCGTAAGACAACAAAGCAGGCCATCAAAGATATTTCCCACTTGGCTTTTGATTTTATTATAAAATTGCATAAAAACTATGGCAAAGGGAAACACAGTCCTGGTCTAGATTTAATACGCACACTTATCAAGGTTTTAAGTGTCGATAAGGGTCTTATGGAGGATATAAACGACTTTCGGCGTAACATGCTGCGTTTAGTTGGTGTTGGTGAATTTTCCGATTTAGCTGAATGGAAGGATCCGTGTGACAGCTACACAATATCTGAAGTCATTTGCAAGGCGTGCAATCATTGCCGTGATTTAGATTTGTGCAAAGACAAACACAGGGCAATGAAAGATGGAATGTAAGTATTTTAAATGAATATGTCTGCTAATATATGTATCTATAAAAATGTCAACGATGTCCAAATAATTATAGGTATAGGAACATCGTTCCATGATCTTATTTCAAACAAATAATTATATGGCTGTATTAGCAGTCCTTAAAACTTAGAAGATAATATTCATTTATCACTTTGAATAATGATTTGATTTTTTTAGACCCGTATGGCTGTGCGCTCAATGTTTTGTAGCATACGATAATGAGGAAATTGAAATGCGTATTATTGATGTTGTCCAGCGAAAACTTATGTCATATGTCCTCCAGGATTTACGTTGTTCTCGTTGTAATGAAATCAAAAGAGAAAATCTGGCGCAGTTTTGTACATGTGCTGGAGATTTCGTGCCTCTTATCTCGGGAAAGGAAATAGACCATCTGCTGAGAACTTTCCAAAATGTGGCGGATTACCATAAAATGGAATTACTGCATGAAACTGTCCAACAAATAATTGCCACCAAGTAAATTAAATATGTAAATAAATGTCTTTTAAAATGTTGTTTTCCGAATTCGTTTTATTTTGAATAAATTTAATGTTGAACTGAAAAACAAAAGATACACACGCACATAACAGCTCCTCCAATTCTGTTGTTTTTTTTTCTCAGAGCATTAATATCTTAGAACACTGTTGTTGGAATCATTAAACTAAAACTGTTTTACATCATTTAGTTGGTTGATGTGATTGGATCAACTTTAACTTCGGGGAATTTGAAGTCAGGGAATTTGGTCATATCGGTTTTGCCGTCACTGCCGTATTGCTTGGCAACACGTTCCAATTCGTTTTTCATTTCACGTTCAATTTCGGGAGAGGGGTCAACCATTTTGCCACCGCTAAAGAATGAAGAAACATGTTAGATACGATTTGTTAAGCATTATAGCGTAGCATTGTCTTACGAGCTCTTTTGTTTGTATTCACGAACTTTATCCAAAAACAATTGCTGGATGGGATCGGAGGCTTTGCTCAAGGCTGGGGCAACGATACCAATGCTGCGGCGGGCTTCGACGCGCAAAACGCGTACACCACTCAAAATAGATTGGGACAACATCTAAAAAGTAAGATAATCAAAGTTTATTAAAAGATATACTTATTTATATAAACGAATTGTCAAAATTTCCGTTTGCAATTTATTCGGTAACCTTAAAAACATTAAAGGTTATGTAATGATTTTTTTTTTGAGAGAATATCAACAACATTTTGAGGTATGTTCTTTTGTACGTTATTATTAGAGTGATCTGGTGAAAATATTGCTAATCTTTGTAATTTTTGCAATGTTACCTTTTTAGTATTAATTATCTTTTAATTTCTCAAAAGAATAGGAATTCCAATCTCACTCGCTCACTTGCAAAAGTATGTTTTTGACAGCTCCTATTTAGGGATGTGTAAGTGAACTTTCGACTAATCGATTAATCGTTATTGTATCATATTCCATTCTTTCGAATGGACGTGCGCTTGAAATAATAATAATAACACGTTCTCATTGGCAATGACTTAAAACGTTTATTCGATTCAGTATTATAAGTTTTCAAAATTTGGTCTGTTCCAGAACCTGCAAGAATCTAATAGTTTTGCAATTTTCTCCGATATAATAAAGCGAAAGTCGGTTATTGTAGTAAAAACTTATACATTCTTGCAATTCTGGAACAGACTAAAGCTGGGAATACAAAAAGCGCTTATATGACTGGCTTAAGTCATCGGCTGGCTTCTTCGTAAAGGAACAAAGGAGTTTTAGGTTGACTTAGTTCGATTTTGACTCTAGGCTCCTTTGTTCATTTCCGAAGAAGCCAGCCGATGACTTAAGCCAGCCAAATAAGCGCTTTATGTATTCCCAGCTTAATTGATTGCCACAAAATCTGTTCCAACACCAGCAAGTAGTAAAAAGTTGTACATTCTTGCAGTTCTGGAACAGAGCATGTATCTGTTTTAAGTTCACAGCGTTACCTTAAATTCGACGTACTCGGTCGACTTTTTTCACAACACAAGTAAAACAACAAGTTCGAGCTAGTCGGTTTTTATAATATAAATTTAGAAAAGTGGTTCCTATCTATGACGAATTTATAATTTTTAAAGGATTGTAAACTATCATATGTTTATGCGCATCATTTAGATATAATGGTACATCGTACAACAAAAAGGAAAAAATCAGAGCTTTTGGTTGATTACATTTTTTCTAATGTTGACCGATTTTTGTCAAATTTGTTTGGATATATTTTGTTTTGAATACCGAAATTTTATTTAAATGTTTGTTTAAAGTATTAAACCGTTTCAATCGAAAAATGTAAAAGGTTGATTGGCCTAATACGTATAATGTTTCGATTCCTGGATAACCAGTAGAATTTTTAAGTTTTAAGCTAAGGCATCTTCGTACATGAACTAAGGATGTTTAGGTTGACTAAGTTCGATTTTGGCCCTACGCTCCTTTGTTCTTTTGACTTAATGACTTAAGCCAGCCAAAAAAAGCGTTTTATGTATTCTCACCTTTAGACTATGTCCGCATTCTGTCGGAATTATTCAAAATTATATGTAACAAGTTGTTTTCATTTTTTGATAAAATTAGTAAATACGAGAAAGATGAATGAAATTCCTGGATCCCGACTGTTCAATCTTTTAATTCCATAGAATAACTGGTTAGTATCTTTATCACTCGCCCCACAATGTACGTTTTTTCCTATCATTAATTTTCAAAGTATTTTGTTTTTATTTTTGAAAACAATCAATAAGTATACAAAATTGGCACAAGTCGGAAACACTTTGGTAGCTGAAAGCTCTACCTTACTTTTTATTGTACCATGACAATAACAAAAGTTTATTAAAAAAAATATTCAAAACAATAAATACAATCCCAGGAAAGTGTTTATGCATATTTGGCAAAAAAAGAGTTCCTTGAACACAGCGTGTGTCATCATATTGTAGAAAACTTTTAAGTACGCTCGATAGTGTGTACCACATTACCAAAAAATATCTACACGCATATGACATGTCACAAAATTGATATGTTCGCCGAAACCTTTACAAATATCTGTCGCGTGTGATTTTGCGGCTAGGCGACATATCAAATTAAAACGTCAAAATAGTTCAATCGTTTGGAACGTTTGGAAATCAAAATGGGCCGCATAGAGGAGGAATTGAAAACCTATTTCAAAAGCCACAGTAAAATAAGAGAGCAAAAGGCACACACATCTAAGGTAAGTGATGTGACTTGTTATATCATTGCAGAACATAAGTGGAGTATTGCTTTACAGGTTCATTCTGTTGGTTGGAGTTGCGATGGACGCCGTCTGGCTTCGGCATCCTTTGATAAATCCGTGGCAGTATACACATTGGAAAGGGACAGAGTGGTAGGTGTGCTTATGCATATGTTGCAATCAAAAAGCTTTAAACATTCTATTACAGAGCAAAGAGAATACCTATCGTGGTCATAGTGGTTCCGTTGACCAATTGTGTTGGCATGCTTCTAATCCGGATTTACTAAGCACGGCTAGTGGCGACAAAACTGTTCGCATTTGGGATATAAGAGCGGGAAAATGTTCGTCAATTACCAATACCAAAGGTGAAAATATCAACATAACATGGTCTCCTGATGGCAAAACAATAGCTGTGGGTAATAAGGAAGATTTGGTTACATTTATTGATACCAGGACGAATAAAATTCGAGCTGAAGAACAGTTTAACTTTGAGGTCTACAGAAAAAAAGCAATTTGTCATAAAACCAAATATTAATAGATTTTTTTTATTATAGGTCAATGAAATAGCCTGGAATAATAGCAGTGATTTATTCTTCCTAACAAATGGCATGGGTTGTGTACACATTTTAAGTTATCCCAGTTTGGAATTGCAACATATTTTAAAAGCCCACCCTGCCACATGTATTTGCATCGAATTCGATCCAACTGGCAAATATTTTGCTACCGGCTCGGCAGATGCTTTGGTGTCGTTGTGGGATGCTAACGAATTGGCATGTCTACGTGTTCTGTCACGGTTGGATTGGCCAGTTCGTACAATATCCTTTAGTCACGATGGCAAACTTATAGCATCGGCCTCAGAAGATTTACTAATTGATATTGCTCATACAGAAACAGGTGAAAAAATTGCAGATGTTCCAGTCGACGCAGCCACATTTACGGTTGCTTGGCATCCAAAGCAATATCTTTTGGCATATGCTTGCGACGATAAAGATAGTAACGATAGACGCCGTGAGGCGGGAAATCTGAAAGTATTTGGTTTTCAGGAGTAAAACGATTGATATTTAATAAGTAATTCAATGAATAAAAGGTAATACTGTTGTAAGAAATGTTCTTGTTTATTACTAACTACAGGGTGACATAAAAAAACTGCAACAGAGTCAAACGCTATAATTTTTACATTTTCTTTTTAAAAAAAAAAAATATCATAAAATTTTAGAATAAGTTTAGATTTGTTCGAATTGGTCACCTTTGATACTAATTATGGCCTTCAAACGGCCTATGAAACCGTCACACGCTGCCCGAATGTTGCTCTGCGGTATTTTGGTCCATTCCCGGCGAAGCGCTTGCTTGGTGATCGGCACTTTGGAATTTTTTAGTGCCAACCTTGCTTCCAAAATACTCCAAACACAATAGTCCAACGGATTGGTATCCGGAGATTTTGGTGGCCATTGTGCGCTGGAAATGAAGCGAAGAACCTTATTTTGTAACCATTCTTGGGTGGGGCGTGCTGAGTCCTGTTGGAATGTCCAAGGCCTGCGGCCAAAATTTTTGCGTGCCCAAGGCTTTAATACACCCTCCAGAATATTTTCGCTATAATATTCGACATTCATTCTGATGCCACGGTCGATTAATACGAGGGGAGAGTGATCAACGGCTGTTATGGCGGCCCACACCATCACCATGGCTGGCGCTTGAGTTCTGGTGGCCAACCGAAGGTGCACATTTTCAGTTGACCTCTTTGGCAAGTAAACACGATCGTTTTGTTTTTTTACAAAATGCTGGACAACGAATGTTTTAGTCATCGGAGAAAACCAAATTCGGCCAAGCGAAGCAACTCTTTACCTCTTTTGAGTCTATTTTATTTCCACTTTTTGGAATTTCAATGGCTTTACCCCGATCTCATTTTTAAATATATGCCGAATAGAATATTGCGATATGTTCAGCTCACGAGCCATTTTTCGGCCACTGCGGCACGGGTTTCGATCAAATCGCATCTTTACTTTTCGAACCATTTCTGCTGATGTTGCTGTTTTCTTCCGTCCACTTCCTTGACGTCGGGTTACGCTACCAGTATCACGGTATCGAGCGATGACACGAGACACAAAAGATTTATTCACATTTAAATGCTGGAGAGCTCTAACGATAGCCACTTGTGGTTTTTAGCCAAATATCACAAATAACTTTTCACAAAAATGCTTTTGTACACTTGTAAACAATATAATGAGCTGTCACTGGAATAATTTTAACAGCTGTCGGAAGAGTGGCTTAGAAATGACAGCAGTCTGATGTTGGTTGCAGTTTTTTCATCTCACCCTGTATATTGGGAATAATGCTTGATGACCGAATTGACGTTTTAAAGACGGCGTGTGGAACAGTTTGGAGAATTGATATAGAATTATTTTTGGGGTAAACTTGCTATGATATATGACTCCAACATTTCGTATGTACCCATAATTTTATCAAATTCTACACTTTCGAAAAACGCAATAAAATTTCCCTTTAAAAAGTTGTTTTTTAGGTTGTTGGTCAACTTTCGGCGAAGAGTAACATTACTAAATCTCGTATGTACCGTAGTAAACTGATCCGTGGCGTGATCTTAAATTGAAGTTAAACGTTTTAATTTGCAGAGTATGGACAACAAAATATTATATTTGTGTAACAAAATTTAATGACAAAAAATCCTTCCAAAGTTAGTACGAAAGAAATTAGATTTTACTCGGTCGGCCATATAGACCAAATATTTGATCAAAACACCATTGATACAAGTAAGTCACCTCGATACTGTGGATACGGAGTATTTTCCATTCATTATGTTTCTTCTCTTTACAATCAAAATGAAATTCAATGCCAATTTTATGTTCGACATTTGCGAAGTGTTATATTTATGAGTAATTAACACTACATTTAAATGTAATACATTAATAATATTTGAGTTTAAATATACTTTTTTTTAAGTTTTTTTTTTTTTTTTTTTGCTTTCTTAACGAAAGTTGCATGTATGTTATTTGGTAAAATTACTAATATATAGTAAAAAAAGAGAAAACTTAAAAACATATCTTTACTGAAAATATAAAAATACACTAACAAAATAAACAAAGAAATTCGATAGAAGGGGTCGGGTGATGTGTACATTATAAAACAAATTAATTGGAATACATAATGTGTGTACTATAATAAATGGCAAAAAAAAAATAATAGGGAATTCTAACAGAGTATAATTTTGTGGTGAAATAATTAACAGATAAATTGAGAAAATGGAAAGAGTAGAGAGGAACTTAAAAATAAAATAAAAAAAAAACTACTCAAACTAACGGCGATTTCGCCGACGGCCGGAACCCGCATATGCAGAGGAATTCTGTTGCTGGGGATGTTGACCACTGTACAAGTTGTCGAGGAACTCATGCAAAGATGCCTCACTGAAAAAAACGACAAAAAAAACAGACAGATATTTTTACTAATGTTGCATAAGAAAAGAAAAAAAAAAAAAACATTCATCTTACGTTGTTGGTATGTTATCACGTTTAAATTTACCACCTGCTGGTCCACCGCCGGCATAATGAGATCCAGCATTTTGTTGATGCTGTTGTTGTTGGTGATGTGATTGTTGTTTTTGTTGTTGCTGCTGCTGATGTTGTTGCTGTTGAGCTCCACGAACAATACGATATTGTACCATATGCGAATTTGGTTCCAAATGAGCCAAGGCCCCTTTTTGACAGTTGGCCCATTCGGTAATGTCATAAACTTTACCCTCCATCAATGCCAAATATTTCCAACGTAATCCAAGCATACTTGTTTCAGCCCATATGTCTCCCTAGTTAGAATTGAAAATGCATTTGTTAAGAAGCGAAAACTTTTTTTACACTATTCAAAAACGATTGGTCATAATTTATCTATAGTTTTTGAATCGTATAAGTAAATAATACCCCATGTCCAATTCGTATACCCCCACCATACTATTATTAGATATCATTACGTTTGCAATACCTCTAAATATTTTTCGTGATCAGCATAAAATTGTAAGTCTATGTAATAATGCCAATCCGTCGGTTGAAATCAATATTTAAGAATAGGAAGTGCTCGCTACTTCGTCAGTGAAAAGCCCACCTTAAAATTATAGATTTGTTTCAACAGTTCGTATCTGGCCTTTTTAGTACTCAAATTGTACATTTTGCTCAGTTTGACAATATTTTGTAACCAAAACTTCATTTATCGTACTAAACTTTCCGACTTTCACGGTTTCATACATGGTATTCAAGTTTTTCCTTTTTGAAAAGAGTAATAGGAAAATGTTTACTTTACAAAAAGTATTCCAAATCTATGATTTTGCTGTTTACCGGAGAGGATATTAGTAAAACCTTTGCAATATTGATTGACATCCAATTTTTCTGTCAAAAACTATTTCAATGACTCCATCTGCAAACCCTAGAAACCAACATTGACCTCTATAACAAATTTCAGAATTTCATTTTTGTCCCTTCACCCAATACCACATTTAGTACGCACATCCAAAACAATCCACATCAATCCATCCTAGACTCCAACAGTAATTCAAAACTAGTGCCTTTTAGTACTTTTCGAACAATTACAGTACGAATTTCATTTGTAAAACCACCACCAAATACCAACAGAGACCTCATTATCAAATTTTTTGGATTCCAGCTTTATACATTCACTAAATACCAAATTTAGTAACATTTAATACTAATTGTATAATTTAGTACTCATTTACTAAACCGTTCCATATCTCAATCCTAACCGTCCCATATCTCAGTCCTAACCGTTTCATATCTCAACAGCTATCGTAACATAAATCGAACAACTAAAAGGTGAGATGAAAAAGCATCAACCCACTTCAGACTGCTGTCATTTCCGACTGTCCACTCGTCCGACAGCTGTTAAGATTATTCCAGTGAAAGCTCATTATATAGTTTACAAGCGTACAAAAGCGTTTTGGAGGGAATTTTCCCGGAAAAAGCCGTGATGGAATTCAAGGGTGATAGTGTGATTTCTTTATATTTGGGTGGAAAATCACAAATGGCTATCGTTAGAGCACTCCAGCACTTAAATGTGAATAAATCTTTTGTGCCTCGTACCAACGCTCGTTACCGTGATACTGGCAGCGTAGCCCGACGTTGAGGAAGTGGAATAAAGAAAACAGCAACATCTGCAGAAATGGTTCGAAAAGTAAAGAAGCGACCTGATCGAAACCCGCGTCGTAGTGGCCGAAAAATGACTCGTGAGCTGAACATATGGCAATATTCCATTCTGCAAAATTTGAAAAATGAGCTCGGGGTAAAGCCATTGAGATTCCAAAAAGTGCAAGAACTTACACCGCAACAGAAAGAAAATAGACTAAACTAAAAAAGGCTAAGTGTTTCTTCACTTGGCCGAAAGTGGTGAACTGCCGAATTTGGTTTTCTTCGATGAGAAAACATTTGTTGTCCAGCAGTTTGTAAACAATCAAAATTATCGTGTTTACTTTCCAAAGAGGACAGCTGAAAGTGTGCACTTTCTGTTGGCCATGGTGATGGTGTGGGCCGCCATAACAGCCGATGGTCGCTCTCCGCTCGTATAAATCGACCGTGGCATCATAATAAATGCCGAATATTATCGCAAAAATATTATGGAGGGTGTATTAAAGCCTTGGGCCGCAGACCTTGGATATTCCAACAGGACTTACCACCATTGCACGCGCCACCCAAGAATGGTTACAAAATGAGCGCACAATCCGTTGGACTATTGTGTCTGGAGTATTTTGGAAAGCACAGTTGGCACTAAAAAATAACAAAGTGTCGGTCACCTCAAGCAAGCGCTTTGCCGGGAATGGGCCAAAATACTGCAGGGCAACTTTCGGGCAGCGTGTGACGGTTTCATTGACCGTTTGAAGGCCATAATTCGTGCCAAAAGTGACCATTCGAATAATCTAAACTTTCATTCAATAAAATTTAAAAAAAAAATGTAAAAATATGGCGTCTGACTTTGTTGCAGTTTTTTATCTCTCCCTGTACAGCTTTCATACATTACTGTATCAAAGATTTTCGGTCGTTTCGAACATTTTAGAAGGAATTTACAAAACGCCTGCACAGTTACAAGACTCTAAAGCGTAACAATCACTGTGGTGATTGTTGACGAAAAAACTACACTTTTGCCCCACACAAATAAAATGGATGCTTTAAAAATTCCTTAGAAATGTATTTCCACGAATAAAATCTGTAGGAATAACATCAAAAATACTTACCTCTCTTGCCGAGTGTCGTATTTTGCATGATGCACATTCACGAGCAGCATAATGGGGCCGATCGGTTATTTTCCTAGGATGGCGTAGGCCACATGTACTACATCTTGAATAATAATAATAAAAAATATGGTATTATTTCATCAATATAATTATATAACCATCATTTTATTACCTTATTGTATTAGCAGCTTCGGTGATTTTAGTTTGTAACTGTGATAGCAAGTCGTGCAGTTCTGTCCAGGCTTTTTCAGCATGTAATGCTTCCGCTAAACTTTGATCATAGGATAGACGATTTTCCTGTATAAAACCATACAAAATTGTACAAAGAACGGAATATAAGTCAAATGTTTTTTATTGCTTTACCGGTTCCGCAATTAATTCGAATGCCCTTTGCAAAACTTTAAATGCCTCCTCTGCGCCCGGTTGTTTATTTTTGTCGGGGTGCACCAGAACAGCAATTTTCTTGTAATGCTTACGTATTTGTTCTTGTGAGCTATTACGTGGAACGCCCAAAATACTGTAAAATAAATTTATGTTTCAATTCTATTTTTTTAGCCAGGTTTCTTCTCACAAACCTGTATGCATCCTTTCCTTTACAGTTTAATAGTTGGTACATTGCCTCTTCTCCGGTCTGCGGTAAACGACCAGTTTTGGTAGCTTCACTTGAAATATCTGGCGGGCGTTTTTTATAAAATCTTCGCCAAAATGCCCATTTGCTTGTTTTCGAAAATCTTGCATCAAAACGTCGACATGTATTCTTAAACCAAATGCTGGGTTTATTCGAATTCTGTTTTAAATCTTTCCATAATTGTTGGCCATATGTCTTGCAATACTCATAACCGGATGCCAAACGATCGTACAGTATACTACAGCCAACAACAACAATATCATATACCAAATTAAATAGCCATATCAATATTTTCAAAGTATAAGAGTACCAAGCCTTGAGGAAACGTTTTGCCAACTCATAGTTACGATTGTTACCAGATCCACCACCGTATGAGGGTGTAGATGAAGTACCATACGAACTATTGTTTCGATTGCGTTTCGTAGATGAGTATGAGTAAGAAGCATTTGAATTATTTTGATAACGTGATCGCTGCTGTCCGCTACCCGATGTGCTACCATAAGAAGACGAAGAATTCGGAGATTTTGCTGCCTTACGGACATATGTATTGTTTGTACCATTATATACATTAGCCGAAGCAGTTGCATTGTTATTTGTATTGCCTTTGGAAGATCCTCGCGAATCGTTTCCATTTTTTCCTAAGGGAAAATGATTATATTTCAATTATTTAATTTGTAATGAATAAGGGCTGTTTCTGTGTGACGATACGAAAGTGATTCGATATTTTGGACTTTTCTGAAAAAAAAAAACTCATCTGGAGGGATGTTTTTCGTTCGCATTTGTCATACAAAAGCTAGACCTAAGTAAATTAATTTCAATGTAGTTACAAAGTTTCATATAGAACATTAGCAATTTTTGAACATTTTTTAGTAGGTTGAATTCGGCTGTACGCAGTTCTAATTAACAAAATGAATCTAAAAATTAAGGAGAAAAAAAATTAAAGGAAAAAACGCGATTTGCGATCGTTCATTCATTCTCAGTTGATGGCTGGGGTTATGCTCAATTCCATTTTTTCATTCATTTCAATTACAGGGTGAGAAAAAACTGCAACCAACTTCAGACTGCTGTAATTTCTAAGCCACTCGTCCGACAGCTGTAAAAATTTTTCCAGTCACAGCTCATTATATTGTTTACAAGCGTACAAAAGCATTTTGGTCAGAATTTTCCAGGAAAAAAGTTATTCGTTATTAAATTCAAGCGTGATAGTGTGATTTCATTATATTTGGCTGGAAAACCAAAAGTGGCTATCGTTAAAGCACTCCAGCATTTAAATGTGAATAAATCTTTTGTGTCTCGTACTATCGCTCGTTACTGTGATACTGGTAGAGTAGCCCGACGTCAAGGAAGTGGACGGAAGAAAACAGCAACATCAGCAGAAATGGTTCGAAAAGTAAAGAAGCGACTTGATCGAAGCCCGTGTCGCAGGGGCCGAAAAATGGATCGTGAGCTGAACGTATCGCAATATTCCATTCGGCAAATATTGGAAAACGAGCACGGTGTAAAGCCACTGAAAGTGCAAAAATGTTGTGATGCTCGAAATTGGAAGATAATCGGAGCCTTTTTCCAGATTTAAATACAGTTATAACTATTCAAAATATTGACCCTTTGGGAGGCGGTACATGATGAAGTTGGTCGCACTTGACATAGCTCAGATATAAAATTGGATGGTACTTTCTTCTTTTATGAGGTAAATTAATATTTGACCTTTTGTTGGGATGTACAAGAACGATTGGACAGATATTGTCAATCTCCGAACTCGATCTAAGTATGATAATAACGTTACGATGTACCAAGTTCGGGCCAAATCGGATAATTGAACACCTCATATCGACTCCAAACAAATTCGGTCCGAAAAGACGTTTAAAACCGTTAACTCGATGAGACGCGTTTTGGCCGTAACAATTGATATAAACCCTCTGTAGCCATGTGACTGAGGGAATAAAAAGTTCGAATCAACATTTCAACATCCCTCATACATTAACATCTGCAAAAATTCATTGACCTTCGTTAATCTCTACCTTATTCTAATCTCTAATTTTCAAACTTGCTGCTAAATACAAGGCAGGAAAAGGCATATGGAGAAGTAGAATCAAATTATTATTAAAATGAGACAACACGTTGTTTTACAAAAATAGTATCAGATACACTGCATGTCCCGAAGTGTGGTCGAATGAACGAAAATTGTAAACAAATCTTACAATCATTTAAAATAAGCAAGACTTCTGTTCACCAAGAAGGTGAAGTAAAAGACAGTGGAGCGCATTTTTTGGGAGCACGTTAATAACTTTGGGACTTAGAATCAAGAAAAACACCTAAACAATTTGAACGATCATCAATATCAATTACTGATCCATACACCTGTATATTCATAATACTACCTCTTACTTTTGTCTTAATAGGTAAAAACAGAGGATATATATAAGCAGATATGCTTATTTTCTCAATTCCAAAAGGCACATGTAAAGGAATTATATATATTTTATAGCCGACCTACATTATTGTTAACATCAAGTAATCACTTGCTCAAAAGTGTAAATGAACTCTTTATTGGCATCAACATTTTTGCTGGCATACATGCTATGTACAAATAATATATTTCGACTCACCTCCATTAACTTGTGTATCAACATTTTTGTTAACACGTTTCTTTTGCAGATTCTGCGGCTGTTGTTGTTGCTGCTGGGTCTGTGGCTGCGTTTGTTGCTGCTGCAAATCATTAACACTACTCTTCAGATTATTTATGATATTCTTTTGGACAGTTGATGTAACTGTCGGGTTTTTATAGTTTGAACTATTGTTTCCATTTCCAACCATTGTATTTCCAACACTTGCAGAAGATCTCTTGTTCATATTTTTATTTAGTTGCTGCTGTTGCTGTGGTGTTAGGTGTTGTTGATTTTCTTTATTATCATGAGTTGGAGATTTTTTAGATGAACGATTAGAAGCGAACTCTTCCAAACTTCGTCGTCCATTATTATCAGCCGAAGACGATGATGAAGACGAAGATTTTCCAGATGATTTTTGCTGATTTCGAATTAATGCATTTAGTGAACTATTCTGATTATTTGCAACATAGTTAGAAGCATTTTGTTGTGTCTGATTATTGATTTTACTCAAAACATCGGAATAGGTCATACGCATGGGTTTCACTTCAGCAACTATGCGTTTTTTTGGAGCTTCTTGTCGTGGTATCTCTGACTTGTGAGTCAGGGGAGATTGTATAATTTGATGTTTGTCTTTAGATGATTGTACTTTTATGGGAGTATTGATCTGTGTAATTTGTTGCTGTTGTGGTTGAATGGCAATGTAATTGGCAGCATCTACGTTTTTATCGGAGTTCTCAGTATTGATTACGTTTGCATTTTTAGGAAGTTCTAATTCCATATGGGCAAGATATTCAGTTTCAGATTGAATTGTTTGTGAATTTTCAAATTGTTCGTAAAGCGGAGGTGCGATTGAATTTTCCAGCCAATTATTTGAGACATTGTCCACAGTGTTATTTCCTTCCAACATTGTCTGCGAAACTTGTAGTTCAGTTTCTACATATTCTTCAGATACATTTATTGGTTGTTCATCGCGAATATTGTTGCTTGTACCGAGCACCAGCACAGGTGGCATTTCTGCAGTTGGCAATTGTGTGAATGTATTACTTGAAAATAGTTCATAGCTGTTATAAATCTGTGGTGCATTAGTGCCAGTATTAGAGTTAGGTGCTAAATGTGATGGCGTCTGTTGCTGCCCCTGCGAATGTTGCTGCTGTGGTGTTGGCTGGACGCTGGTTGGTTGTTGTTGTATATGATGATAGGCCGCCGCTTGTTGGGTTTGTTGTGGATTAAATGGTGGTGGATGGTGTAGGGGGGCAAATGAAGTTTCTCCAGGCAAAGGACCCATTGCATTTTCGGGGCAGTGATAAATTTTCAAGAAATTACCATTACCCACCCTCAAAACTGAATATGTTTCCTGTTGAGGAGCTGGCGTTTGGGGAACCGATGCAGCATAAGCAGCTTGGGCTTGTATGTTGAATAGTACATCATTAAAGAGCTGCTGTGGAGGATGATGCTGTTGCATAAAGGGAGTACCACCAATCAACGGATTTGGCCAATGCACAAACTGTGGCGGCGGCGGTGGTGGTGGCTGAGCCTGATGTTGTCCGGCAGCAACAGACGTTTGTGGTATACCCAACCCGCTTACATACTGCGGAATCTGTGGCGGCTGTGGTATATTTGGATTAATTCCACCCCTATAAAATTCTTCCGAAGAATTTCCATCATTTGGTGATGGCGTTGACATTACAAAATACAACGAACGTCGTTTAATACGTGTCTGAGTTGATGACAAAAACAATTTTTTTCCTTCATTTATTTATTTGTTTCGCTGCCTTTATTGTTAGTTTACCATATCTTTGCAAATAGTATTTTTATGCAACTTGCAACAAGTTGTTATACTCTTTCAATTATTTTATTAAAAAAATAAAAAAAATCACAATTTCACAGGATTGCTCAAGATAGAGATTTGTAGACAGACAACGAAGCGGAGCGAATTTTTCAGCGGCGGTGGTATGTCAATTGCAAAACAATTGGCGGCGGCGCTTTGTGCATTCAGTGTACTCTGCACACAAACACATTGACAACTTTGACAACTAGAATACAATCGTTGCGAATGATGGAAAAGGCAACACGCCGAATTCGCAGAAAGATTGTATAGAAAGTGGAAGAGGCAACATGACACAACAGCTGTTGTTCTCCTCAGGAAAGGAAGTAATCATGGTAGAATAATACGGAAGGAACGAATGTCGAACATGGTCCAAGCATGGTATAATGAATTCAAGGTAGGGCAGAACTACCATATGATTTTAATTTTTTATTTTTCTGGCTTAATATGTCAACTTCATTTGTTTATGTGTGTGTATTCTTTCCAATAATAAAAATTGTTCAGAAAATATTCAAATTCTGGTGTTTTCAAAATGTTTATTGCGACGAATGCATCGACAAAATCTACAGTTTTTGTCGCGAAATAAACCATAAGAGATATATAGAACATGATTTTGAAAAGAAATTTTGACCTTTCATTCAGTTTTGACGGTATAAAATTATTTATTTAAAATCAATGCAACAAGTTGTTTGCTTTTTTATTGCTTTGATAATAATCCTGACATTACAAGCCAAACAGGTAGACCTCGATACTTGCAATTTTTTAAAAGTTAGCCAACCTTGTATTCATTGTACCATGGGTCCAAGTATAAGGTCGCCCTGCGAAAAAAAACAAAAAAAAATGGTAAAAAAAAACTATAAACAAATTTTGACATTTCATCTGGTTTTTAAAATTTGGAGGAATGCCTCAACGCTTGGGAACATTGATATGTCAAAAATTTTTAAATGTTTTAACAAAAACTTATTGGCTTTTATTACATAAATGGAAGAAATAAATAAATATAAATAAGTAGACTTTTATATGTTTTCTTGTACGCACAAATCGGAGGTTTTTATGTTATACATTTTTCAACAATTTTTACACTTGTCAATATTTTTTTTAAAACAAAATTGGCTTGAGAGCTCATTGTCCTACCTGTATTGTAGTAGTATTAGAAAGAGTTGCAAATTGGCGTTGTTCTACATTGTTACCAGGGTTGTCAGATATGGCGATTTCTCGCCAAACGTGCAATTTTTCTATGCGTTTGTCGACTGAATTTTTGATTTGGCGACGTGTCGATTTTTTGGCCGGATTATAGAATATTTGGCGGATTCGTTAGCAATTGTGTGGAAATTACACACTACACGAAAATCTGTACCTGCGTAGACAATTTTCTGTTACAGACTGCAGTACTCATGGCTCAATAAGGAAGGTTGTTCAACATCAAGTGACTAGATAAATGCAACTTTGTGCTGGAGTCTTATAGTGTCAAGTAGACTTTTATATAGGCAACAGTTGACTTTGTTTATTTTTAATTATTTAATACAATTCTTAGATTGGGAAAACCCCGAGAAACAAAAATGTAATTTCGGGGTTATTCCAAATAATTGCATGGAAAATGTTGGGAAAATACAGTATTATAACAAAATTGTACAATTTGTTACAAATGCAAATTTTCGACGAAATGGAAAATTTGCATTTGTAAGGTAAGTGTGTTGCAGGCCGTTCACATGCGGCGCAAAAAGGCAACAAATATATGGGGCCGTGTTTTTTGGCAAAACCTGTCCACAACCACCGCAGAAATTATCCCAATTCTGTTGGTAGTGCATCCCATAATTGGTCCTCAAATGGATTTGCTCAGTTTTCTTGGGTTTTTAGTGAGGATGGTGAGGATGCTTCGAGATTTCAATTTGCTTGTAATTTCTGCGGGGTGTGTAGTCTGGGTGGCGATGGGATCAAAATGCCGGAAATGGTTTGATAGGGTTCGCTACGTACGAAATTAGGCTCGAACAGGGTTGAGTTAAAGAGTATTATAAAGGTAGTGAATGACAGGGTGACTCAGGCTAAGAAGTGACTAGGCAGCCCTATGATTGCTGAGTAGGTGGGAACCTACTACTACTCCGGGGTGAGCTGAAATGAGAATTCACAATAGAATAAAAAAATGGCTATTGACAGTTGAAAAGAAAAAGGAATGAAAATTGAAAATGGCTCAGGAAAATGGTGTTTCGTGGAAAATGAGCGTCTGGCGGGATTCACTGAGAAGAGGGGTATAAAAGGCTGCGAGCATAAGAAAAGAAAGTTGAGAATAAGACGTTACCGGTGAAACTTAGCTAGAGAGCAGTGAAGAAGTGGAAAAATTTAATTTGTGTGTTGCGATTTTTTTTTATTGTGAATATTCCGGTGGTGTATCAAGCCTTTTTTGGAAGCACCGAAAATTGTCCGGTTTTGGTCAGCACAACGGCGGGAAATTGCCTTTTCTTTTTGGTAACGCAAGGTAGTGGCGAGTTGTCCACAGGAAAAAAAAGCCAAAAAAGTTACATTGAGGGTGTGGGGATTTGAATTGTAAACTGGCCAGCTGCAACTTTGAGCTTTTTGCTGTGCCGGTTATTGATCCCGCCCAGAACGCCGGCATTGTAAAAGGACCAGTCAACAAGTCCAGCTTCATTTGAGGGTTTGCCTGGCGTTCAAAATCTGTTTCCTCCGGAAAGAAGCGTAAACTGGAAGGAGAGATAAGAAGAATTAATCAATAACGTTATAAATCACTGCTCAGGTAAAAGGTGTCGTACCGTTGTGTTGTCCTTGATATATTTATATATATGTGACGTCCATAAAATTTGCTGTCTCCTTTTTTGGAACTAAAAGAAAAAAAAAAAGAGTTAATAATCATAAATTTCGAGTAACAAAAAAAATTATAATATTCAGTATAAAAATTTGGTAATAAGATAGGTTATAGTTCTTAGGATTTAAGTAATAATCAATCTGTAAGGGAAAAATACCGCGTTTATTTTCAAAGGCTAGGAGGTGTTACAGTAAAATTATCTTGAGTCCTTGTGATTCGATCTGATAGTTTAGGCCGTGGAATTTTAGCGGCAATTAGGCCAGTTAAGAGAGCTCTTTTAGGTGGCTAGTAATTTCGTATAGACGCGTGAATATTGCGCGGGAAAAGCAAGGCAAAGGATAATATATTGGTTTCTACCGAGTAATTAAAGCCATAGATTTAAGAAAGCCCGGTATTATTCTTAATTTGTTTTTTTTTATACCATACAGTTTGTCAATTTTAATGTAAGAAAAAAAATAGTAGAGAAAAAAATTAAGAAAATATTTAAAGCTAACTTATTTTTTTTAATAAAATTAAAAATGATTCTTTTGTAAACAGTAGATACTAATATGTGTTGCTAAGTTTGTATAGCTTGGGGGGAAGGTGGTATGAAGTAAGTGTGTGATTCGAAGCGTGTGGCTCAAGGGGATTCAGAGAAACGCAAGAAATGGAAATACTGGATCCAGGTAGGGTGGGCGAGTGTGGGATCGATCCACCGAGATCCCTGTATGATGACTCCTATTTTGTATATCGTAGAGTAGAGCAATTGTAGTAAAGTCCCCTTTCAATGTTAGTGTGTTGGATTCGATTGGCGGGTTGAGATCCCTAGCCCTGGGAGTCTCTGTGACAGTCGGATGGCCTAATCGTATGCCGAGCAAATGCACACATAACAGAGATGGCGCCCAATATTCTAAAATAAAGCTTTATTGTACCTGATACCACTGTCAAAAATGGCGACTCAAACATGGCCGTGTTAAACTGTGATATTAGGTTAGTAACTCTGTGCAGTAACATCGACGCACACAGCCATAGAATGCTAGTAGATTTTAAATAGACAAAAGAAAATGTTTTTGACAAATAATATTCTGTGATATTAGTATGCATCCGAACTTTAGAGAGATGGGTTACGAAGTGCGATATTACTATATCAAATATATTATGGGAACGTTTTCTCCACTGTTCTAAGTAGGGTGTAATCAATAGCTTGTAATTCCGAGCTGGAATAAAACAATTTGTATTGAGAATCCTACTGTTAAAATTTGTTTTTGTGAAATAACCCAAATAAATTATAGACAGGAATAAGTACATCGAGTAGCAGCAATAGCGATTTTGATCTGAGAGATGCAAAAATCTTAGTATTGCATATAAAAACCCTGAGCTTTCATTTATGAAATGTAATAGATATGTCAGGGGTCTGAAGTTAACAAAGCACTATAATTTATTAGAAGAATAAGAATGTCTAAGGGAAGAGTCATACACCTCATAAAGGGCACTAAAATTATTAAAAAAAAATAATAATAATAATAAAAAAATAAATAAATAAAAAAAAACCACACACACACTGCTTCTGAAAATTACACTTCCCCCGTAGATCTATGTTGTAATTGTCAAATTTGAAAATTTGTATGTGTAATTGTAATCGAATGTATTTATAAAAAGTATTTGTTTTGCCGATGTTTCATATTTGAAAAAAAGGTTAACTGAATTTAAAACTTACTTACAAGAAAAGGTTTCTTCCGAGATTCAATTGATAACAAATGAGAAGATAAATTTTGGGTATAGGTCATGATCTACAATACCCGCAATAGTAAAAGAAATAAGAGAGGCAGACCCGAAAATTTTGACCTAAACCGATCGACTTATTTTCCAGAGCAGAGCAAGCAAAGACGAATAGGGTCGGACGAAATGGCGAATGAGGATAGGAATATGAGTGCTTTGCAATTTATCGATCTAGCAGACACGATAATGCGAAGAGATCAGAACACCAATCATGTGCCAACAGTGAGTGATAATTTGAATAATAATGGTCCAACTACTTCCGACTTACATGGACTAGTACAAGATGAAGCAGCGTCTGTCCAGAAGTCATTGGAAGATAAAGTTAAAAAAATGGTCGAAACAGAAATATCTGATGTGAAGAAAATGATAGATTCTTTATCAAAAGGCATGAGAGAACTATCCGACACTGTGCGTAAACAATTAATTGTACCCCCAACGGCTACGGTAGCCTCTAATTCTATTACAAATAGTAATGCTAATCCGACGTCAAACAATAATAATGACGCAGTAAATAGGAATATGCCACCAATTATCCAATTTCCGAGTGCTAGTCAAACTCCATTATCAGATCAATTTACTGGCCCGATAACGAATACGTTTAGAGTGGAACCACTAGGAATACGAGTTGATAAACTTGGTTTAAATTTCAGTGGTGACCCGAAAGGCTTAAGAGTTATGGATTTTATTAAGCGGTTAGAGATCATGCAGGCTCAATATAATATTCCATGGTCTGAAGTGTTGAGGGATTTCGCCTTTCTGGTTTCTGGTCAAGCCAGAGAATGGTATTGGCTGCATAGACAAAGTAATGTTTACACCGATTGGGTGGGTCTTAAAGAAGCGCTGATAAGCCAGTATCAAACCCCACAATCCAAATTCGACATACTCAGGGATTTGTTAGAAAGGAAACAAAGGCCAAATGAAAGCATCAATAGTTATTTTCACGAGATGGGAATTTTGCGATCTAGATTACTTCAACCTATTTACGAGTACGAAATGATTAAGATCCTAAGGGGAAATATACGTGAAGATATAAAACGACATGTATATCAGATGACCATTTCGTCGGTTGAACAGCTACGAATAGAATGTATTGAGGCCGAGAGAAATTTCCCTAGGCGCGAAAATAGAGCTGTAACGTTCCCCCAGCGACCTATCCGCCAAGTAAATGAAATATATGATGAAATTTATGAAAAGCCTGTAGAAGTACCGGAGGAGAATATTGGTGAAGAGCTGTCAGCTATCCGGATACAAAGCCAAATTAGAGTCCCAATGATCTGCTGGAACTGTCGAGAAAAGGGGCATGTTTTTATGGACTGTCCAGTAGAAGTCCGGAAATTGTTCTGCTATAGGTGTGGGAAGCCGGACACAGTAACCCCAAAGTGTCCTGTCTGTCAACAGGGAAACTCCCGAAGGGGTGTGGAAGTAACAGGGGAAACACACCCGTCAGAGAACCCTGTGAATCGGAAGAATTAGCACCCAAAAACGTCCGAATTTTAATAAAAAACAACGATAATATATTTAGAGATAAGAGTAGTGTAGAATCGAAAAATTTTTCTGCAGGTCAGAGGCATTACATTCCATTAGAAGATCGCCAAAGAAATTATGCTAAGGTCAAGGAGAGAATTTTTAACTCAGAGTTTACTGTAATCCCGAAAAAAATTATTGAATTGAGACAAAAATCCAAGAAGTGGCGTGAGCAGCGAAGATATTTGATAGAAACTATTTCGAGAGTGACTGGTATTGCCTCAGATCCCAGAGTTTTCTCGGAAATCAGTATGCAAGGAAAAATCATGAATGGGCTCCTAGACACCGGCGCTTCGGTTACTATGTTAGGGAAAAATTGCCGAGAGATAATAGAAGAACTTGGCATTCCAATTATACCAATGTCCAGCAGGGTAACCACCGCCGGAGGTACACAGTATAATGTTTTAGGGAAAATTAAAGCCATCATAAAATACCAAGAGCAGGAAAAATTTATGACACTGTATCTATGTCCTCAATTGGAACAAGAACTATATCTTGGAATAGACTTCTGGCGAACATTCGAATTAGCCCCTGATGTGATAGGAGCTGCTGAAATTAATATAGAAAAAGTTTTCAGGGATATGACTGCTACGGGTCCCGACTACAAACTCAACCCTCACGAGTTAACAAATGATCAAGAGAATCGATTAAAATGCATAGTAAAAAAATTCAAGACCTTTGAAGAAAATGGGCTAGGTTGTACTAGTTTAGAAAAGCATTCGATTAAGCTCGTGGAAGGTGCGGAACCGGTTAAAGACCGCCACTATCCCATGTCTCCAGCGGTTCAAGCTATCACGTACCAAGAAGTCGATAATATGTTAGCACTTAATGTTATTGAGGAAAGTGAAAGCCCTTGGAGCAATCGTACAACTATCGTACGAAAGCCCGGAAAAAATCGTTTCTGTCTGGATGCTCGAAAGTTAAATAAGCTCACGGTCAAGGACGCATACCCCCTGCAAAACATTGAAGGAATACTAAGTCGCATTGATGAAACTCATTACATTAGCAGTGTGGATCTTAAATATGCGTTCTGGCAAATCGAATTAGACGAAGAAAGCAAGCCGTACACCGCTTTTACGGTCCCAGGTCGTCCATTGTATCAATTCCGTGTGATGCCGTTTGGATTGTGTAATGCTGCACAAAGGTTATGTCGACTGATGGACAAAGTCATTCCCCAACGACTCAAGGAGAATGTCTTTGTGTACCTGGACGACCTGTTGATTATTTCAAGTGATTTCGACGAGCATCTTCGTCTATTGAATGAAGTAGCCGATTGCCTTGACCGAGCGAATTTAACAATCGGGTTAACCAAGTCAAAATTTTGTTTTCGTCAGTTAAGATATTTGGGATTTATTATTGGAGAAGGCATGTTGCGTACTGACCCCGAAAAAGTAGAAGCAATTCGAAAAATTAGAATTCCCAAAAGTGCTAGGGAAGTGAGAAGTTTTCTGGGTACAGCAGGATGGTACCGAAGATTTATTAAAGACTTCGCGTCACTTTCAGCTCCCCTTACTGATACCCTGAAGAAATCGCCAAAATTCGTAATTACGGAAAAGGCAAAGGAGGCATTTGAAAACTTAAAGAGGGCCTTAACTTCCGCACCGGTGTTACGCCACGCAGATTTTTCCAAACCCTTTTTTATTCAATGTGATGCTTCGGAATATGGCATCGGCGCTGTTCTATTTCAGCTGAATGCCGAAGGACATGAGCATCCGATCGCTTTCTATTCGAAAAAACTCAATAAGTGTCAGAGAAATTATAGCGTGACAGAGAAGGAATGCTTGGCGGCGGTGATGGCTATCAAAACTTTCCGTCCTTACGTGGAGCTAATGGAATTCACCGTGATAACAGATCACGCTAGTTTACAATGGCTGATGAGTCTAAAGGACCTCAGTGGTCGTTTAGCTCGCTGGTCATTGCAACTTCAGGGATTTAACTTCAAAATCGAGCACCGAAAAGGAAAGGAAAATGTTGTCGCCGATATGCTATCCCGCCTACCCAATGCCGACGAAATAGACATGAATCGGGTTTTTGAATTCGAGACCACCGAGTTTGAAAGTGATTCGTACAAACAGCTTAGAGAAATTATAGCAAATAAAAAGGAGAATCTCCCCGATCTAAAGATTGTCGACAATATGGTATTTAAAAGAGATCACAAGTCCTATAACCCAGAAACACAAGAGTTTCAGTGGAAATTGTGGGTCCCAGAGTCTTTGACCCATTCTTTAATAGAGCAAGCCCATGATAAAACTACGTCAGCTCACGGAGGCATATCAAAAACCATTTTTCGTTTAAGAGAAAAATATTACTGGCCTCTAATGGTATCCCAGGTTAGGCAATATGTGTCTAAATGTACTGTTTGCAAAGAGACAAAGCCTACCAATGAAAATACTCAGCCTCAGATCGGAAATGAAGTCGTGACAAATCTTCCCTTCCAGAAACTCTACGTTGACTTCCTCGGGAAATACCCCCGGTCTAAAAGTGGCAACGCCTTTATATTTATAGTGGTGGACCACTTTAGCAAATTTACATTTCTTAAGGCAATGAAAGAGGCAACAGCTTCCAATGTGGTAAAATTTATGGTTGAGGATATATTTCGTAAGTTTGGCGTACCCGAGACGATACATTCCGACAATGGGGCACAGTTCGTATCTAAAACTTTCAAAGACATGATTGAAACATATGGAATCAATCATATCCAAACAGCTCCATATGCTCCGCAGTCTAATGCATCTGAGAGAGTCAATCAATCAGTATTGGCGGCGATTAGGGCATATCTAGAAAATGACCACAGAGATTGGGACCTGTATCTAACAGACATAGAGTGCGCCTTAAGAACATCGATTCATACTGCAACTGGTGTAACGCCATTTTTCGCGCTGTTTGGTCATAGTATGTACACCCATGGTTCAGATTATAAATTAGCTCGGAAGCTCCACTCATTGGCGGACCATGAAATTATACATTTAGATCGTAACGACAAGATGGAACTAATCCGAAATAAAATTAGACAGAATATGCATCAGGCTTATCAACAAAGCGCAAAAAGGTATAACGCAAGGGCTCGTACGATTATTTTCTCTCCGGGTCAAGAGGTATATAAAAGAAACTATGTTCTTAGCGATTTTGGGAAAAATTTTAATGCTAAGTTTGCCCGGAAATTTACGAAGTGTCGTATAGTAAAGCCCATAGGAAATAATATGTATTCTCTCGAAGATCTAAATGGAAAGGCGATTGGAATCTGTCATGCAAAAGATCTTAAAAGATAAGTGGAAAAGAAAGTCTGTTCAATCCCCTTTCCCAATTCAATTTTTATAAAAAGAATTCTAAAATAACTTTCAAAAACTATTTCACATTTGGTACCAATTCTATATCACATTTATCAGCAATTGTTTAATTCAAAATCGAATGAATCAAAACAAAACATAGAAAATGTGTCTGATGAAACTAAATACGATAGTAAAATCACCTTCGTACTGAATTCATTCGTATTAAGGTTCAAAAATATCAGCTGATCTGTTCCCCTAATTGGGTAATTCAAAGTAATCAGACTCTAGTTTCACGTTTATCACAGCTGTCTAATTTCTTTTACAAAATATTCTACGCGACATACAAATTTGAAAAAAAAAAAAAAAATTTTACTCAAACACACCCGGTGGCGATAAAAATAGCACAATCTGGTTTATTCCGGCATAAATTAATGAAAGATTCCCATACATAAAAAGCGAACATACATAAAACTACATTCTACCAGACAATCACGTAGACACCACGATTATGGTATTTGTTTACCTATCAATCACATCAGCAAATACCGCATACAAAATCCGTTCTTCGGCAACCACGACGACAAGACAGGCATAGGCACAAATATTTCCGCATGCAAAATGTTTCACCACCTATTAAGGAATGAAAGTTATTAAATGTTCAAAACAAACAAAAAAGTACCGAAATACATTCCTAGGGCTATGCCCGCTTTCTGTCAAAATACTTCAAAATTGTATGCGACAAAATGTTTTGATAATTGTTATTTTTTTGAATGCGTTATTGAACGCACGGATTTTTTTTTCAAAAAATGTGATCAAAACTGTTTAATCCTTCAATTCCAGGACAAAACAGGGTAATATTTTGAACGCCGGCCACGCAGTGTTCGTTTTTCCAAACATTGACCTTGAAAATATTTTTTTTTATTTTCAAAACAAATAATACACAATAATGACAGAAGTCGGGCACACTTGGAAAAAAAAATTGTAATCAGCTTTCAGATCTACCTTACTTTTTTATTGTACCATGATTTCAATAATTTGATCAAATTATTTGTGTATCAAAGTACGTATAGATTCCAACTTTGAAGATTATATCCATAACCAAGAAGAATGTGTGAAATTTTGATGAAATCGGAGAATTTTTCATTTAGAGCTGTTGGGTGTTACCAGTGTGGATCCGCCAGAGAGGACAAATATATTCCAACTCCACACAAGGTCTTGGGTTGGTAGAATTATTGGGTTGTTCCGGATGTTTACCTTTTTGTAGTGAAGGTCCCAAAGGAGTGGGCCGATAAATCCCATCCGTTCCTCTGAACTTGTCTTAGTAGAAATACTGAATGCGGGATTTTATAAATAACCGAATGCGTATTGTAAAATTTATGAGCGTTTTTGATCTTCCCAAATGTTGACCTGCTATAGGGGAATTACCAGCGAGTTTCCCGGACTCGGAACTCGATCGATGTTTGGTAGTGACACGATATTTTCAGGGTGTCGGATCGAGAATTATCAGGCGAACTAGCAAGACATGTTTCACAGATCTGATGGACAGATTAGAAAAATAAATTAATTTATGTGGTTCTATTTCGATGGGGGATATTTACCAGCATGAGGGGGAGGGCTTTGACCAGCCTGCTGTTCGGAGCTTATGCCCGGCATGAGACCTTCAGGGAGTGGGATGTCCCCACGTAAATGAGTAATGCGGCCGTGCACATCACCTCCGTCCTCGATTTTGTGGCCGAAGTTGAAGTTTTGTTGCAGGCCGTTCACATGCGGCGCAAAAAGGCAACAAATATATGGGGCCGTGTTTTTTGGCAAAACCTGTCCACAACCACCGCAGAAATTATCCCAATTCTGTTGGTAGTGCATCCCATAATTGGTCCTCAAATGGATTTGCTCAGTTTTCTTGGGTTTTTAGTGAGGATGGTGAGGATGCTTCGAGATTTCAATTTGCTTGTAATTTCTGCGGGGTGTGTAGTCTGGGTGGCGATGGGATCAAAATGCCGGAAATGGTTTGATAGGGTTCGCTACGTACGAAATTAGGCTCGAACAGGGTTGAGTTAAAGAGTATTATAAAGGTAGTGAATGACAGGGTGACTCAGGCTAAGAAGTGACTAGGCAGCCCTATGATTGCTGAGTAGGTGGGAACCTACTACTACTCCGGGGTGAGCTGAAATGAGAATTCACAATAGAATAAAAAAATGGCTATTGACAGTTGAAAAGAAAAAGGAATGAAAATTGAAAATGGCTCAGGAAAATGGTGTTTCGTGGAAAATGAGCGTCTGGCGGGATTCACTGAGAAGAGGGGTATAAAAGGCTGCGAGCATAAGAAAAGAAAGTTGAGAATAAGACGTTACCGGTGAAACTTAGCTAGAGAGCAGTGAAGAAGTGGAAAAATTTAATTTGTGTGTTGCGATTTTTTTTTATTGTGAATATTCCGGTGGTGTATCAAGCCTTTTTTGGAAGCACCGAAAATTGTCCGGTTTTGGTCAGCACAACGGCGGGAAATTGCCTTTTCTTTTTGGTAACGCAAGGTAGTGGCAAGTTGTCCACAGGAAAAAAAAGCCAAAAAAGTTACATTGAGGGTGTGGGGATTTGAATTGTAAACTGGCCAGCTGCAACTTTGAGCTTTTTGCTGTGCCGGTTATTGATCCCGCCCAGAACGCCGGCATTGTAAAAGGACCAGTCAACAAGTCCAGCTTCATTTGAGGGTTTGCCTGGCGTTCAAAATCTGTTTCCTCCGGAAAGAAGCGTAAACTGGAAGGAGAGATAAGAAGAATTAATCAATAACGTTATAAATCACTGCTCAGGTAAAAGGTGTCGTACCGTTGTGTTGTCCTTGATATATTTATATATATGTGACGTCCATAAAATTTGCTGTCTCCTTTTTTGGAACTAAAAGAAAAAAAAAAAGAGTTAATAATCATAAATTTCGAGTAACAAAAAAAATTATAATATTCAGTATAAAAATTTGGTAATAAGATAGGTTATAGTTCTTAGGATTTAAGTAATAATCAATCTGTAAGGGAAAAATACCGCGTTTATTTTCAAAGGCTAGGAGGTGTTACAGTAAAATTATCTTGAGTCCTTGTGATTCGATCTGATAGTTTAGGCCGTGGAATTTTAGCGGCAATTAGGCCAGTTAAGAGAGCTCTTTTAGGTGGCTAGTAATTTCGTATAGACGCGTGAATATTGCGCGGGAAAAGCAAGGCAAAGGATAATATATTGGTTTCTACCGAGTAATTAAAGCCATAGATTTAAGAAAGCCCGGTATTATTCTTAATTTGTTTTTTTTTATACCATACAGTTTGTCAATTTTAATGTAAGAAAAAAAATAGTAGAGAAAAAAATTAAGAAAATATTTAAAGCTAACTTATTTTTTTTAATAAAATTAAAAATGATTCTTTTGTAAACAGTAGATACTAATATGTGTTGCTAAGTTTGTATAGCTTGGGGGGAAGGTGGTATGAAGTAAGTGTGTGATTCGAAGCGTGTGGCTCAAGGGGATTCAGAGAAACGCAAGAAATGGAAATACTGGATCCAGGTAGGGTGGGCGAGTGTGGGATCGATCCACCGAGATCCCTGTATGATGACTCCTATTTTGTATATCGTAGAGTAGAGCAATTGTAGTAAAGTCCCCTTTCAATGTTAGTGTGTTGGATTCGATTGGCGGGTTGAGATCCCTAGCCCTGGGAGTCTCTGTGACAGTCGGATGGCCTAATCGTATGCCGAGCAAATGCACACATAACAAGTGTGCCTAAGTTCGTCATGTCGCAGTAGTCGGCACTTTTTATATTTAAGCCCAAATAAATGAAACTATTATAAATAAATATATTTTGTTTACTTCAAATATATTGTCAGCTATCTTTGTGTACAATTTCGCTAAGAAAAGATGATTTATTCTAATGAAAATTAATTTTTTGCCTGTGAAGGTCCTCAACAGTCCATATTCTTAAGAAAAGAACAATAAAGACGTCGAATCAGTTTAACTAAACAAAAATATTATATTTTAATGAAATAATTGATTATTATTATTAATTATTCTTACAAAAAAATTGGTATGCCGACTGTTGGAACATGCCATACCGACAATTAGCAAGTGGTGCCGACTACTGGCAAAAAGCATTGTTTTAATAAAACTACAAATTTATGAAATTTAATAAAAAGTTATTAAAACTTTATTTATTATTGCGGAAACTATACAAAATTTCGAATCTGAATAAATTAACTTTGTAATAATTGAAAAGTTCCACTCAGAATGGTGAGCGATTAAAAATGCGAAAATCCTAAAAGTGCCGACTACTGGCACACTTACCCTATTTATTATTCAAAACAATACACACACATACACAAAATGTGTATATGTTTTGACAGAATAAGGCACAAAAAATAATTATTTAGGGGGTAGCTTTGTTCTACCTTCTGTAATTATGCCATGGTAGTACCATGGTAGAAGAATATAGGTACACGCATCGAAACAGCTGCTGGGACAATGAACTGTCAAGTCAATATTGGAATTGAAAATGTTGAATGAAAAATTATTTAAATTTGTAAAAAGCAGCGTTCGAAAATAAACAGTATGGTACCGTAGTGTTCTGTACCGTTCCGAGGTGGAGTGGTACACTAAGATAATGTACCGTACCGGAACACAACCCTTAAAAAATATTTTAGTGGTACTGTACCGGAGCACAACGAGAATCGTACTGTACCGCAGTCGGAACACTAAAAAACGTAGTGTACCGCAGTCGGAGCACTACGAAATCGTAGAGTTCCGCAGCTGGAGCACTACAAAATCGTAGTGTACCACATGGCGGAAGTTTAAAAAAATAATGTACCGGTAGTGTACCACATATGTGTTGTTTACGATTTATAAGAAAAAATACTACAATTCAATATTAAGAAAATTAAATACAATATGAGAATTATTCCAAATTATATGCAACAAGCTGTTTCCATTTATTTGATATTTTTTGTTCACTTTGAAAATAAGTCAAATGGCACGAAAGACGACAGGACGCCCCCTTCCAGTCAGAGTTATTATTGGGTGTACTCTCGAAAATATGATCCAATGTGTTCAATCTTTCAATTCCATGGTAAATCTCGTTAATATTATTTATGCGCGCCCCGCAATAATTATATTAACCAGATTTGCCATGGAATTGAAAGATTGAACACTTAGGATCATAATTTTGAGAGAATTTCATTCATCTTTAACGCTATTTGACTCATTTTTGAAATGAAAACAATTTGTTTCCTATAATTTTGAATAATTCTGACAGGCAGCGGGCATAGCCTCAGGGCTGTATTTCTGTAGTTTTACGAAGCTGTTCTACCTCCTTATTGTACCATGGTAGTACCCATTTGGAAACTTCAAATACCAAATTTGAAACAATTCTGGTGAATAATGTCGCTAAAATCATCAAAATACGGAATATAGAGAGGTACTGTTATATGGGAGCTATACGATATCGTGGACCTATATAGACAATGGTCTTTCAGAGGATAAAGTACTCTGAAGGAACTCCTTGTGTGGGTTTTCAGACAATTCCATTGAAAAATTTGGCAAAAATCTTCAAAATGCCGAATATCGGGATACCGTTATATGGTGGCTATATGATATCGTGGATCGATATAGCACATCTTCGAACTTGACCTGCTAGCAGACTAAAGACTGTCTTGTTCAAAATTAACTCTAGCGTGATTACAAAATACAGACGGACGAACAGGGCTAAATCGTCTTAGAATTTTACTCTGATCAAGAATATAGAATATATATACTTTGTAGAGTTTAAAATTATTATTTCGATAACAATAATCTAAACACACAAGATTAACCCACTGGATGTAACAAGGGCATGGGGCTAATCTTCAAAAGTATAAATGCGCTTTAAAATAATTTGGCAAGGTAAGATTGAGAGAAATTCTCAGAGGTTGGTCCTAGCTGTATATCCACTAGGAAAAAAACTATTTTTAGGGGAAATATATATTTTGCATAAATGGTATGGCATTGAGTTTAGCTAAGACTTTTTTATTTTCCTTCCTTTTTTGGGCATGTTTCATGTTCTTTTTATTAACCTCTAGTTTAATGTTTAAGACTGGTAAGAATTTTCAGTTTTCAAACATCTGAACAGTACCGTGTGTTCCTTTGTTTGCCTACAAGTTTTCCATATATGAGAACATTGTTCTGCAACTTTTGTGTGTGACCCTCATGTATCTATTTCGATTTCTGATGAAAACGATATATCGATATTGACGCAATAAATAAAGCATCGAACGTTTATCTCCTCTAGCCACACGTAAAATGATAACCCATATCTTAAACATCTGTTGCTGTGTTGTCGGCCGTTTTGTTTTGATTCCTTTTGTGTTGTCGGCCGTTTTGTTTTGATTCCTTTTGTGTTGTCGGCCGTTTTGTTTTGATTCCTTTTGTGTTGTCGGCCGTTTTGTTTTGATTCCATCTTTATTTCGATTTTCTCTCTGTGCTGTCTTTCTTTTCAGTGTTGCCATATTGTAGTGTCCTTTGTTCGTTACTTCTTTTTCTTTTCTCGGTGGCGTCGGTTGGTAATTCATTCAATTGATTTTAATTTATTAATTTATTAATTAATTATTTAATTTCGTATAAAAATTTATATATAAATAATTTAGAAACAAATAGAACAAATGTGTATATGTGTGATTTGAGATTGTGCGTGATTTAAAAGACTAAAAAAACAATAAACAAAACCCGACCGCCAACATAACCTCCAATTAATGGTCCATGGATAGAAAAGCCATATATGTGTCTCCAGCAACTCGAGAATATTTTTCCAGCTGTATTTATTTGTACCCTGATTCCAGGAAAGTATTTTTTCTTGGAGGACGGATTCCCTGGCACGGATATTGACTCCAAACGCCCCAAAGGCACCGTGCCGTACTATGTTCATCTAAATTGTTTATGGAAGCCATTTTAACAAAAAAATACTAAAATTATCCAACGGAAACTACAAAATGGTTAAAATAAAGCCATTAATTAGCGTAGTCAGAGCGGGTCGTATAAAATACCAACAGGGCTTGCAGTTGCAGAAATTTCTAACTAGTCAACCGAACGAACCATTTGGGGAATTTCGAAACTACTTGATATTGCAGGAGTTCGAGCCCGTCTATACGATTGGAATTCGAACCAAGGGATATACAACAGAAGACGAAGAACGTTTGAAAAAATTGGGAGCTGATTTTTATAAGACAAATAGAGGTGGCCTTATAACATTTCACGGGCCTGGACAACTTGTCGCATATCCATTGCTACATCTAAAGCAATTTAAGGCCAGTATGCGATGGTATGTTGCTACACTTGAACAAATGGTTATTGAGACCTGCAAGGAAATGGGCATTATGAATGCATCAACTACTCAGGATACTGGTATATGGGTAAACGATCGTAAAATATGTGCAATTGGAGTGCATGGTTCAAGATATGTCACTACACATGGCATCGGTTTCAATTGTTGTACAGATTTAAAATGGTTTGATCACATTGTTCCATGTGGTATTGAAGGAAAAGGGGTTACGTCACTAAGTGAAGAACTAAAGCGAAATGTATCAATAGAGGAAACATCACAAAAGCTAGTTGATACTTTTGCCAAAGTCTTTCAATGTGATACCATAGAGTATACCAATAGAGATCTCTTGCAAAGGGCTTTAAGTCCTTAGCTTTAAGGCTACTTACACACAATTTCCCGAAATGTATATATGTAAATGAAACCAAAGTCAACATTTTAATAAAGTATCATGTTATAAATGTTTACATCCTTTATTATTCGTCAGCATTTGTGCTACTAAACCTGGCTTTGTTTAAATTGCACTTCTTTTCGCGTCCATCGACAGCAATTTTACCACGCTTTAGTGCCTCCAAACGACCAATTTCTCTTTGTTCTGCTTTACGCAAACGCCGTTCAGTTCTGCTTTCCAGAGCGTTATCGAAGTAACGCTCCCGGAAATCCAACGTTAACGATTTGTCTACTATCACTTCCAAATCATCGTCAGTGCCCGGCGGTTCTGAATGTTTTTCATAAGTTAGCAAACGTCTTGCAGTATGACCACTCAATGGTTGCTCAGAATTTGCTACTAAATGTAAATTTGAATGTCGTGGTATCATTTTGTCGGAATAATCATCTCTATAAATGTAATAATATAATAAGTTTGTTTGAGCAGCAGCAAATAATATCTACCTACTTATGAAATGGTAACCAGCAAACCAATCGTCCACCAAGTGTTAAATGTTTAGCTGCAAATACCAGCAAATCTTTGTACAGATGCTGTAGAGCATAGTGAGATGTAGATGGATAATGAGGCACGTCTGAATTTTTGGTTGTCTGTTTAACATTTGTTTTTGTTTCTACTTTTTCTGTAGATTCACGAATGCCATATGGAGCTAAAAATGATGTAGAATTAATTTTTTTAAATGTAGTACATCACAAATTTTATGCCACTAAACTTACGATCAGTTATGATGCTGTCGAATTTAAGTGTGTCTGTCCATAGAGGATTTGAAAAATCGGCCACCACCACGTCCATGTAACGATCATGACAATTATACTGTTTTAAATTAGCTCTTATACTTTCATCCTTTTCACGAACTTTTTGCGTTATACGACTCGGTCGAGCACGTGCATGGAGCATCATAAAATCGATATCAGCTCCTAGAACGTAACCGCCAAATTTTGCGGCACTAACTAAAAGAGAACCTGTACCAACAAATGGATCGAATACCAGATCGCCGGGTTTAACTAAAGCTTGGTTTGCCATAATTAAACTTAATTGTGCATCCATGGATGTGTTGCCAATAAATTTGCGTTTTTTCAAAGACATTTCTTTCACCAAATGTCTTTGGCCATTGCACAGCTGAAAATACAATTGGCTCTGTTATTATAACTATCCCAGAAACATTCTCTTTATGCTTACCCATCTGCCGAATAGTATATCTTCTGGCTCTTCAGGAACTTGTGTGGGATCTAAACCCCAAAATTCAATATACCACCATTCAACTTGAGGTGTTTTAAGATCAACACTACCCTCCAAAGGCAAATAGTCCATTGTTTCAATTTTCTGTATTTTCTCCTTTTGTGAGAAGTGTTTGTTGTATGTCTCTACAGTGATTTTGAAACTGCAATCTTCCTTAAAATAACATTTTATCGCATTGTTATTTTCCTGCACATAACTCCTTAGTTGTTTATGGAATGAATTGTAATCATTTCCATGAGACCATAGCTCAAATATTGCTCTTAAACCAATAGACCTGGAGGCAATCTGCAAAGCAGAGCTATCATTGGGGAGGTCAACAATCCAAAACGGATTCTAGAAAAATAAACTTAATTCCAATGAATTGCTTGTGCATAATAAATGTTGTATACTTACCAAGGAATCTGCAGAAACTTGGTGATATTCTATGTTGAATAATTTGACTAGTGAATTAAATTCCTAAAAACAATGAAAAGGATTTCTTCAATCGAGGAGTAATAGACGAGTGTAGCTTTACTTACCGCTTGGCGGAAATCGACATGCTCCTGTGCAAACCATAAAATATAGCGCTTCCAGTTCTGCGTCATTTTTAAAACCATATTCCCCTGAAATACTTAAACCTTTTTTTGACTTTGAAGCGATACTCTTAAAACCCTAATTGAGGGGAAAGGTTGCCGGAATCAAAAGGACTTTCACGTGCGACACGTACAAAAACAAAAAGAAACAACGCGATAAAGATGTAAATGAAAACAAAAACAGAAAATTGACATACATGGCACATACAAAAATCAGGGATGGGTGCCCGTTTTCTATGCAGTGAAATTTGACAAAGTAAAATACAGAAAATGTGACACGTACAAAAACGAATAGAAAAAACACGATAAAGATGTAAATGAAAACAAAAACAGAAACTTGACATACTTGCAGGTAGACGCATCGACACAGTTGCTGGGACAATGAACTGTCAAACAAAATTTTGGATTTGAAAATGTTGAATGAAAAATTATTTAAATTTGTAAAAAATTTTGATACACGCAAATTATAATAACCTCCGAATGACGTCGTATAAAAAATAAAAAAAATCTATTTATTTTTGAAAAACATTTAAAATTTTTCGACATTCCAATGTTCCCAAGAGTTGATGTATCTACCCGTATTTTTCTACCATCTCTGACTTGACAATGAGACGTTGTCACACACCTTACAACTTGTTGTACAACTGAGAGAGCTTTTATTCAAGGTTGTATCGTTTGTGGCCCGGTTGTACGAAGTTGTGTCTCGGTTGTATGAAAAATCAAAATTTTTTGATATTTGGCATGTTGTGCCAACCGATTGTAACGTTTGTGGGCATGTCGCATACAATTTCATTTTGTTTTTATTTTTGAAGAGGCAACACCATTGTTTCGCACATTAAAACAATACGAAATCCAATCAAATGTGTAATTTTAATGTATATGAAAAGGAAATTGAATTTATAAAATGGAATTTCAAAAATTAATTATAAATAAAAGCTATTGATTCAATTATAGAACATGAATTTTTTTCCGATGCCATCTTAACTCAAATAATCTCTACGAAAAGTGAAGTTGTACAAAGAAGTTGTACACTAAGTTGTATCGTTTGTGATAGAAACACACAATTTGAGTACTCTTCAAGTTGTACAACCAGTTGTATCGTGTGTGGCTTGCATAATATTTGTATTAGTGCTCGGTAAGGTGCTGAAATGACACATATCGGATTTCTCCTCCTTTAAAATGGGTCATATTTTTGAATAATCTCAAAACACATCCCAACATTTTTAACCACTCCAGGATTAGTATAAATATTGGATAGATCGGACTACTCCTCGGACAATCACACTCATAAAATGCAAAATAAACATTGGATTCTTCAATTTTGGCACATCCCAACATGTTTGCCAACAAAATTGGTCTGTTCCAAAACTGCAAGAATGTAAAAGTTTTTACTACGATAACCGATTTTCTCTTTATGATATCCAAGCACAATTTTGACAATTTTGTTTCCAAGCTCAATTTTGACAGATAGCAGCACAGCAGTTGTTTTACCCCCTTGTACCTTGTGCCATGGTATAAACCATTCCATCTGATAATGCCTTTAAGTCGAATCAAAATTTAAAAACAAAGCCAACAATTTGTAGCTTCGGAGCCTGAAACTTTGCGCGTTGTACGTCGCTTTGTTGAACGAAAGGTGGAAGTACATAAAAAGCTTGAAGTCATGGCTAGGCATATTTTGTGACATTTCATAAAGGGATTACAGAGCCGCACTAAAATCCTGTCTGTGTTTTCCATTATAGTTTAACATTAATATGCATAGCCATGACTTCAAGCTTTTTATGTACTCGTTGTTTGTGATTTCAATGTATATCCACAAATGGTGTTATATGATTACAGAAAATTAGATTACAGAAAAATGCAGCACTGGTTATCGTCATAATATTTCATGTTTTTTTTTTTTTTCGATTGAAATATATAGAACTATATGAAGCAAATCTTCTACTGTGAACACCCTTAGCAATATTTTTGTGTTTTATGTCTAATAAATACAACACTGGCCATTTTGTCGTGTCGTCAAAAGAAATGACACTCGGCCATTTTGCATAAATTTCGACGGCACACACAATTAAGCCGAAGATTTTTATAATTTTCCGCTGTAAAATCACATAGAAATTGTGAAAATTTGTGTAAATATATAGCTCAAGTGGTACTACGTCGAAATTTTATGAATTAAATATGGCACGTTATACTCAACGACCGGAAAATGCTTTGAAAAGGGCGAACGGTGAGTTCAAGTGATTCAGTGATTTTTGCAATAAAAGAAAAAATCCATGTGGACATTCGACGACTACACATGCATTTATATGAGTGTGTGCGGCTGATGGGGAGTGAAAGAGATGACAGCAAAACATTGATGTGAAAAGCTGGCAATCTTGGAAATTAACATTTAACCAAATATTTTAATACATATTTCTCTATTCCCTGCAGAATTCATTGAAGTGGGTAAACCCTTGCGTGCCTTGGATACGCTGCAAGAGGTGTTTCGCAATAAACGTTGGAACTATGCCTACTCGGAGACGGTTATTGAACCCCTTATGTACAAGTACTTGTACTTGTGCGTGGAGCTTAAAAAGTCCCACATTGCGAAGGAGGGTCTGTTCCAGTATCGTAACATGTTCCAGTTGGTGAATGTCAACTCATTGGAAAATGTTATCCGTGCGTACTTGCGTATGGCCGAGGAACATACCGAAGCGGCTCAAGCTCAGTCTTCAGCTGCAGTTGCTGTTCTCGAACTGGATGATTTGGACAACATTGCTACTCCAGAAAGTATCCTTATGAGTGCTGTATGCGGAGAAGATGCTCAAGATCGTTCGGATCGTACCATCTTGCTGCCATGGGTAAAATTCTTGTGGGAATCTTATTGTCAATGTTTGGAATTGCTACGTATTAACACCCATTGCGAAGCCCTGTACCATGACATTGCCCGCATGGCTTTCCAATTTTGCTTAAAGTACAATCGCAAGAGTGAATTCCGTCGTTTGTGCGACAAATTGCGCAAACATTTGGAAGATATTTGCAAGAGCACCAATCAAACAACTGGCGTTTCCATTACTAAATTGGAGACCCAACAATTGTGTCTTGAGACCAGATTATATCAACTGGACTGTGCCATTCAAATGGAATTATGGCAAGAAGCTTACAAGGCTATTGAGGATATCCATGGCCTTATGGCTTTGTCTAAGAAGGCTCCACTTCCCAAGACTATGGCAAATTATTATCAAAAATTGGCCATGGTTTTCTCTAAGGCAGGCAATCAGTTGTTCCATGCTGCCGCCTTGTTGAAGCTCTTCCAATTGACTCGGGAATTGAAGAAGAATTTGACGAAGGAGGATATGCAGCGTATGGCCTCTCATGTTTTAATTGCAACATTGTCCATTCCATTGCCATCTGCTCATCCAGAATTCGATCGTTTTATTGAAGCAGATAAGAGTCCATTGGAAAAGGCTCAAAAATTGGCTGTTTTATTGGGTCTTCAACAGCCTCCCACCAGAGCTTCCCTCCTTAAGGAAGTGGTAAGTTTGTTAACATATACATTGCAGATTACATGATTTTAATGAGTTATTGTTTACAGGTTCGTTTAAGTGTGCCACAACTTGCTTCCGAAGAATACCGCAATTTGTACAACTGGCTTGAAGTTGACTTCAATCCCCTCAATTTGTGTCAACGCGTTCAAACTGTTGTGGATGCCATTGAAGCTATACCCGGTGAAAACCCATTAGTTCCCTATGTTCGACCATTAAAGGATGTCACCATTATGCGTTTAATTCGTCAAATATCGCAAGTTTATGAGAGTATTGAATTCTCTCGCCTTTTGAAATTGGCTCCATTCAGCAATATTTTCGAGTTAGAGAAGTTATTGGTGGAATCGGTTCGCCACAATGATATGCAAATCCGTATCGACCATCAAAAACGTTGTATTTACTTCGGCACCGACTTGACTGAAAGCCAACGCGAAGATCATCCTGATGGCCCAACATTGCAGTCCATGCCTTCCGAACAAATTCGCTCGCAATTGGTCAACATGTCCACTGTTTTACATCGTGCTGTATCTATTGTCTATCCCAACAGGGAACGTGACCAACGTGCTAAATTACGCACCCAAATGGTGCAACATTACCATGAAATCAAGGATCGCGAACACCAACGTATTTTGCAACGTCAAAAGATCATTGAAGACCGCAAGGAATTCATCGAAAAGCAAAATAACGCTCGTGAGGAAGAGGAGGCCCGTCGCTTGGAAGAAGAGGCTCGTAAAGCCAAATTGGCTGAGCAAAAACGCCTCGAACAAGAAAACGAAGAACGTGAACGCAAACGCCACCAAAACGAAATCCAAGCTATTAAGGAGAAGAGCTTAAAGGAAAAGGTTGAGCAAATTGCTCAAACTGCTCACGGAAAGAAAATTTTGAAAACTCTTGATGCTGAGAGTATTAAGAAGTTGGATCCTGAGCAAATTGCAGCTCGTGAATCTGAAGAATTGCAGAGAGAACGCAAGGAATTGCAAAACAAACTTAAATCTCAAGAAAAGAAGATCGATTACTTCGAACGTTGTAAGCGTATGAAGGAGATTCCACTCTTCGAAAAGTATTTGAGTGAAAAAATGGTTAAGGACAAAGAGTTCTGGGAAGCTCAAGAAGCTACCCGTATTGAGAATGCCATTTTGGAACGCAAAGACGCTGTGGCTCAACAAGAACGATTGAAACGTATGCATCCCGATCGTGATGTATTCTTGGAGACCCTGAAAAAGGAACGCGCATCCATTTATGCCAAGAAGCTTGAGCAATTCGAAATTGCTTTGGCTGAAGAGCGCAAGAGGCGTTTGGCTAAACGTGTCGAGCAAAGACGGGAACAACGTCGTCAACAGTGGTTACGTGAAAAAGAGGAGGAGCGTATGCGTAAGGAAGAAGAAATTCGTCGTGCCAAGGAAGAAGAAGAGCGAGCTATTGCAGAAGCCCGTCGTAAGGAAAGAGAAGCCGAAGACGAAAAACGCCGTATCCAATATGAAAAACAACGTGCAAAAGAGGAAGAGGCCGAACGCAGAATTCAAGAAGAAAGAGAACGCTTGGCTCGTGAAGTGGCTGCCGAAAGAGAACGGGAGAAGCCCGCTGACAAAGGCAGGGATGTTTGGCGTGCACGAGGTGGAGATCGTGGTGTTGAACGTGGACCTGAAAGACGTCCGGAACGTGAAGGTGCATCGGAAGGTGCTTCGGAATGGCGTCGTGGTGGTCCACCAGCAACTGGTGATCGCGACCGTGAACGTGAACGTAAGGACGGCGGCGAAACTAATGATGGCGGCAGTTCCTGGCGTACACGTCGTGAAGCTGAACAATCTGCTGCCCCAGCATCACGTGATGATAAATGGCGTCGTGGTGGACCCACTGATGAACGTCCACGCGGTGGAGAATTCCGTCGTGGTGGTGGCGAACGTGATGAACGTCCTCGTGGTGGTGGTGAATTCCGTCGTGGAGGAGATCGCGATGATCGTCGTGATGTCCGCCGTGATGAAAATACCACAGGAAATTGGCGCGATGCTCCACGTCCCGCTGCTGACCGTGACAATCGTGATAATCGTCGCCCTGGTGGCGATCGGGACCGTCGTGAACGTTCTGATCGTGGTGCAGCTGGTGCAAAGGATTCCGGAAATTGGCGAACTGAACGTCCTCCAGTCCGCGAAGAAAAAGAGAAGCCTAAGCGCGAGCAACAAGACAAGGGTGAGCATGGATATCTTAGAATATTATCATCCTTTTTATAATATACTTTTTATATGACCTGCAAGATTTATAAAAATATGTTATTAAAATTGTTCACACTTGTTTCTCTTTTCAGAAAACAAGAGCGGAGATGATGGCGAATGGACCAATGTCAGACGTCGTTAAGGGAATAAAGAATACTTCTTATATACATTTGTACTCTTATCAAAAATGATGATGAACCCCCTCCTGCATTTTTTTCTAAACACAAATTTTTATATACAAACTACTAATGCTAATTTTTAATCTGTATTTTATTTTTTTTTTTTTTTAATTTTTAAGCGTTATTATAACTATGTTCCCATTAATAGATCCATAATGGGAAGACACATCAGTAAATAGGGGATATTTTTTATGTGAAGAATCGGAAAATCACATTTTTTCTAATACCGCTACAGAAGTTTATTGATTTCCGTTCGCCGATAACCGATGACACGTACTGAAGTAAAAAGTTGCCACAGACACTATAAATAACTGCATAATCCTCTACATACATCATTACAAATGTTAACATCAAACATAGAAAAATATCTGATATTCTTAAAATGTTATAAAAACAATTCAATATTTAAGCAAATATATTACAGTATAATGAAAATAATGCTTGGAGGATAAATGAGTCTTTCTTTGTTTCCTTATTTTCGTGCATGTCCAGGCTTGAGGATGGGATAAAAGAGATACAAATAATGCAGTTTTTTAATTTATCTTAAAAAAAATCGTAGGCAATATGTGAAAGATATGTTGGGCAAAGTTGCAATGCAATCAATGTAATTTATTGCTATCAACAATTTTTAAATTTTTCATTTCGTTTGTAACACCTCTAAATATTCGTCGAAGCCCCATAAAGTATATATATTCATGATCAGCATAAAATTCTAAGTCTGTCTGTTTGCTGGCATCTCGATGCAGCCCACACCATTTGACGTAGATTTTTGCAATTTAGCATAATATTTTGTATTGTTTCTAGGATGGAAGGTATTGGAAATGAGATACATCGGTCCACGTTTTGTTATATTTCCCATATAATGATACCTCCGAGTTTCGGTATTTTGATGGATTCAGTCAAATTTTCCCACGGATTTGTCTTAAAATTTGTGTTTTTGTTCTTATTGGGTCGTAGGTCCGTCCGCGGAACCTTGTATACATAGGTCCACGTTACGATCCACGATAGACGGATATCGTTAAATCGACTTAGAATTTTATGCTAATTAAGAATATATATACTTTATGCAGTCTACGAACAATATTTACGGATGTTACGAACGGAATGACAAAGTTAACATACCCCCAAGGTGGAGGGTATAAAAAGTATAAACATATGAAGTATAAATAAATCATGTAAAAATAAGGAGCCAGCCGGTTACCTAAGCAAATAAAAACGGTCTTTATTTACTACCACCCATGGCACAAATACAGAAGGTAGAACAAAGCTAACCCCCAAATATAGCTTTTTTCTTTTGGTGCCCTTATTATGTCAAAACATATACACTCTTTGTGTATTGTTTTGAATAAAAAATACAATAACTTGAAAATATTTCAATTTTGGTTGCAACAAATTTTAAAATTTTGTGATAAAACTGTATTGTCCTTCTATTTTAGATTCCATCTCGTGGAATAACCCCAAAATGCCACGGGTTTTGGCCAATATAAAATTTTTGATAAAAAATGAAAAATAAATAAAGCCAACTGTTGCATATATAAAAGCCTTTAACACTATAAGACACCAGCACAAAGTTGCATTTTTCTAGTTTCTTTGAAGTTGACCAACCTTTTTTATTGAGCCATGCCTCCACCTTTAACACAAGTAGTTGGCCTGTGCCCGAACCTGCAGGAATCTACTAGTTTTGCAATTTTTTTCGATATCATAAAGGGAAAATTGGTTATCTTAGTAAAAACTTTTACATTCTTGCAGTTCTGGAACAGACCAAGTTTGTACATTTCGAAGGAGGAAACCACTGTAAAATTAAGAAGGTAAAGTTATTTCAAATAAGCATTCCATCTTTGCATATTCTTGTCAAATTTCACTGTATAGAAAGCGGGTTCCCATCTCTGATGGATTTATGAATATACATTTTAACAATGAGATGTTGTCAAATGAATAATTTAAAAAAATGTAATGATTGCAAGACTTTACCTTCTTAAATCTACCATGGAGGCAACTTTCAGTTTAAATTGTTGGATGTTGTTAATAAAACATTAAAAAACGTATATCATATGTTACCATGAGATTTTAATATAATGATGTAATGTATATTTTTCGATGACTATTCTGTACTCATGGTAGAATTAAGAAGGTAAAGTCATGTCAAAATATCTTAATCTCTTTGTTAAAATATTTATTTATAAATCCATTGTACATAAGCATATCAGAGATGAGAACCAGCTTTCTATGCAGTAAAATTTGACAAGGTAAATTAGAGGAAATGTAAAGATGGGAATGCTTATTTGAAATGACTTTACCTTCTTAATTTTACCATGTCTGTACTCTACTTTGTTACTTTTTCTTTGTTCTTTAGAAATTATTTGGTATACTTTGATGGCAAGTTATATTGAATATGGAAATGTCGTTAGCAAACTTTATAACAAAAATTGCATTTTAAACAATAAATGAGTTACTGAGAGTTAGCAAAATCTTACTGTAAGAATTATTCAGTAACATCATCTAACTCATGGTACAATGAAGAGAAGGTAGGTCAACTTTGAAAAAATTGCAAGTATAGAGGCCTACCTACTCAGAACAACCATATGATTTCAATTTTTTTATTTTTCTGGCTTAATATGTCAACTTCATTTGTTTATGTGTGCGTATTCTTTTCAATAATAAAAAAATTGTTCAGAAAATATTCAAATTCTGGTGTTTTCACAATGCTTATTGCAACGTATGCATCGACAAAGTCTTCAGTTTTTGTCGCGAAATAAACCATAAGAGATATATAGAACATGATTTTGAAAAGAAGTGTTGACCTTTCATTCAGTTATCGCGGTTTTCAATTATTTATTCAAAATAAATGCAACAAGTTGTTTGATTTTTTATTGTTTTGATACTAATTCTGACATTACAAGCCAAACAGGTAGACCTCTATACTTGCAATTTTTTCAAAGTTGACCTACCTTCTCTTCATTGTACCATGCTGTAATGTAGATTTTGGCATGAGTTAAGAAGTTATTATATCTCATAACTTTATTTTTAAACAATTAAAATACATGTTTTTTTTTATTTGACAAACTAGCTGATGAATTAGATTATGTAGCTGGTTTTCAATTTCCTACTAAATTCCATTTGTAATGTGGATCATGATGTGTAAGCGATCCCTTCGTAAAGGGAGATCGCCCCCTCGGTTGGCAGGGGTGGGAATGTGAGGCGTGGGTACGTTCGAAAAAAAAAAGAATTCTACCATGGATATATGGGTTTGATTCATGGCCGAAGAATACAGATAGATGCATCAACGCTTGAGAACAATGAGATGACAAAAATTTAAAAATATTTTTTTTCTAATATAAGTAGATTTTTATATGTATGAAATGTGTTTTTCAAAAAATTTTAAAAATTTGAATAATTTTTCATTCAAAAACTTCCATTTCCAAATTTGTTTGACAGTTCATTGTCCCAGCATCTGTGTCGATGCGACTATCTGTGTTATTCTAACATGGATTAAAATGTACAATAACAATGTCGAATCAGTTTGAGTTTATTATTTTATTACATAAGGATTTTGCAAGGATGTACAAATTTTTAATGCAATAAACAATTTTTCCTTTATGATATGGGAAAAAAATTGCGGAATTAGAAGATTGGTTACAAAAAATTTAAGCAATTGAAAAATGTATGTTATTGATAAATGTCTTTAATTCTTTGGATAACTAGTTAAGGAATCGTACTGCTAGTCTTATTGGAAATTATAATAGACAGGCCATGATTTGGAGGTTATACACTCAATATGTAACGGTTCTTACGCTAACATACTACATGGCCGTTGCGTTTAATCTTTGACGCCTTTAACCAATTGTATATTGTTTACGTTACGCCGACAATTAGGCATTCACAGAAATTACCACGTGCTTAATAGTTTTGACATTTCTACATTACACTTGATTTCGCAAATCAGCGGTCCAAAATATAACGTCAAAATTCGTCATATAGTAAGCGTCTCGTAGTTCGCTCCACGTGAACTTTTTAAGTGCTCCAAAAATAATTCAAAACATACCAAGAATCAAAACATACAAATAAATTTGTAATTATTTTTGAACGCGTACTTAGCGGGGCCTTAAATCAAATTATTGAAAAGTGTTTAATAAAAGAATTTCAAAAAAAAAGAAGTTGCCATAGTCTCCAAGCAAATCTATATAGGAGCAACATACACACGCACCTACCCAATTAAATATACCGCGGAGACAACACAAACATGTGAGGTTAAAACAGCCAACCCACCAACTTAAAAAAGGCACTTCAAAAGAAACCAAATCCCAAATCTTTGAGAAGAGTCTTAAACCAAAGTCAATAGCAACATCAACAACAAATCTAATAAAAGTGAACACGTTTTCTTGGCGTATAAATTGTTATAAAGAAGAGAATTTAAAACAAAATATCAAGTGCAAAGCAACTAAATACAGACAACGTTCGAGGAGAGGAAATAGCAGATTGACCAGATAGACGAAGAAATAAGTAAAAGGTATGTTGGCACACCACATACATGTGTATGAAGATGTTGGTAAAAGCCATGATGATAAATTGGCGTCTGCTGTTTAGAGTTATTGACCCTTTTATTGTGAAAAGCTTCCAACATTTCTAAAATTCCTTTGGGGGTAATGTAGTTGTGCTAAGCGAGCCTGTGTGCCAATGGAAATTTAGTAACTTACAATATTGAAAAATGAAAAATCAATTTACTTACAGAAAAGAGGGTCGTTGATCTAAAGTAACGGCAAATAATTAAAAGCATTAGTTACAGTTATATTTAACAAAAAAAGGTTTCCCACAGTTGTTGGTAGTCTGTTAGGGAAACACAATAATATAAAAATTGCCAGCAATTGCAAGAAGTAGAGTAAAACTGCAACGTGTCAACATAAATGACAATCGTTTGCTTCGATACGTTCAATTCCAACAATCAATCGTATGGCTTTATCTCCCACCACCCCAAAAAGTAGGGCCCACGCCGCTTGCCTTTCTTACTTAAAATAAATCTGTTATAGCCAATAGGAGGTACAAGATAATTTTAATTCATATATTTAAAAAAATTGTTTGAAGTAATTTTGAATTAATATTTAGAATTGTCCTTTTCCTTAGATTCAGTAGCATTCCAAATTAAGCGATTTAAAATACAAAGAGAGACGGTAGACAGAAAAGCACATGTTTATGTTATTTCTTTTCGTTTACATTGTATTTTTGTTGTTGTTTTGCCATTTTGTCGTCTGCTGTCATCCATATCACAACAATACAAATTATTTTGTATAGAGTAGGTAGAGTGTGCATACGGCAAGCATGTTGTCTTCAAACATGTTGCATCCAATTGGATGGCTTGTTTTTTTTGTTGATGTGGAATGTTTTGTTTTATGTGTGTGTATGGTGGAACTATGACGATGATGTAGGCTAGCATTGACGATGATGTTATTTGAAATGTTCGTTATAAATTTGAACACAACACGCTGCAACTTGTTCCTTGCATATTTTTTCTTGAATATTTATGATTGTTTCGTTAATTTTTGATTTTCTTTAATGTGGAGTGATTATATGACCATGTATTGTAGGGAAATTATTAATAATATCATAAATGTTATTGATAATAGTAATAATGGATATTCTATAGTAACTAATTTGTATATTCAGCTATTTTGTTTATACTAAACTGACTCATATCCATTAGTTTGGCAAATTCTTAACCACGTGTTTTCTTTTGAAGTGTGGAAAGAAGAACAGTGTTGCCATTTTAGTTAATATTTATGACCCAGAATATTCTTGCAAGGATAAACAAATTCCCATAATTCTCCAAATAGTTCCATTGGAAATATAAAGGCAAAGGGGTATCTAAACATAAATTGGAGGAGGGTACATGAACTTTTTCATTCCGTTTGTAGCATCTCTAATCTCCATCGTAGACCCCATAAAGTATATATATTCATATATTAAGTCGAACTAACGATGTACTCCTGTCTGTCTGTTGAAATCACGATACAGCCATTATTTGACGTACAGGGTGAGATAAAAAACTGCAACAAAATCAAACGCCATAATTTTTATTTATTTATTTTTTTTAATTTTATTGAATGAAAGCAAAATTTTCGGAAATAGCATTAAATATTAGAATATTTTTAGATTTGTTCGAATTGGTCACCTTTGGCACGAATTATGGCCTTAAAACGACCAATGAAACCGTCACACGCTGTCCTAATGTTTCTCTGTTATATTTTGGCCCATTCCCGGCGAAGCACTTGCTTGAGGTGATTTTTGAGGTATTGATCTTGAGGTATTTTTTAGTCCCAACCTTGCTTTCCAAAATACTCCAGACACAATAGTCCAACGGATTGGTATCCGGAGATTTTGGTGGCCATCGTGTGCTGGAAATGAAGCGAGGAATCTCATTCAACCAAGAATGGGTGGCGCGTGCTGAGAGCGATAGTGCTGAGTCCTGTTGGAATGTCCAAGGTCAGCGGCCAAAATGTTTGCGTGCCCAAGGCTTTATTACACCTTTCAGAATTATTTCGCGATAATATTCGGCATTTTTTCTGATACCACGGTCGATTAATACGAGCGGAGAGTGACCGTTGGCTTTTATGGAGGCCAACACCATCACCATGGCCGGCGCTTGAGTTCTGGTGGCCAACCGAAGGGGCACATTTTCAACTAACCTCTTTGGCAAGTAAACACGATTATTTTGTTTGTTTACAAACTGCTGGACAATGAATGTTTTCTCATCGGAGAAAACAAAATTCGGCAGTTGACCACTTTCGGCCAAGCGAAGCAACTCTTTAGGTCTTTTGAGTATATTTTCTTTCTGTTGCGGTTAAATTCTTGCACTTTTTGGAATTTCAATTTTTTCGGGTTTCAATCAAGTCGCATCTTTACTTTTCGAACCATTTCTGCTGATGTTCCTGTTTTCTTCCGCCCACTTCCTTGACGTCGGGTTATGCTACCAGTATCAGGGTATCGAGCGATGACACGAGACACAAAAGATTTATTCACATTTAAATGCTGGAGTTCCCTAACGATAGCCACTTGTGGTTTTCCAGCCTAATATAAAGAAACCACACTATCAAGCTTGAATTCCATCACGAATGCTTTTATACGCTTGTAAACAATATAATGAACTGTCACTGGAATAATTTTAACAGCTGTCGGACGAGTGGCTTAGTAATGACCGCAGTCTGAAGTTGGTTGCAGATTTTTATCTCACCCTGTATATAAATATATGCAATTTAAAATTTAACTAAAATTGATCATTTTAATAGTTTGAAGTTAACATTTTCAAATTTTAGAGCACAGCTAAGCTACTACAAGTTATGAGAATCTTATCAATATAGAAACCATTGGTATAATATTTTTGTGGTCATTTTCCAAAGTCATGGTGTGGTTGTGTTGCATTTAATTATGTCGTTGTTGATGGCTGTGGCGTTATTATCTTGAGGTTTGTGATGGTTTTTAACTCGTCGACAAACTTACCAATTCTTCTAACATTTTTAATCAATCGATAGAGAGGATCTGTCTGGCACTTCCCAGAGGCCCATGTCAACCCGTCTCTATGTCAAGAATGCCATGATTTATTCTTCTCATAGAAGAATCAAAATCTTGGAAAAGAAAACTTAGTGATCTGTAAGAATAAGAATCTCGGAAATAAACCCCTATTTTTCTTCTTTGTGATTTTTTAGTAAACTTTTAAATTTAGTAAAAGTAGATTGCATTATTTAATAATAGTTCATCAATTATTTTCGTTAATAATTTTTTCTTTGCAAATTTTCTTTTATCTTCTAAACAGCATTAGCTTTTCATAAACTGGTCGAGTTGCTATTATGGATTCAAGATTATTAAATGTAGTCTATGATGATCCGTTTGACGGAAACTTTACAAAATATGACAATGATACAGATTTTTGGTCGAGTCCAAGCGAGTAAGTTTTTGTTAACACATATAACAATATGAACAACAACAAGAGCGATGTGAATACGATTTGTGATTAACTCCCAATTTTTATAGTACCATGGGTATGCAACTAACAGAGACTTTGCACGGCATATTACCAATAGCGCCAACAGATGATTTTGACAAAGAAGAAAATGCTGCAACCGCGTTAAGTTTACAAAGCAATAAGAATGCGGTAGGTTTCAATATATTGCAGTAATAGAAGAGAAATAACGAAGCATTTAATAATTTCAAAATAAAAATGTCTTCTTCATGTTTTTTCTCCGGTCCGGCATTTTGTTGTTACACATACAACAGTTCAATTATGAAGATTTTGCTGGACAGCACTTGGCAGCTGGTGGAGCCATAGAAATAGTAACGGTTGATCCAAATGCTGATGGCTATGACAGCGATAGTGATGAGAGCGATGACGACGACGGTGATGACGAAGATGTTGCTGGTCAAATAAATGGTGTACACAGTGGTCTAATCGAATTTGACCGTCAGAGCCAATGTAGCAATTTAACATTTCGCACCAGAACAGACAGTTCTTCCATAGGTGACTATGAGTCACACACAAGTGATTATGATGATAGTGACGACGACGATGATGATGATGATGACGACGACGACGATGATGACGACGACGACGATGCTGATGATAATGAAGAAGCCCACAATGCCTATGTTATTGGCCAAATGGGAAATATACAAATGCCAATGAGTGCTACAGTTCAATCTGCAAATGTGATTGAGGCAACAACTAACTCAATGTTAGCCATGAATACGGATCATCATCATCATCTTATAGCACCCGATAATGATCTAATTTTAGATGACACAACCTATCATAAAAATCGTACCATTAGCACCAACACCATAAATTCGGATGTTGATGGCTTGGGATTAAATATAGATGCCAATAATTTTGATTTAGCAGAATTCATAACAAAAGATGATTTTACGATAAATCCTGTGACCGAAGATCTGTCTGCAATGGTGACGGCACCACCACCACCAGCACAAAATCTAGCAACAACCACAAAAGCTTTGTCAACATCAACAACAACACAAATTATTTCATCCAAGTCCATAGATTCAGATTCTGAATCGGATATAATTGTTGATGTTGAAACCGTAGAAGCTGATGATGACGATAACTCATTGAATTCATTGAGGAAAGCATCAGATCTGCTGAAACCCCATGTAGAACTGGCGGAAGAACAAAAGCCAGAAGATGATGTATCATTTGTAGATAATACAGCAAAAGATCCCTCCTGGAGTCCAGGCCAACAGCAGTCTGTGAAAAAGGTGGAAAGTGTCAAAAATGAGGTAAGTTGTTCTACCACTCTTTATGGAATATTCAAAGAGCACCGCATTACATTTTTCTTTCATTTTTTTTGCAGGAAAAATCACTGGCTCTATCACATCCAAAGCAAAATTTTAACAGAAATATTACATTAGTTCCTAACAAAAAACAATGTGACTTATTGAAGGGAAAATTTGGTAAAGGCAAAGCAGCTAAGATTACACCAAAAGCTACCAAGGTGACAAAAGCAAAATCTTTGCAAGAAAACAATGCCGCAAAAAATAGTAGTCTCCTCACACAGAACGAAACCAAAATTGAAAGGAAAACGGGCATTGGCATGGGAGGAAAGAATTTGGCTTTGTTGCGTTATCATGAACGCACCAGTATTTCCGAACTTAGTTCCGAAGAAAATTCAACACCTATCAAAACTCCAAATCCTGTGAGCATAGAAATGAAAACACCTGCTGTGGAGATTACAACAAATGTTGTTCAGCCAGAAGAGCTTTCTCCACAAAAGACATCCTTAGCAGCTGCAGCGTGTAAACGAAAATTAAATTTAGAAGAATATAAAAAGAGACGTGGCGATACAACGCCACTGGGCATTCTGCAACAAGCAAAAACGAAATTGCAATCATATAAAATACCAAAACTGGAAGATAAAGGCGCTACCCCACAAACCAATAGCAATGAAAAGAAAATAGCAATAACAACACCAACACCAACTCCAATCCCATCGACACAAAAACACAGCGATGAGGTCAAGTCGGTGGTGAAAAATCTTAAGGATCAACAAAGTCAAACGCAAAAAACCCAAGTGGATCCAATTACCGAGGCTAGGAACAAAGTGTTGCGCATGCAGGAACTGAAGAAAGCTCAACAAATGCGCATTATTGATTCAACAATATCGGCAAAGGTTCCGCGAGTAACAAAGCTCCCACCTCTTCGTGAAATTGTTAAAGATTCGCCATATTTCAATGATGCAGATAATCCCATTCAATCTTCTAAATGCCATCCCGATTATGAGGAAATTATTATTGTTTCTGCTAGTTGTAATACAGACATTTCCATACCACCAATACCAAACCCAGCAATACAACCAATAAATACAGCTTCAAGATCGTTACTCAAATCCTCAGCTTTGTTGTCAACAATAACGAATACCTTTCAAAAAGTCAAAGCTGTCGATAATGGTAAAATATCTACAAGTTCTCTGATTGCCAGTATACAGGATGTTGTGGTAAAGAAAACCTTACCGGTGGAAAAGCCTGAAGACAACAACGACGCCACCAACACAAATAACCAACAAAAGTCCGAACAACATGGTGAGGATAAGATTATAATGCATTTGCGTAAAGATAGAATACGCAAACGTACCTCCACCGTTGCCATACAAACTGAACTACAACCAGAATTTCCACCGTTGCCATTGCCCAAGGGAGCTATGCAACATAAATCCCGTGAACGTATGCGCAAACATCGTAAGCGTCAATATCGTAAACATAAGGATACCACATTATCATCTCTGTCCTCGGAATATTCTTCAGATGAACAATCAGATCATTCCAATGCATCATCGATATTACGTTCACGCGACAACAGTTCTTCGTCATCCATGGAACGTATGCGTACCTATGACAGTGCCATCGGAACGGGAGGTTATTCATCGAGAAGTAGTCGTAAACATCGTAGCTCTATGTCATCGTCCTATTCGGAGTCTTTGGATCGCGATGCCCGTGGCCGACGTCAAAGACGTACAAGTTATAAACAACGTTCCTCACGTAAACGATCGTCTGGTTCACCATACAGTTCCTCATCGTATACATCAGATTCTGACCGTTCTCGTAGTCCATTGTACCGGCGATCACGTAGTAGATCGAATTCACGCAGTTCACGTTCGAGACGTTCTAGTTATCGTCAAAATCAGAAGAAGAACTTTGTCGATCGCAATGTGTCACAACCGGCCGTGGAGGAACGTCGTATTGTCTATGTCGGTCGCATAGAACAGGAGACGACCAAGGATATGTTGAGGCGTAAATTTTTGACATATGGTACAATTAAACAGATTAGCATACATTATAAGGATACGGGGTAAGTCAAGTCGCACACAAAAAAAAAACCTTTCTCATTAAAATTATTATTTCTTCTTCAATTAATATAATAATTATAGCTTTAAAAGTTCTTCAAGATCTGTTGGATCTTTGTCAGAAATTTCCGATGGGCCTTACAAAAATATTCAAAAGAAATCATTGTATACATTATTCATTCAAAAATCAATGTAGTCTTTGTAAAAATTGTCGATTGGAAGAGTTTGGGGAAACATATTTTTAGCTGACGATAAGATTTCATATATTTTAGGGCTATCAAATAAGAACCCTATAGCCAATGTTTCTGTTTCTTAAGAAGCACATAATTGTTGTCCAGAAATTATACAGAACGTATGTCAAAAAATGCAAATAGCAGTCGCTGATAAAATTACTTTAATGGTCTATTCCCAAGTGGAGTGAATGGTGGTCGGGAATAATACAAGTACTTTGTATCTGAATAATCTCTATTTTTGGAAGATGAGATGTTCTTATAGCCCCTGGTCTTCGTATAGCCCCTTCAGGTATTCAGTATTTTGAAGATTTAAGCTACATTTCAATGGAAATGTTTCAAATGATTTTATTTATTTATTTATTTATTTATTAATCCATTTGTAATAAAAAGGCCTAATAGACCATACATAATTATTACATAGCCTACCTTAAACCTGAGTTAAAAAACAATTCAATAATAAAAGTAAATAAATTCACAATTTCATGATATATACATACGTACATACATTATACTACTATATAAAGTACTTGTTATTATTATTATTATTATTGTTATTGGCTCCCCAGCCATAAAAATTTGAATACAAGGTAATTAATGTCCATGTTAACAATAACTTTTAGATTAGATAGCAAAAAAAAAAAAAAAAAAAAAAAAATCAAGTAATAAAACTGCTACATATAACAACAACAATTAGGATGCAAGATGTTGAAACAGTTTTAATCGAAAAACATTGTTAGAATGTGAAAAAACTCTTAATTCCTGGGGTAATGTGTTCCAACATCGCGCGACCCGTACCAGTACACTTTTTCTAACGGATTCGTTTAAAATTCTCTATTTATATTCTTTAACGTGATCCATGTGTGGTGAAGAAATTCTGTCTGTATAGGTCCACGTTCCTTTCCGATATCGGTCAGTTTCATGATTTTTGCCACATTTTCAATATAATTGTCCGAGGCACTTGGTTTTTAGCCATTTTTTTGCCAAGGTCGTGACACTATGTCGCTGCGACAAAATGTGTACTTCCTCGCCACGGTCAAAAGTATAGGATCGGAAACGGTGTGAGTTCTATTCGGTGAAGATTTGTAACCTTGACTCATTCTGGAAAATTTTAAAATTTGTCAAAATAAGTTAACATTTATCAGTTGGTTTTGCCGACAGATGTATACATTCAGCCATTGTCTTATTTTATTCTACAATTCTATATGAATTATTGTTAGTCAAAATTTGACCAGAAGAAAGGAGTAGACGGAAATATTCATTAAATCTATGATTATCAGAAATGTTGGAATACACGAAGTGTATTCGTATGTTATGAGAGATATAATTATTCAAATTTTGACCCTTTGTGGGGAATGTACCAGAAGAAGTCAACCTATATTTATTCCATCTTCACACCAGATCTTGTGTTAGTGGAAATATTGGAAGGCGTGAAGCTTAGAATGAATGGGTTGTGTATTTTGCATTTTGAACCTTTGTGTGAAGTACTAGAACCATTTGGGCCGATATCTACCATATTCACAGCAGATATTGTGTTGATAGAAATATTGGGGCCCGGCAAGTTTGCAACGAAACGGTTGCTCATTTTGCCTTTTTTTAGCTCCATGGCTATTCAAAATTTTAACCTCTTGTGGGGGAGTTATCAGAAGAAGTGGACCGATGTATGCTATCCGGATTTTGTGTTAATAAGAAGTATTGGGATGAGTGAAATTTGAAAATAATTGGGTGCTCAATTCGTATTTTATGATCATTTTGTTTATTCGAATTTTCGACCATTTGTGGTGGAGGTACCAGAAGAAGTTGTCCGATATCATCTGCCATCTTCACATCAGATGTTGTGTTGATCGAAATGTGTAAAATTTAAAGACTTACTTCATATTTTTTTTTAAATGTATATTATAAAAATGTTGACTCTTTTTGGCCGTATGAAATGAAATATATTCGCTGTAGCTTTAAACGTTTTTATTCAAAATTCACTAAATCAATAATTGCGGCTCTGAAATTTCTTATCAAAATAGTTCCTTTTCATAAACGTTTCCATAATTGTTATCTTTCTTCTGTTGCTTTACAGCATGAAATATGGATTTGTAACATTTGAACGATCACAGGATGCATTCAATGCCATCGACAATAGTACACGTGATCCTCAGATCAATATGTATGATGTTAGTTTTGGTGGTAGACGGGCATTTTGTCGTGCATCTTATGCTGATTTGGGTAAGTTAGCAAAATCACAAAATATATGTTATATTTTTTTTTATTTTCACTCTCTCATTAATCACTTACAGACAATGCCGGCATCAACACCTATCAATCATATGTTTTTCCACAACAACAACAGCAACCCAAGGAGGAAGATTCTTTTGAGGCATTACTTATGAAAATGAAAGCTAAATTGAGTGCTAATAAGACAACAAGTAATGGTGGTGGATCAGCATCAGCATCAACAACAGCACCACAATCCTCGTCATCATCGACATCGGCATCATCGTCACCTTCAACCACAGCTACTTCTTCGTCGTCTTCTCCACCATTGGCCAATAATGATTATAATACAAATGCTAATAACAATGCAAATGGTAAAATTTGACGGCTTTGTAGTCCTGTTATCCAAAATTCAAATTGTTTATCTACAACCAACAACAAGACCCTGTATTTTTTTGTAAAACTTTTTCAATTATGCCATTATATTCTATATTCATCTCTGACCATTTTCGTGGTAAAAACCAAAAACGCCTTCGTGCCCATAGAAAAAATACTGATATTTTCCAAATTTTCTATGCAATAGAAAGAAAACTGAGTTATTTTGCTACCATAAAAGCCCAGCCATACACCATACATACATACATATACACACCACCACAAAACAAACAAATCTTTTTAGTTTCATGAATATGCTTTTATGTTTCTTTTATTTCTTTTAAGTTAGGTTTTTTTAATAATTAAGTTTCACCAAGAAAGCCAAAACAAAATGTGAGCCGGCCATTTAATGGAATATTGAAAAACAATTCAAATGCAAATCTCTCGGGAAAATTGCTAAATGTTAACAATTGTTATTTATATTTTAATTTGACATAAACTTGTAATTTTTATGAAAAGAGGAAACATAGATAATTTTTATCTTTCCCGGTAAAGTCAACGATATGTTTTTCAAAATTTCTACAATATTTTGTAGAGGTACATAGAAAATAATTAAATTTTGCAGAATTTGGAAGAATAGTTTGTTAACTGATAATATTCAAATCTTAAATTATATATTTTTTATTTACAACTAGAAAATATTGTGAATGCTGCTTGAATTGCTTGTTTTCTTGGTATTAAAAGAAATGTGATATAAAACTAAACAATAAAACAAGAAGTCATTAAACTTAGGTTCTTCCCCATAAGTTAAAACAACTTAAAAGATAACAGAAATATAAAAAGAAAATATAAACTAGCATAAAAGAAACTCTTTAAGAAAATTGTCACACAAAACCAAGAACAATAGCTCATTTTTTTACAAAGATTTTTTAGGTGAATCCAAAATCTGTCCCTTATTCTTTATCACAATAGCAACTTTTATAAATTATTATTTTTAGTTTTTAGTTTAACCAAAACAACTCTCAAAGCAAATTGTTATCGGTTTATGTTTTTGTGTTATGTTATTTTGTGACAGTTGCACGCAAAACAAGAAACTGTATTAAAAAGAAATGTGTGGTAAAACACTAAACCGATAATCTGACATTGCTTATAAAAAATTATTTGCTTTATGTGGTGCAACAAATTATTTTTTATATAAGAATAATTTTGTTGTTACCAACCACCGTCGTGTTGACCATCTACCCATCCTCTAAAAGGGAGAAAAAAAAAAAGCAAACAACCACCCAACCACACATTATACATTTTTTGAAAACTTGAATTTTGTTAGTCTTTTGTGAGCTCTTGCAACTACTCCCCAAGGCTAACATGAATTAACTGTTGATAACAAAACCTTGATATTAGTTTGTAATGTATAGATTTTTTTAAGTTTTAAATTGTATTAACTAAAGTTTGTTTAAAAATTAGAAAAAAAAAAAACAACAAGGCAAACACCATTTTTAGTTAAACCTCTTTTTATTGCTCCAAAAAATTGTTAGATTTATAAACAAACAAAAAAAAAAACATTAAGTTATTTTTCCTCTCTCTCTCGCTCCTTTGTTCAAAACAGCAAAAGTCTTTGAGTTCTTCATACCTCTTTTTTGTACAGAACCCTACTACACAGCCACAAAGTTCGTTAATGCAATTTAGAATGTTATAAATTTGATAAAGAAAACTAAATATGTTATGATTTTTTATTATATACTCTTGATTTTTTTTTTTGTTTCTAAATGCCAACAGGAAATAACGTGTACTTTCTATTTACAAAGGAAAAAAAAAAAAAACAAATAAATGCGTATGATTTCAACAAAAAAAATCTTGTTTTAATTTCAGTGAAACTAAATTTTAAAAGTACAAGGTGACATAAAAAAATGCAACAAAGCCAGACGCCATAATTTTTACATTTTTTTTAAATTTTTTTTGAATGGAAGCACTTACTTGAGGTGATCGACACTTTGGTATTTTTAGTGCCAACCTTGCTTTCCAAAATACTCCAGACACAATAGTCCAACGGATTGGTATCCGGAGATTTTGGTGGCCATTGTGCTCTGGAAATAAAGGGAGGAACCTCATTTTGTAACCATTCTTGGGTGGCGCGTGCTGAGTGCGATGGTGCTGAGTGCTTTTTGAATGTCCAAGGTCTGCGGCCAAGGCTTTAATACATCCTCCAGAATATTATCGCGATAATATTCGGCATTTTTTCTGATAACACGGTCGATTAATACGAGCGGAGAGCGACCATCGGCTGTTATGGCGGCCCTCACTTGAGTTCTGGTGGCCAACAGAAGATATATATTTTCAGCTGACCTTTTTGGCAATTGAACACGATCATTTTGTTTGTTTCTGATGATGTTGCTGTTTTCTCTCGTCCACTTCCTTGACTTCGAGCTACGCTACCAGTACCATAATCACGGTTACGAGCGATGGTACGAGACACAAAAGATTTATTCACTTTTAAATACTGGAGTGCTCTATCTCTATAAAGAAATCACACTATCAAGCTTGAATTCCATCACGAATAATTTTTTTTTTTGGAAAATTTTCAACAAAACGCTTTTGTGCGCTTGTAAACAATGCAATGAGCTGTCACTGAAATAATTTTAACAGTTGTCGGACGAGTGGCTTAGAAATGACAGCAGTCTGAAGTTGGTACTACCCTGTACAACAGCCATTGGGGTATAAGAAATTCCAATTGAAATTGATATTTTGGATCTTCAGGTCGTTCCTAATAATTTTGGTGCATCTCTGAAACAACGATTTTTATCATCAATTTTGATTATATTTGTTTTATACCCTCCACCATTTGTCATTCCGTTTGTAACTCCTTGAAATACTCATGTCAGACCCAACAAAGTATATATATTCTTGATCAGCGTAAAATTCTAAGTCGATTTAGCACTGTCGGTCGGTCTGTTGTAATCACGAATTGAGATAGAAGGCTTAAATTTTGCCAGTAGGCAGGTTAAGTTCGCAAATGCGTCATGTAGGTCCACGTTTTCATATAGCCCCCATATAACGGTACCTTCCCATATTCGGTATTTTGATGATTTTACCGACATTATTCACCGGAATTGTTTCAAATTTGGAATTTGAAGTTCGAAATGGCTACTACAGCCTAGGACAGAAAATTGTCTGTGCAGGTCCACGTCTTCGTATAGCCCCTCTCAATATTCGGTATTTTGATAATTTTTGCGTCATTATTCACCTGAGTAGTTTCAAATTTCAAATTCGGTATTTTGACGATTTTAGGTACAACACTCACCGAAATTTTTTGAAATGTCGTATTTGAAGTTCGTAATGGATGCTACAGCCTGTCACAATAAAGTGTATATGTAGGTTCAGGTCTTCGTATAGCTCCGATATAACTGTACCTCCCTATATACGTTATTTTGAAGATGCTACATTATACCCGTTTATAATGTGGTAGTGGCTTATAACAAACAATGCCTATGTAGGTCCATGTCGCATAGACCCCAATATAACGGCTATATTCGGTATTTTTAAGATTTTAACAGAATTTTTAACGGATTTTATTTTTTGAAAATTTCCAAATTCGTTCCAAATGGTTGAGGGTATTCAAAGTACTGCCCAGCCGAACCAACTGCTTTTTAACTTGTTTCAATTGTATTTGTAAATATTTGATTTGTAAATTAAAACACCAAAAATATTTTGAATCCTTAGCCCAAACTTCATATTTTTGGGGAATCTCTGGACCAAAGGTTTTTATCATCGATCTTTTTTTTCGAAAAATTTAGTATTTTTTCTGAATTCGCTATAAAATTTTCTGTACAGCAGCCATTTAGGTATGAGAAATTCCAATTGGATTTAATACAATTTGCTTTGTAGATGAAGATCCCAAATGTATTTTAGATCCTCAGGACAAACTTAGACGAGGACTCAACCATAGTTGATTCATAAATGACATTTGATACATCCACCATTCAAGTCACGCTGTTTTTCCTAAAGCCATTCACAAATATTTTGGCTATATAGTGTTACTTATTTTACAATTTTCTTACCTTTATTCCCCTATTTCCCCACATTTACCATATATCAGCATATAATTCAATTGTCTAAGTTCTGTAAGTGCTGCATATTCATTTGTCCAAAACATAGCAAGACAATGTGAAAAAAAAACTTTCCATTTCCAATAAAAACACCAAGATGGTTGTTGTTTTGTTTTTTTTTTTTTTTTCTTGTAACTTCTTCTGAAATAAAATACTAATTTTTATTCATACTTTTCAACTTTAGTTGCCACTACTATTTGTCAACACATGAGAGGGGAAACATTCGAAATAATACGTTTTTGTTTTTCTAAATATAAATAAATTCTTTTCTTTTTGGTTTTCTTTTTGAACATTTCTCTTTTTTTGGTTTTGTTTTTGTTAATGGATAAGATGAGGTGTGGAATTTTATAGTACTTTTTTTCTTCATGGTAATAATGTGGGGTGTAGTAATTGTTGTGTGGGTTTGAGTGGGGTGAATGTGTGTTTTTTTTTTTATTTTCATCTAATTTCTAATTTTTTTGGTTTATTTGTAGTTGTTGTTTTAATTTTTGTGATACTTTTCAGGTCTATAAATGAGTGATGGATGTTGTTTGTTGTTGTTTTCTTTTCTTGTTGAGTGTGATATCTTCTTGTCATAGTTGTTGGTTTGGTTTGGTTTGGTTTGGTTTCCTTTATTATTTTGCTCACGACAAACATTTTGGTAATATTTTCGTAGGCACCGTGGTAATCACTTGTCCCCACACTAAAGTACCAAGGCCGAAGAATACACACCACAGCCATTGATCGAGCGATAAGGCTTTTGTGGAGAATGCCATTTTACCATATTGTATTATGACGACCTGGATGAAAAATAGGAAGAAGGAAATCATATTTTTTCAATTAAAATTTAGGATTTTCAACATACTTGAGAAATCATTGTACCAATCCAAATGGTGTAGAAAATTGGATTGGTAAAGATACCCTCAACAACATTTCGCTGGCCATGGATTTTACGAGCGTTAATTTCATTAAACATAATCATCATAACAAATGCATTGAATATAATTGTAAAATGCTGTGTTGGTCCCGCATTCAAATCTTGGCCACGACCCGATTCAATGTCCAGTATCCAATCGCCTGCAATAAATTTTCAAATTGTAGCAAAATCTTTTCAAAACTAGATTTTTGTGGGGCAAAACTTACCGGCAAATAACAATCCAAATATAATAATTAATTGATAAAAGGCTTGGCCCAAAATATTCTTCATCATAATGGGTGAAATCAGGGGTTTTGTACGCCCATATGGCTTGCGTAACAATAGATCAGGTGTTGGCAATTCGGTGGCCAAAGCCAAAGAGGCCAGTGTGTCCATAATTAAGTTGACCCATAACATTTGTACTGCCTGCAATAAAATCACATGGAGAATGTTAAAGCAATGAACGATATTAATGCGACTCAGACATTCACCTTTAATGGAGAGTCCTGGACAGCACAGGCACCAATGAATGCAACAACAACGGCCACAACGTTAACTGTTAGTTGAAATTGCAAGAATTTGGCTATGGAATCGTAAACATTACGACCCCACATAACGGCCTTAACAATACTGCTGAAATTATCATCGGTCAATATAATATCGGAAGCTTCTTTGGCCACATCGGTGCCAGCAATTCCCATGGCAAATCCAACATCAGCCTTCTTCAGGGCTGGACCATCATTGGTACCATCTCCGGTTACGGCAACAACTTCACGACTATCGCTTATGGAACTATCAATAATGCCTGTCGTTGAGAGGTTAAATCACGTTTTTATAATAAAAGAAAAGGAAGGAAAGACTTTGTATGGAGTTGCTTACCTTTAACAAGAGTATATTTATCAGTAGGTGAAGATCGAGCTAGAACACGCAATCTTGGCCAAACTTTATCTAGCAAATGTTGCTGAACCTGTGAGAAAGGAAAGAAACAAAAAAAATAAAATCAAAAAGTAAAAAAAAAAAAACATTAAGTTCGGCCGGGCCAAACTTTGTATACCCTCCACCTTAGGGTAAATAAAAAATATTTAAATAAAAGTATCTGAATTCAAATGTTTTCCACTTTAAACTACAAATACCAGTAAGACAATTGGGATAAGTATTCAATGTTCTGCCGCCGGAGCTAGAACCCATTATGGCCTACGAATATCAATTTTCAGACAAATCCGTGGAAAAATGTGGCAAAAATCCTCAAAATACCGAATATCGGAAGGTACCATTACATGGGGGCATAGAGGCTCTCTCTTTTGATCGTGTATGCCCTTTCTGGCACGCCTAGGTGGGGGAGTTGTATCCACCATATGATGGTTCGGATGACTCTCACGGTAACACCCAAGCAGGTACTGCAACGAAAGTATATGATTATGCTGACGTTAGGGAAGGACTTTCGCCTCCTCATGTAGGTCATGAGAAGGCACCCTGTCGCAGTTCTCAGGACGGCGTTCTGGTACGTCTGGCTATGCTTCCACTAGTATTCGCACACCACATTGGAGCCGCCTAGCTGACCACAGACCGACTTATCGCGTTTTAAGAGGTCAACTTGGTTCCCTTGCCCGCACCCCAAGTGCTGCCGGCTAACGCCTTGAGGACCCTGTTCCTACTTTTCATCTTGTCGCAGATAGCTGTGGCTTGCACGGACGACTTGAACATGCTGTTGAATGTGACCCCTAGAACCTTGGGTAGTTCGTGGTCGGTATTAAATTCTCTTCCACCTTCACATTCAACTGTGTTCTCATCTCCGCAGACCATGTGATGTGTGGCCGTTGATTTCGTGGCGGATATTTTCATATTCCTCGCGTGGAAGTATGCGGCTAGCTTCGCGAGAAGCGAGAAGCTCACATATGTCATCGACCATGGGCCCGACGCCACGATCGTACAATCATCCGCATACGTTACAATCTCTATGCCGTCTGGAGGACGAGGAATTCCGGAAAGGTTAAACAGATCCGAAGATATCACCCCACCATGAGGAACTCCCTGTTTCACTCTACGGGCTTTGGACTTCTTATTTCGGAATTTCACGTACGACTGGCGTCCACACATATAGTTGATTATCCAACGTTTCAAACTTGGCCGGAGGGTGGTTCTTCTCTGCACGTCCTCAAACAGTATGGCATGATTGATGGCATCTAATGCCTTTGATAGGTTAAGGGCTACAAACACTGTTCTGTCACACGGATTGTTCTGTTTCAATCCTCTACTAATATGTGTGAAAATGGCGTGTAATGCTGTTGTAGTACTATGTTGTGGACGGAATCCGTGCTGATGGTTGACGACTGGATAACTTCCTCTAATGCTGGGGAGGAGTAAAGCTTCAAGAGTATTACCTACTGGCGACAGAAGCGAAGTCGGCCTGTACGATTCGCCTTTACTGACACCCTTGCCTGGCTTCAGTAGCCGGACCATCCGGCCAGTTTTCCAGGCTTTAGGCACTATGTGGAATTTAGAGACAAATTGAGAACTTTCGTTAAGTACTCGTCCCCCGGCGTATCCTGGTTAAGCATTACCATTGAGATTCCGTCCGGGCCCAACGCTTTAGATGACTTAGCGTTGCGGGTGACATTTGCAACATCGCCCATCGTAAACTGTGGTGGTTCCTCCTAGGCGGGAAGAGATCTGATACGACGTAGTACTCTTCGCTTCGCCCTGTCGTTCTCGGGGTGTTCGACAATTGTTGTCGATTAAAATATTCCGCGCACCTCTTCGGATCAGTCACAAAAGTGGCTGGGGTCCTATTATCCTTTTTTCCAGGGTTCGAGAGTGATTTAAACGTTACCCAAACGTTACACAGCTTACTCATATCGGTTCCAATGTTGCAACACTTCATATGGTTTAGCCACTTTTTTCTCTTATGCTCCTGTGCCAACCGGTTGACTTCTACTGTCAAAACACTGATTCTAGGATCAGTAGTGTTGGTACGACAGAGATCATCACGGTCGTTTGCTTATCCCGCTGCCTTTGCTGGGAAGTTTGCTCTTATCTCGGGTACTCGACCAGCAGGTATATGGCGAGCGGCTGCAGCTTTGATGATGTTTCGGAAAATGCTTTCTGCTACCCGAACGTCAGAAGGGTTGGGCAGTTCTCTGAAGGGGCGGTTGGTGAATTCTCTGAACTCTGACCAGTGAGCTTTCTAATAGTTAAGGAAAATGAGGCGTTCAGAGGTTATGAAATCGGGCAACCTGCTTATGGAGACGAATATCGGGAGATGGTCTTAGCCAAGAGAAATGACGGGTTGCCAAGTCACGTAATTTACCAGACGGGGTGACACTATGTTAAAGTCTGGCGAACTGTGACATTCTCCTCCATCCTCTCTAACCGTGCAGAATGTGGAACAGTCAATCTGCTCTGCCAGCGCTAATCCCCTCTAATCCCCCACCTCCACTTCTAACAACGTTGTAGGCTGCAATCTTCATTCAGATTGGTTTCCTGCACCTCTGTGATCTTAATATTCCTTCGATTCACAAATTCCACTATCTCATCTATTTTGCCTCGGAGTCCGTTGCAATTGAATTGCAAGAACGATGCAGAATACGGAGTTGGAACAGCAACATGTGGCGTTAGATGCTGCGGTGTTGGTTGCTGTTCTGGAAACTGCGGTGGAGTTTGTTATGGTTACCACCTTATGCGGTACTGTGGTGGTAACCATAACAAGTGTGGGTGCAACTTCCACCAAGCACCCTTGTCACCGGTGTATGTAGTGTTTGTATTTTTGTTTGTTTTGATGTTGTAATATGTCCCCTTTTTTTAATTGTTAGGTCCCTTGGACTGTTGGTGTCAGGGTTGGAACCGACCCTGAGTAAAAAGCTCCCCTGAGCAGCTGGATACCCACCACAGTACCGCATAAGGTGGTAACCATAACAAGTTCCATACTCCGACGACGCCTCTGATGAGGACGACGAAAAAGTGGACTCGCTGGGGACTACGTTATTGCAGCACGTCGCAACATAATCCCTTTCGCTGTAGTCTCGCAAACGCCTTAGTCCGGAACAGTTCTTGAAGTGCACCCATTCTTACATTCATTACATCGCACTGAAACAGATCTGTGGTGGATGACGTTTCCTCAATCTCGGCACGGACCAATAAAATCCGGTGCAAGCATTCCGTAATATGCTGCTCCGAATGCAGAAAAATAAACAAATACAAACATGTACATACTGGGTTGGTAGTCGCTGGCCGAAACTGGGATGTTGTGGTTTCGGGTAAATCCGGTATCGTAGAACCCGCTGCCGTGGAATTGGGCTGCTGTGTTGACTCCTTCTGTTGTCTCACAGAATTCTCCTTGGCGCGTTTTATCTCTCCTTTATACCTTTTAAAGTCTGCATTATAGGCTTCCCAATCCGTTGCAAGGTTTGACTTGTGTTGAATTTGATAAATAAAATTCATAACGTCTAAATTGTCTAACTTAATCTAATAATTTATACATTACTGTATAACATTTTGTGGTATTTTAAAAATGCTGATGGATAATTTTCGAATCACATGTGAAAATTCTGATGATAAACAGCTATAACGCCAAAAACGAATTTTGAGATATGTACCTTTTTAACTTAACATTTTCCCATTGCCGACTTAGAGGACAGAAAATGGAGCAAAGAATTAATGCAACATCTCATATACTTACATCGCCATTGCTATCGCGAATGCGTCGATTGAACTCACGTCCCTCCAATATAAGAAAATCGTCATTTGGTTTCAAAATACCGCATTTTGTTGCAATAGATCTTGCCGTATTAACATTATCACCAGTCACCATTCGCACCGTAATACCAGCACGTTGACATTTGCGTATGGCATCGGGTACTTCGGGTCGTACGGGATCTTCAATGCCAACGACACATAAACAAGTGAGATTCGACATAATACCCTCTTCATCATCCCAATCGGGTTCGCCGTCAATATGCACTTCATTCGCGGCCGCTGGTCCGGGTACAAAATCGCGATATGCCACCGAAATTGTACGTAAGCCATCACATGCCATCGGCTCAATAACTTCACGTATTAAACGTTCTTGCATGTCGCGTGTGAATTTTTCCAAAACCCCATCATGACCATAAATAAAGGCACATCTAAAGCAGAAGTAAAAAAAAAAACTTTTAAAATAGGCTTTCTATGGGAAACGGTCGAATGCATTACTTTTTCAACATAATTTCTGAAGCACCTTTACTATAGAGACGATAACCACCATCGGGTCGTGGTATGACTGTACCCATACTCTTGCGCACCGAATTGAATGTGTATACCCGTGTAAACTTATCTTCGGTGATTTCATCGCGTATCTTTTGGTATTTCACACCCAATCCTTGAACAAAACCCAAAAGAGCACATTCTGTTTTGTTGCCCACCTGTGTTGGCAAGTCTTCCGGATTAGCACCTGGCTATTGGATGGCAAAACAAATAAATTCATATTATTTCAAATATATGGAGTCAAATATTGTTTTTACCAAGATATTGGAAGTATAAGCTGAATTGACAGAAATGCCTTGTGTTATTAAGTTGGCAACATGTTTGGGAATGTCGTTAAGCCTTGGTAATACTTTGCATAACTTTTCACAGATATATGATTGTACAACAGTCATACGATTTGTGGTTAAGGTACCTGTTTTATCAGAACAAATGGCAGTGGCATTACCCATAGTTTCGCATGCATCTAAATGGCGCACCAAATTGTTGTCTTTCATCATTTTCTGAAAGTAACAAAGAAGATATTTTAAAGTTATTATATGGCCCCATTGTGAATGATCAATTTCTCATTGGCATACCTTAACCGAGTAGGCCAATGACAAGGTCACAGCCAATGGCAAACCCTCGGGTACAGCAACCACTAATACTGTGACACCAATAATTAAATGTTTAACAAAATTATTGGCATATGTATTTTTCCAGGGCTTCTCATCGATGACAAAGGTTTTAATGCAGAATTGTATGATGAGTATAATAACAGTTATAACAGCAATTGTTGAACCGGCATAACCAATTTGTATGGCCAATTTTGTAAGCTTGGCTTGTAAAACAGATTTATCCTTCTTTCCAGACTCAGCAGCCGCGCCAGAAGATGAGGCCTGGACATGATTGCCATCGGAATCGGATTTAATGCCATCGGACCCGCCCTTATGTTCTGCAAAGGAAGAAAATACAAAGTTAGGAGTAAGTAGAATGGAATTTTAGTGGAATAAAGGCTGTGGTATGTTTTTGGAGAAACAAATTCACAACCGGTAGAAATAAAGTGAGCTCCTAAAGGGGTAGTTTGTATATAAGAGAAGTCTTTAGGGTTTTTTCTTTTAAAATTACTGTGTTTGAAGGCTATCTATTTGTGGGACAAATCTCCTATCTATAGGGTGATATAAAAAAAACTGCAACAAAGTCAAATGGCATAATTTTTATATATTTTTTTTTAATTTAATCGAATGAAAGCAAAGAATGTCGGAAATAGAATCAAATTTTAGAATAAGTTTAGATTTGTTCGAATTGGTCACCTTTGGCACGAATGAAACCGTCACACGCTGCCCGAAGGTAGCTCTGTGGTATTTTGGCCCATTACCGGCGAAGCGCTTGCTTGAGATGATCGACACTTGGGTATTTTTTAGTGCCAACCTTGTTTTCCAAAATACTCCAGACACAATAGTCCAACGGATTGGTATCCGGAGATTTTGGTGGCCATTGTGCGATAGAAATGAAGCGAGGAACCTCATGTTATTACCATTCATGGGTGGCGTGTGCTGAGTGCGATGGTGCTGAGTCCTGTAGGAATGTCTAAGATCTGCGGCCAAAATGTTTGCGTGTCCAAGGCTTTAATACACCCTCCAGAATAATTCCGCGATAATATTCGGCATTTATTCTGATGCCACGGCTGTTATGGCGGCCCACACCATCACCATGACCGAAGCTTGAGTTCGTTGGACTTTTGTGTTTGGAGTATTTTGGAAAGCAGGGTTGGCACTAAAAAATACCAAAGTGTCGATCACCTCAAGCAAGCTCTTCGCCGAGAATGGGCCAAAATACCGCAGAGCAACATTCGGCCAGCGTGTCACAATTCCATTGGTCGTTTGAATGCCATAATTCGTGCCAAAGGTGACCAATTCGAACAAATCTAAATTTATTCTAAAATTTGATGATATTTCCGAATTTTTTGGCTTTTGTTTAATTAAATAAAATTTAAAAAAATTTATAAATTGTGGCTTTTGACTTTGTTGCAGTGTTCTATTATTTCACCCTGTATTTAGTATTGAGTGAGGGAATAGAGCTGAAATTTGATATGATGTCATTGTTGCACCAATAATTATTTGGGAGAAGCAGGTAGTCTGGGAAATGCGTACTATGAACGTACGAAAAGTGTAAAATGCCAGAAAATGCGGCGTTAATTGTTGGGACAGAGACAGAATTCTGAAATTTGGTTTCTAGGGCTTACATATGGAGGCATTGAAATAGTTTTGGACAAAAAAATATGTCCATTGTGTAATGGTTTCATTAATACCCTCCTCAGTAAATGAACTAAGAAGTTGGAGTAAAGGGTAAACATTTTCCTGTTATTCTTTCCGAAAAAGGAAAAATTGAATAACATACATAAGATGAGACATGCCCTTAAACGTTGTAGTGGCGGAAGCAAACACGAAATACACATTTAGTTTTAGAAAACACTAACTTAACAGTAAAGTAAGTCGCTGAAAAACCTTTAGATATTAAAACTAAACGTTATAGTTTTACAAAAATTCAATTCAAAATTGTCCATTTACGTGTTTAAAAAAGTCTCAATTTGAATTGAATAATCATCTATCAATCATCATTTGTTAATTAAAAAAGTATTTTATCTTTTGAAAGGCAGTTTTAAATCTTTAAAAGGGTCCTTAGAAATTTTTTCTATCATTCTTTCAAAATATTCATATCCCTTTATATTGAATCGTTTTCATTACCTTTTGGTTTTGGAGCATCTTCCTCCTCGTCGGTGGCGCCCAATAGTGTAAATATGATACCAGCTTGCGAATTTACACCGACTGCAGTAACAACCATTTTGCCACTACCCTCCATAACATGAGTACCCGATAAGACCATGGGATCGTGATCAATGCCCTTTTTAACGTGATCCGATTCACCAGTTAAAGATGATTCATCTACCTATATATATACACACACACATAGAAAAATACAGCATTATTCCAAAAAGTGTATTTTCCATTAATTCCAAAAAAACATGCTTACCTTTAAATCATTACTTTGTATGAGTATTCCATCGGCTGGCAAAAGATCGCCATATTTAATTTGAGCAATGTCGCCAACAACAATATCGCCTACACTAATTTGACATACTTCACCGCCGCGTATTATGGAAAATTTATGTTCACCTTCGATGCGGCTCTGTAGGCCACGAAACTGGCGTTCTTTTGAGTAGTCATTGAAGGCTGTTACCAATACTACAACTATAACAGAAACTAAGATGGCAGCACCTTCAATCCAAGCATAATGATCTTCTTCTTCCTCCAAAACAGCTAATGGGAAAAAAAAGGAAACAAAATTATGTACACATCCATTCAAGTCCACACCTTTTCAAATACTTACGAGCATCATCGTCGGTTGGTGAATAAAATGATAGGCCAAGGGAAACTAGGGAAGCTACTTCTAAAATTATAAGGGTAACATCTTGCAATGCTTCCCAGACTAGTGTTAAGAATGTTTTAGGCGGCTTTGGCGGTATAACATTGGAGCCAAATGTTTCACGCCGATGTGAGACGTCACGATGCGATCCACTGATACCTTTCGATGATGAACAAAACAAATGTATTTTTATATAGGTAAAATTTCCTTAATAGTTACCATCATTGGGATTCGTATAGAGTTTATTGCATATCTCTACTACTCCACCCACTTCCTGAACTCTGGTAACACCCTCATGACCTCGATGCTCCATGAGCTCTCGCAATTGCTTAAGAGATATCCCATATTGCGCCGGTCTTCCATCTATAGTTGCCATTTGTTAAATCTTAAAAATGTAACATTAAACTAATACTATGTATTTGGATTTGTTTTTTGTTTGTTTTTGATTCCTTTCGGAATTGTTGACGATCTCTCAGATCGTTATGGAATTGTAGGTCGCAATCTTGAATATCTCCTCTTGACAAGCTTCCTCAAAATGGTTTTGGATCTGAAACGAAAAAAATATATTTTTTGGAGTGTTAAACACAAAGACTCAATAAATTTGAATTGAAAATAAATTGAATTGAAAATGCATCTCTCAGTTATAACGAATGTAAGGTATATGGATATAGAGATCATGTCGATTCATGTCACTTAGTTTGGCGTTTAAAAAAATTACAAAATATTCAAATTTGAGTATAAAATAAAATCAATTGTATAAATAAAAGATGTGCCTGCTTAATAGATAAATTTGTGGGGGTAAATTGCTGTGAATTCGACAAAGCGTTTTTTACTTGGTTTAAAGAATTTTTGTAAAAAAATATATCAAGTTCTCTACAAAAAAATAGGTTTTCACTGGATGAAGTAGCAATGCCAAACCACTACTGATGTCCTCCATCTACAGGGTGAAATGAAAAAACTGCAATTAACTCCAGACTGCTGTCATTTCTAAACCACTCGTCCGACAGCTATTAAAATTATTCCAGTGACAGCCCATTATATTGTTTACAAGCATACAAAAGCATATTGTTGAGAATTTTCCAGAAAAAAAGTTATTCGTGATGGAATTCAAGCGTGATAGTGTGATTTCTTTATAGAACTCCAGCACTTAAATGTGAATAAATCTTGTGTTTCGTAAAATCGCTCGTTACCGTGATACTGGTAGCGTAGCCCGACGTCAAGGAAGTGGACGGAAGAAAACAGCAACATCAGCAGAAATGGTTCGAAAAGTAAGGAAGCGACTTGATCGAAACTGTGCGTCGCTGTGGCCGAAAAATGGCTCGTGATCTGAACATATAGCAATATTCCATTCGACAAATATTGAAAAATGAGCTCGGAGTAAAGCCATTGAAATTCCAAGAAGAGCAAGAACTTACACCGCAACAGAAAGAAAATAGACTCAAAAGACCGAAAGTGGTGAAGTGTCGAATTTAGGTTTCTCCGGTGAAAAAACATTCGTTGTCCAGCAGTTTATAAACAAATAAAATGATCGTGTTTACTTGCCAAAGAGGTCAACTAAAAATGTGTATCTTTGGTTGGCCACCAGAACTCAAGGACCGGCCATGGTTATGGTGTGGGCCGCCATAACAGCCGATGGTCGCTCTCCGCTCGTATTAATCGACCGTGGCATCGATTATTCTGAAGGGTGTATTAAAGCCTTGGGCACGCAAACATTTTGGCTGCAGACCTTGGACATTCCAACAGGACTCAGCACCATCGCACTCAGCACGCGCCACCCAAGAATTGTTACAAAATGAGGTTTCTTGCCTCATTTCCAGCCCAAAATGGCCACCAAAATCTCCGGATAACAGTCCGTTGGACTATTGTGTTTTGGAAAGCAAGGTTGGCACTAAAAAATAGCAAAGTGTCGATAACCTCAAGCAAGCGCTTCGCCGGAAATGGGCCAATATACCGCAGAACAACATTCATTGGCCGTTTGAAAGCCATAATTCGTGCCAAAGGTGACCAATTCCAACAAATCTAAACTTATTCTAAAATTTGATGCTATTTCCGACATTTGTTGCTTTCATTCAAAGAAATTTAAAACAAATGTAAAAATTATGGCGTTTGACTTTGTTGCAGTTTTTTATCTCACTCTGTATATGCCATACGAAGGCCCGGATCACCACACAGAGATGTCCTGGACATGTTAAAAGAAATGGGCAGTACATGCGACATTATCCTAGGATGTGACGTAAATACCCATATCTTCCACTGTGGAAGCAGCTACAAAAATGTAAGAGGTGAGTCAGTATTCAATGTTATTCTTAATAATAACCTTCGAATATGGGTAAGGGGGAGGTCATTGACATAAACCTCTGCAATATGGACGACTCTGCTGTTAGCAACTGGATAGATGTCTTCCAAAAATGCTCTTTATCAGATCACACAATGACATTATTTCAAGTGGCTACTTGCGAAATCAAACAGAGATCTTATTGGTATCCACGAAGACCGGACTGAGGCAAATACAAGTTTCATATGCAAGATTTAAAATACGATCCTCGAGATCTGCAATCAAACATTGATGTTGATAGAACTGTGAATGCTATCACAAATGCTCTTCGTTGAAGCTATGATTGATTCAAGCTTAAGTTCAACAGGGTCTTCTTTACCCGCTAATTATTCCAAGCCCGTTCCCTTGGCTGTGGTTTCGGTAGATAGTAGATAGGGACAGTAGGAATCTTGTTAATCCATTCGTGTCCAATAAACTGCTAAACTGCTATAAAACAGGATGATGGTAAGTGGACAAACTCTGGTCTAGAGATAGTAAGCAATCAGTAACACCTGCCCCACGACATACAGCTGATAATAAGTGACTCATAGAAAGGATAACAAACGATTCCAAGGCCAAGCCCGTTCGTCCCGCCATCTTGAAAGAAAAGTTTAAAGCTTTCGTCGCCAATCTATGGAAGGAGGTAACGTTGACTTATATTTTGCAAAGCTGGGAAATCTAGTCACACTTTGCCCAGAGCAGTGCAGTGCAGCAGCGCATCTTTAGGTAAATCAATGCGAACGATTTCAACAGTTGGGAACCTTTGGCACGAAGCGAAGCGCTTGCTTGAGGTGATCGACACTTTAGTATTTTTTAGTGCCAACACTGCTTTCCAAAATACTCCAGATACAATAGTCCAACAGAATGGTATTCGGAGATTTTGGTGGCCATTGTGCGCTGGAAATGAAGCGAGGAACCTCATTTTGTAACCATTCTTGGGTGGCGCGTGCTGAGTGCGATGGTGCTGAGTCCTGTTGGAATGTCCAAGGTCTGCGGCCAAAATGTTTGCGTGCCCAAGGCTTTAGCACACCCTCCAGAATATTTTCGCGAAAATATTCGGCATTTATTCTGATGCCATGGTCGATTAATACGAGCGGCCCACACCATCACCATAGCCGGCGCTTGAGTTCTGGTTGCCAACCGAAGGTGCACATTTCCAGCTGATCTCTTTGGCAAGTAATCACGATCATATTTTTACAAACTGCTGGATAACGAATGTTTTCTCATCGGAGAAATCCAAATTCGGCAGTTCACCACTTTCGGCCAAGCGAAGCAACTCTTTAGCTCTTTTGAGTCTATTTTCTGTTCATTCAGGTGCACTTTTTGGAGTTTCAATGGTTTTACTCCGAGCCCATTTTTCAATATTTGCCGAATGGAATGTTGCGATATGTTCAGCTCACGAGCCATTTTTCGACCACTGAGACGTGGGTTACGATCAAGTTGCTTCTTTAGTTTTCGAACCATTTCTGATGATGTTGCAGTTTTCTTCCCTGACGTCGTGCTACACTACCATCACGGTAACGGGCGATGGTACGAGACACAAAAGATTTATTCACATTTAAATGCTGGAGTGCTCTAACGAAAGCCACTTGTGGTTTTCCAGCCAAATATAAAGAAATCACACAATCACGCTTGAATTCCATCACGAATAACTTTTTTTCTGGAAAATTCTCACCAAAATGCTTTTGTACGCTTGTAAACAATACAATGAGCTGCCACTGGAAGTGACGAGTGACTTGGAAGTGACAGCAGTCTGATGTATATATATAATATGTATCATATTTTTAGCTGATAAATGATATATGAAGACGACAAGATATGCAGCACATCACTTTTTTATGCATTTTTGTATTGAACCATTGACACATTTTCCATAACTCTGCTGCCAGATATAATGGAAATTTCGCCCTCAATCTTAACGTACGTTACTTGTTCATTATGAATTGTTACAACAGAAACAACACTGCATGCAGACAACAAATGAACTTGTCAAATGCAAAATAATTCCTTGTCTCAACAATGTAGGAACGAACACAGAACATAAAGCCTAAAAAACAGCGACAGTTCATTTTCTTCTTGTCCAAGTGTTTTGAACATAAGGCCATCACCATAAATGAGAACGACAATGTCAAATCTAGAATACATTAAAAGGGACAGGGAGGGTGGAAGATATTGATTGTTGTGATATGGATGAATATGTAGGTGGCGAGTATGTTGGCTTGGCTGGCTGGCTGGCTGGCGAATAAAATGAGGACAACAATTTTGTGGGCATACTGTCAGCCGGAGGTATTTACAAAGTCGTTTGATTGCATAAGTGAATTATTGTAACTCAATCGATAGATAAATCCTTTATCCAATTCCAACAAAAATGGAAAACATATTTGGGAATGAAAATGGGGCAATATTTGGATGATGTGTCACGTGTTTTCTGTCGTTTAAACAATTCGTGAATTTGAATAATTCTGACATGTAGATAATTACACCTTGATTAATTTGAAGAAAAAGTCCTACAAAAATATGAACACAATTCCATTGAATTTGTCAAGAAAAGGTTGGTGTCAGCAAAAATCCTTTTTTAAATGCTTAGGAATGCGTTTTCTTAACAAAGGTATTTTACATCGATATTAAAACGTATACGAACAATTAAACACAGCATGATAAGAACTCAAATAAGAGTACAATGAACATGTGAATATACATATGTACATGTTGGTAGGTATACACATGCAAGATGAATACAAAAGCAAACACAAAACACACAAAAAATATATTATTCGTCTGCTCCAGTTTAAGCCTTTGTTTATAGACAAATATACAAGAAACAACAACAACAACAAAAGCTTACAGCTTATGAAATATTTACAAAAGTTTAATGTCCTAAAATATATTATTTGGCTTTGGTTAAAATACAGTAACAACATGCCAGCCATCCAAATTGTACACACATACATACACAAATTTAGTAGTAGGAAAATATATTTTTGTATGGACACAGGCTATAAATGACGGTAAATTTAATTAAACTTTTAAAGGACATATTGGGGTGTATGTCAGAACAAAGGATAGGACAGGCGGAAGGATAAATATAATGACAGATATATCCATTTGTTGTATGTAACATCATTTAGATGAAATTGCATATTAAACATTTTTTGTGTCATCTTGTAAGGCATGTTGTGTCTTATCCACTTAACAAAATATGACAACGATAGGCCAGATGTTATCGTTGCTAT